GTCACGTGATTCCAACCCAAGGAAATCCCTGGATCGCTTAGCTAGCCCAAACGATCCCTTATTTGCTATAAGTCTATAGATGTGCTTGATCTGTCAGGACGCCGCCTGGTCTTCGCTTATCACGTGTGCACGTGATTCGTGACACTTGGGGCTTGGATGGGTTTGGATGGGTGGGGTTGGGCTGGATGGTGGGCAGTGTAGGCAATAGTTTTCTCAGTTTTCTCAGTTAGTTCAGTTAGTTTAGTTTTCACGAAATTTAGCTCAGTTTTATGAGTAAAATCCAAACTGTCAGTCAGTTCAGTTTTGTCTATTAAAACTGACCAGTTTTCTCAGTTTTATAGAGCATTTTGTAGGTATTTTTAGGGTATATACTATAGGAGTAAAGGTATTCTAGTCTAAGTACTTAAAAGATAGTATATAGAAAGACTATACGCTAAACCTAAAACGTTAATTTTTAATAATTTAGAGTAATCTAATTAGCATATTTATACTACCTAAAGAAATTATTATAGTATATCCTATTCTAACCTATACTTTTATAATACTAGTATAATTAACTCTACTGTAACGAATACTCAAACTGGCTAACTAAACTTGGCTGGGTGTTCGCTGGTTGGTATGCTATGATAAGAAGAAGACTATCGGGTTGTTCACTTGGAAGTGAACTCGTTACTTGTATCAAAGATGTCAAACTGATATGATAAAATTGATAACTAAGTTGAGCACGAAGCTCCTATCTAAGGGCAGAAGTGCCAGTCTTATATAGAACCTTCGTTCTCGTGGAGCCTACGGGGAGCCCAAGATCCTCAAGCTCCAACGCAAAATTGATAACTAAGTTGAGCACGAAGCTCCTATCTAAGGGCAGAAGTGCCAGTCTTATATAGAACCTTCGTTCTCGTGGAGCCTACGGGGAGCCCAAGATCCTCAAGCTCCAACGCAAGCTCCTGCAAGCTCCAACGATCATGTGACCCTGTCACGTGATACTAACCGAATGAAATCCCTGGATCGCTTAGCTAGCCCAAGCGTCCCTATTTGCTATAAGAGTGCTGATAGTGCTTGAGCTTTCAGGACGCCGCCTGGTCTTCTCTTATCACGTGAACACGTGATTCGTGACATCTACTACTATAGATTAACCTACGCCTAGGAAGTCTAGGAGTATAGTTAAACCTACTAAAAAGGCCTAAAAGAAGTATATTTAACTTAAATTATCTTTCTTGTTAGCTAGTATAATCGCTAAATAATAAGTAGCGCTAATTTAGACTAGATTTAGCTTAGTTTTACAAAACTATAATAGTTTACTTAGTTTAGTTTACTCTTTTTAATACTTAGTTTTATAGTATAAGTTAGAACCGCGGTTAGTTTTATAAGACCTTAAAACTAAACTAAGAACTAAGAAAACTAAACTATTACCTACACTAATAGGGGGGCTTAGGTGTGTGGTATAGGCAGGGGAAGGGGGGGATATGGTGAGGTGTGTTAATGGTCCTATTTTTTTTAGGGAGAGGGGGTTAGTTTGTGTGATTCCTATTTCTATATAAAGGATTTGTTAATACTACCGGTAAGAGAGGTGGGCATTACTCTATATACACTAGAGTTATAGAAATATTATCCTAAAGACCTTATATAACTAGATTAATTATACGAATAGTTTAGAACAATTGTTACTTTTTAATTCTTATTATACTAGGTGAAATAGGACAATTAAGTTACTTGTGCTAGAGTTTTAATATAATAACTTCTGATAGCGTGTACAGAGCAATGCTCGCCTCTCCTGCTCTATTTTGTTTCTAAAGGGTTTACATAACATGGTTAAGATTTAAGATAGCTCTTGGTTTCTCGATTTGGCAGCGGATATATATACAATGTTATAGAGATCAAGTATTATAGATATATAATAACAAATTTGGACTCTTTATAACCCTAAATATCTATGGGATTCTCCTGCTTTGATATCCAGCTCATACTTGTATATAAATCAAGAATTGGCTACCTGCCGGTTTACTTACAAGTTTCCTGGATGGTTTTTTAGGTGAGTGGCTCTGATTGCTTGCTGCAATTTTTCTTGTCGGGATGGAGTTGGAGTTGGATTGAGAGTCTTCTTTTGGGTACTGTGGTACTTTGGTTTAATGGCTGGATGGGTTATATCATATATGATCTTTGCGATGGATAACTGTTGAGATGTAGATAGTGCCATGTACCACGTTGTACTGATTACACATCAGATCGTCTTTCCTAGAAAAGAATCCAGGAATTCGTGAGGAAGAATTTGGAGATATATTGGTAGCTAAGACTCCGATGGCGCCGCTTAGTTTGCTACCGGATTGTAGTATGGATGATGTTTACTACGGATCCAGAAATAAATCGTGGTGATATGGGTTTTCATAGGACTCGTTAGAGAGGAATGAAGTTCGCTTGAAAGACTTTCTTCAGACCTTTTGGTAGAGTACTGTTGGACATAGTACAATACAACATTCATAGATATTGATTATGTGTTTCTTGAAACTGTTCTTAGCTCTTGAAAAATTGCCTGCGAGAATACTCGAATGACAGAATGAATGTATTGAATGAAGCACGTGTTTCTACAGAATTGGCCAATTGTAAGATCGGCAAGCAAAACATGCAGTGAAAGGCAGCACTATCCTTGAAAAAACCATAGGACTTCAAGTGTTGGGTAACCGAGAGAGCTATGTTGGCTGAAAGTGGGATACTGGGGGAAGATACGCAGAATACTTTCAACGTATCATTTGGTTATGCAAGGTAGAATCCGGTAAGGTGGGATGCCTTTTAACTTTAGCTCCCGAAAGCTACAACAACATGATTAAGTCTTTTTCACCACGAAAATAATCATTACTTTTCAACTACTACCCTTTGAGCCTGAGTCATTCCAGTGTCTTCCCAAGGGAAGCTGTTCACAACATCGCCAACATGGCGCTGTGTGAACTTTTTGCATTTTCCATAAGCACCAATTACCAATTGGCTCTCGGAGTAGCTGGCACTGTGGTTATATGCCATCTAATATACACCGTGAGTTTGCTCTTCTCTCCAAGCTCAAAACTCATTCCCTCAGCTCACAACCTCAACCGACATCCCCTACATCAAAGGGATCCCTGAGATTCCCGGGGCTCTCCCCATATTCGGTCATCTTCTCGCCCTAGGTGACGATCACGCAACAGCCTGTGAATCATGGTGGCGCAAATACCAAACCTCCGTTTTCCAAATCCGTCTAGGAAACACCCGTGCCGTCGTAGTAAACTCCTTTTCCGACGCAAAAAGGATGTTGACAGGATCAAACTCTCAATCAGCACTCATCTCCCGACCGACATTATACACCTTCCATGGAGTAATCAGCAGTACCCAAGGCTTCACCATAGGCTCCTCACCCTGGGACGAAAGTTGTAAGAATAAGAGGAAAGCAGCTGGTGCTGCACTGGGTCGTGCAAGGATCAAAGATTATCATGATATGTTTGATCTAGAATCTTACGCGGTTCTACGAGATTTGGAAAGGGATGGGAAAGGAGGGGGGGAGATTAGTGTTAGGAAGTATATTCAGAGATATGCTTTGAATACTACTTTGACGCTATGTTATGGGATTCGCATGGATAGCGTGTATGATGAGATGTTGCGGGAGATTTTAGAAGTCGGGAGTGCGATTTCTTTGCTCAGGAGTGCGAGTGAGAATTTTCAGGATTATATTCCTGTTTTGAGGTATTGTGAGTTAGTCCAGCACGTTTCCCAATTATTTCCCTTCCTTCCTGGGTCAATCATTCGAACAAGCACTTCACCACAGATCAGAATGTCTAACAAAATCAAGTCCCTAACAACGAAAAGAATCGTCGGGGGAAAGACCTGCGCGATAGGCGAGACGCCTATCTAACCACCCTGCTGAACCAAGTTCGTTCCATGATTGCAAAAGGCACAGATAAACCTTGCATCGCATCTGCAATCCTCAAGGATCTAACTACGAAACTTACAAATGTGGAAGTATCCTCCATCTGTCTCTCGCTTGTATCTGGCGGGTTCGAAACAATCCCGGGGAATCTAACATCTTGCATCGGTTCCCTTTCCACTCTGCAGGGTCAAGTCTTCCAAGAGAAGGCGTTCAGCGAGATTATGAGAGTTTATAAGGAAGACCGAAGGGCGGCATGGCAAGCAAGTTTCCAGGAGGAGAAGGTGGAGTATCTGAGTGCTATTGTCAAGGAGGCTTTACGGTATTATACCGTCTCCGCAATGAGTTTGCCAAGAAAGACGGTTGAGGATATAGATTGGGAGGGAGCGAAGATCCCGAGGGGGACGATGGTATTGATCAATGCTCAGGCTGCCAATCATGGTTTGTCATTTTCTTCACTTCCTACTGATGCCTCGTCCTGTTCTCCCTTCTGAAACTCAAACTAATGCAACCAAGATATCGACCACTTCGGTCCCACAGCCTCACAATTCAACCCAGACCGTTGGCTCTCCCCCAACTCCATATCAGAACCAAAACCCACACCAGGAATCCAACACTTCTCCTTCGGCGCCGGCTCCCGCGCGTGCAGCGGTCAAATCATAGCCAGCCGTCTCCTCTACACCACTCTCCTCCGCCTTATGACGACCTACCGAATCGTAGCTTCGGAATCCCATCCCCCAAATACTGATTATGTGGATTATAACCAGTTTAAGAGCGCACTTGTCGCTATCCCGCGTGAGTTTAAGGTGAGGCTTGTTCCGAGAGATGGGGATGTGGGGATTGAGGGGAGTTTGGAAGATTGCTTGGAGGAGGCTAGGGGGAGGACGGAGGGGTATTATAAGGAGGATTTGGGGGTGAGTGTTGGTGGTTAAATTGGAAGTATGCTGAAAGAGGCCCTGGTTGAAGTATAAACAGCATTAATGGAGTCAGCGTAAGAATGAATACTCAGCTAATTAAGTATACACGGGTTATACTTAAATAGGTTAGAGTAGGCTTAAGTATAGCGATTCTCTCTTTTGTGCTACCGTTAACACCATGCATCCAGCTTTCTCAAAAATGCTCCCAAATGAGGCCAAACTTCAATGACAGCCCTTGATTCGCTGAAGTATCCATGGGAGTAAACATCCAGTGCGTTTGATACCATGCCACAGATTGCTGACGTGCCTCAATCATCGGTTCCTGTTGAAGCCGAAGATTACCTGTCAGTTTCTTGTGAGTTGATTTTGCTTGGTTGTGGAACACACGAGTCTGGACTGCTCCATAAATGCAGGAATACCAAACATCTGATCTTGGAGAACCAAAATGCCAGCCACGCCACATTTTCGCTTGCTCATGTTCCAATTGGATCTAATATAAAATAAGAACGCAGATTATGTGCAGTATATTAGGATCTTCCGATCCTTTTCACGGTTGATTTCAATTGGCCTCCTCCATAAACTACAGACAACGCCACCCCCCGCTTAAATCATTGCAAACAACGCCACATTCAGCCTTGTGAAAAGCGAAACCAACCCCTCATCTCTTTAATTGAATTCCATATCCTTCCGCTTATCATCAGGTCTGATTTCTGGCCACTGCCATTCCGTGCTCTCTTCACAGGGTTGGACGCCTTTGGTGGGCAAGACCTCCGCCATCTTGGGATCCAAGCGAGCCTGTAGCAATTCGTACCTCCTCTGAACTTCTCGCAGCTGATTCTCGAGATCCTGAATGTACTTTTCTTTCCTCTCCCGGTATCTTCGTTGCGAGGTGCGATTCTTTTCTCTGCGTTTCTGCAATACGGTCAGTAAATGGCTTTGAATTTTTGGTTACAAGAGCAGCAAATGTCTTCTGAAGCAATGACTTGAGTCATCCCAGACCATGGATGTAATACACCAACACGTATATCCCCAGGAATAAAGACCAGTGTTCTTGCAAGTAAAATAAATATCTTACCTCTAGTTTCTCGATCTTCGTTGCTTTGGGTTTTTGAGAGCTGAGCGGAGTAGTTGACTTCCCGAGGTATGAATAATTGACTGGTGTAGATTTTTCCGGCGTCGAGGATTTTGGAAGATGTGAAGCTGTTGATGACGGCGATGAAAGTGTAGACCAAGAGTCGTGATCAGGAAGAGGGGAATCCAGCGCCGATGTATTCCCAAATTCGAACCCTGTCGATTCAATTTCGAGCCCGGGGTACATGATGTCGGGTTGGTCTTCGTTGCTCCACCAGAGATTGGATTCCGAGTTATCCTGAATTTGCATCTTGGGTGGCGAGTTTTTGAACTCGGACTTGGGAAATGATATTGGTAAACTTTTAGAAATTCCGTCAGGAGAGAAGAGGAATGAAGTATAGTCCTTTTAAAGTATTTGATCAGTGATCTTGCATACGAGTAGCCAATCATAAGAAGAGACAGAACTTACCAGGGATGATAAAACGTCGAAAGGTGCTGATAAATTCCCCTGCGGAAACCTTTCGCTTAGGATCGAATCGAAATCAAAATCAACCCTGGCATAGTTTTGGTTTGACAAGGCCATAATAGTGCTAGGGATACAGTATGGGTGGGATCTGGGATGATTTTTGCCAAGACTTTCAAGCTGTGATCTGCTTGAGAGGAGAGCTAGACTATCGGATGCTTAAGTATCAACAGCTGTCTCTCACTTGGCATCGAACTTCTTTGTTATTTGGCTTCAGTAAGACACCGGCTGCATATTTCCGTCCCATATATGCGTTCCGAATTCATACTGGCCGAATTACTCTTCTATGCTCCTAATACGAAGTCGACCCACTTCCGAGGTCTATAGCCAACGACATGTTTAGATATATCCTGTCTGAGCCCGCCATCCGGGAGTGCGGCATACTTCGGCTCCATATCTGAACCCCGATTTTTTTCGAGCGCTTGTGCCACAAGTATTATCAAAGATGACATCATTGAGGCTTTTCTGCTCTCCAAAATAATAAACGTGGGTATAAATATGGAGCAATGTGGTGCCTCGGGATCATTTGTGAAGGAACGGAATTAGATCGGGGTGTACAAAACCATCTCCAGAAGGCCGACTGCCGAGTCTAGAGCAATCACGGCGAGGACGGCGAATGTAACACGAACTGGGGTGTCATGAACATTCAATTCCGTCAAGAGTGCCTTGTTTTCCTTGTCTTACTTTCCTCACTATATTTGGGTAAGGCTTAGTGTACATTAAAGATGCAGGATGCTGAGTATGCAATATCCTAGTGTTATCATTGGTTCGCCTTTTTTCGGAGAGTACCTGACGCCCCTACCAGGGGCCTTCTATCACGATGTTTTGCATGCAAAGCGTTTGCCCAGTGTCACTGAAAGTGAAATTTGCCATGCAAACTTAGCTCTCAAGATGCGTTAACTAATTTTGTGTGTTTAATGATGACTTCATGGTGCTCTTTGCAACTCATCAACTTTTTACTGTAAAGGTTGAGACTCTCGGTTAACTCATTGGGATTAGTCAAAAAGGGATTTGTTTTCCCATACTTCCCTAGCCTTGCCAGGCCGGAAATATATAAAACAGTTTCTTCGTCAGTTCTTCTGATATACAAATTACTAAAGGCGGAACTATCTCGTGATATCTAATAACCAGAGACTAGAACGTCAACATGGCATCTCAAGTAGGAGCTTCTTTTTCCCTGACTAAGACCGAAGCATTGGCTCACCAGTTTCATCATAGCTAAGCTCAGAATCAACACCAGTTTATACCCTTGCAGAAGGAAACCCAATCGGAGATCCAACAACTGCTCTTCAAATTAGTCGACCTGGTGGTGGCGGACTACTGCTTCTACAAGACACACAACTTATTGAGACCCTCGCCCACTTTGCTAGAGAACGTATTCCGGAGCGAGTGGTCCATGCAAAAGCTGCGGGTGCTTTTGGGACGTTCACTGTCACACATGATATCTCCCAAATCACTTCAGCAAAGTTCTTGAATGGGGTGGGGAAAAAGACCGACGTCCTGGTAAGAATTTCCACAGTGGGACCAGAGAGGGGAAGTGCAGACACAGCAAGAGACCCACGGGGTTGGGGTTTCAAGTTTTACACAGAGGAGGGCAATCAAGATTGGGTTTTTAATAACACTGTAAGCTTTGCATTCTCTTCTATAATTTGCCGAGCAAATTTAACCAGTATTCCTTAGCCTATCTTCTTCATAAGGGATCCCATCAAGTTTCCTAGCTTAGATAGATCTCATAAAAGACACCCGCAAACAAACCTAAATGGCAAGCCGACTCATTTGTTTTGTCAACACCGCCGCAAGGATTGGTAACGTATGCCCCATTTCAAAGCCTTAGCTTATACGAAATCCGGGATTCAGATGCCACAATGTTCTGGGATTTTCACAATAACAACCAAGAAGGAACGCATGAATCAATGCACCTCTTTTCTGACCGAGGGACCTCTAATTCGTTGCGACATACGAACGCCTTTTCTGGACATACATATAAGTTTACACAGCCCGATGGCTCATTCAGATAAGTTTACACAGCCCGATGGCTCATTCAGATACGTCAAGATCCACCTCAAGACAGATCAAGGAACACGTAATTTTAGTGGAGCCGAGGCAACGAAAGTAGCTGGAGAGGCCCCAGATTACAATGTGAAAGACCTTTTTGAGGCCATTGAAAAAAAGAATCTACCTACCTGGACAGCATATTTGCAGGTTATGGAACCGAAAGACGCCGAAACATATCGATGGAATATATTTGATATGACAAAAGTCTGGCCCCATGCAGACTATCCTCTAATTCCATTTGGCAAACTGGAATTGAATAGAAATGTAAGTTGGAAAACTGCTCACACTAACTGAAAAGAATAACACTGACTTTAAACCAGCCACAAAATTACTTCCAGGACATTGAGCAAGCTGCTTTCTCTCCGTCAACCATGGTCCCAGGTATCGAAGCATCTGCAGACCCCATGTTGCAAGCGAGAATGTTTTCATATCCAGACGCTCAAAGATATCGACTTGGGGTGAACTATCAGCAACTACCGCCTAATTATCCTCGCTCTCCAGTCTATTCGCCCTTTCAGCGAGATGGTGCCTCAAACTATAGAGGAAATTATGGTCCTGACCCTAACTATGTACGGACAAGTCTGCGATCAGCAAAATATGGGGAGTCGAGTAAAGCTCATGATGAATGGATTGGGAAAGTTACGGTATATTCCACAGAGATCCAAGATGATGATTTTGTACAAGCGAGAGGGATGTGGGAGGTCTTTGGGAAAACAGGGCAGCAAGAGGCTTTTGTAAGCAATGTGGCCGCACATCTGTCAGGTGCTATTGCTAGAGTGCGAAGACAGGCTGTGGAAGTATTCGCAAAGGTCGATGCAGATCTGGCTGAGAGAATAGAAAAGGCCATGGAGGGTTGAAATTTGCAGACGTGCCTTGAACATGGTTCAAGATACAGTAGAGTTACATTCAGGAGTAATATAGAACCAGGTATTCTTTAATGAAATAAGGAAAATTCCTTCAACGCGTAAGAATGCTTATATTCGCGGGCTTTTCCCTCTGAATTTGTCATGGATTACTTATGGAAACATTTTTATGTTTACTGCGTCGGTGGAAATTCAACCTCCGCTCGTCAAAGCCGCCCTTGGATGTTTCGGATGTATGCACCCGCGAGGAAGAAATTGGGCTGACCAGTACAACTCTTAGGTCAATATCCTATCTCACAACCCCCAGAATTTCTCGTGCCAGTCTTCAGTTGCATTTCAGTCAAGGTTTTCGGCTTCAGTACCTTCCAAAGTAATCTCTGTAGATCACATGAATACCCGCGTCCAATCGAGAGCACTACCTAGGTAGGTACGGCTGTTGCTGACAAGAAGATTATCATCATGTCAGAACTAAGTAAGAAACAAGCTTTACTTCGGTCACTCCGCCGTCCCACTTTGTATGGGGTGCATACAGCATACGGCATACGGGATGCGGAGTACGGAGTACACTACACCGGACTGAACTGTTCTTTGTCGGTGTCAGCTTCTGAGTCCTCAAGAGCTCATCGGAGCAAACTCGGAAACTTGAATGAGATGAATTTGGTCGAGGTAGCCTTTGTTCAGTTGAGTTTCCAATTTAAACAACTAAAGGAGACCCCTGAAACCCTTTTCATCTCTCGCCATGATACAGTAAGTGTACTGCTGGGGTTTAAGATTGTACAGAGAACAAACTTGACTCCCTGATAATTATATTGTTCCTTACTTCTTCTAGAACAACCCTACTCACCTGTAAAACAAAAACTAACAGTTCCAACTCTTGAATAAACAGCCAGGTAATGGCAGCATATAAACTCCCTTAACCCCTCTAAACTTATCATTTCTTTCCTCACCAACCTTCAAGATGTCTTACACTACAAACAACACCTGCAAATACGGACCTGCCAAAGCAACCAATTCTACTACTAGCAATACAGCTAGTACTAGTTCTGGTGTCACAGCTAACAATGGACCGAGTTCTAGCGGCCACTCTAACTCTGGCTCCAGCACTGCTGCAAGTGGGAAGACAGAGTCGAAGTTGCGAGGCGGGAAGAGTGACTGAGGAGATAATCTCGGTAAATGTTGTGTCATTTTGTAAGAAACTTGCAAAATAACAGCCCATGCTGAGTGAGAAACGCGGATGGAGTTTTTGAAGAGCATAATGCTTTGGCTTCCATCCTCTTTATCATACGCTTTATCTAGACTTCTGGTCCATATGATAGGGACATGAGTAGGAAGGAAGTGTGCCTAACGCTGCCCAAAAACCTCAAGACTGCCTATCTGTTTCTTGCGCCCAATAATCCCCTTGTCAATTTACCAACTCCCCCCTTCACAACCCACCCCCCTAAAATCCAAACCCCCAATTAAAAAAACCAAGATCTCAATATTTTGACACCATATGCACGCTGAGTATGAATGACGATTGTCCACTGTTTTAAAGTTCTATAGCAAGAAAGAAGCGTCAAACTTATGTCAACCACTCTCTTTCGTTACCTTCTGAGTCATGTTCATTTCATCTAACACGGCACAAAACGTCATCATTTATTCAGCATAGAAGAGGTGAGCAGGAAAGAATTTCTTCCTGCGATTCCATTCTGTTCCCTTTCCAGTAGGTGATGCAATTGAAGAACTAGATGATGGACTAGTCTTTCGAGTGTCGGAGATTATCGGGAAGATACTCTTTATTTTCTCACGAGGGTTGACAAAGACGATTAAAAGAAGAAAATTTTGAGAGTTGTCATTGAATAAGAAGTCCTAACTTAATATACGACTGTTGTGTAAGCATTATTTTTATTCCCCTTAGCAAACTGCTTTCTCATACTCAACACTGGCCATGATGAATGGACCCAATCCTTTCAAGTCGTTCTGGTTCAAAGCAACTGAAACGTAGTACTAGAATTATCTCAGTCAGTATCACTCCAGGCAAGAAACAGGACATGAAAGTATTCTAAGAATTGATAGACTTACATCAAAATCGCCTGTGCCACTCAAACTTCCCACACTAACAGTACCATTCCAGTTGATTCCACCATCTGAAGCTTCACTTACAGACTTCTCCACCAAAGCCTCATAAGCACATGTCATCGTTGGCAAATAATCCTCGGCCAGGTATCCATTTCTGATTCCCTTCAAGGCAGCGTAAATGAACATAGCAGAACCACTAGACTCGATGTAATTCTTGGCTCTACCAGGTTGGCTCATTACCAACCACCAGAGTTTGGAATCGTTATCAACTGCTTTCACAATACCAGCCATAGTCTCAGCAAGAATGGACTTGAGAATGGCAAAACCGGGGTGACTCTTTGGAAGGTAGTCCAATACGTCGACAATGGCAATGACATACCATCCCAGAGCTCTATCCCAACATTCAGGAGATTCTCCCGTTGCCGCGTCTGCCCAAACAGCAACATGTGAACTATCGTAACCATGTTTTAACAAGCCCGTTTGACTGACATTGTGATTAACACAGTTGGTGTGAGTTAGTTCAAATTGTTTGGTGATATCGTCGAATGCTGTGATGTTTTTGGGAACATAAACTGCGGTGTGGTGAGCGTAGAAAGGAGATACCATATACAATCCATCGAGCCACATTTGATTTGGATAGGTAGAGCGATGCCAGAAACCCCCCTCGGGATTTCTGGGGTTGGTTTGAAGCTGAGAGCGGAGAAGATCAGCAGCTCCTTTGTATTTTGCTTCCCCAGTATTCTTGTTCCTGTTTTTCTGTGAGTATCAAGTGTTGCACTATCGAAGATAAAAGGCTTACAAGTAAATGAGCGTCTCTCCAATTCTGACATCGTCAAGCGTGTAGTATGTCAAATTGTAATCAAGCAGTCCCCCTTCTTCCGTGACAATGTTATTCACACTCTTAGTAATGTGATCTACATAAGCCTCATCACGTGTGGCATGGTAGACCATCTCCAGAGCTCTCCAAGCCACACCATGCTCGTAGGTTATGAAAGGGGCACCATCTCTGAGACCATTCGCATAATCTCGAAGGACTATTGTATCAGCGCCTTGAACAGATAATCTAGGAGATGTGCACTGTGAAGCTGCGTTTACTGTCGCTGCAGCCAGAAGAAAGATAATAGTGGTCTGCATCATTACCTCGGTAAACGAGAAAACACCTCAACGGAAGAACGTGAGGAATCAAATGTACTGACAAGATTTGAAGGGAGCCCGAAGAACAAGGACAAGACATAATGAGTGCTGGAGTTGTTGGTTTAATACTTAGTATTGAAGCAATACCCGGGGATGACAAGGGTGGTAAATGTGGTCAAAAGAAATCCACTCAAGCCAATCATATAATCTTGGCATATGGTAAGGAGAAAGTCCCATCGTCATCTTCGATTCATGGAAAATTCTAGTCGGGGCGAGTCGGGGTTACTAGGGGGCTAGCGGTTTTCTCTAGATCTTCTTGACTCCTGCATATCCAATGCTGGGTGACCCTCCGACTTGGCGTCCATCCGGATAAACTGACAAGGAGAAATGGATTTACCACCATATTCAGAGGTATTGCATTGCCAAAGTAGTAGGCTTGAGTTGAAACCTCAGAGAGTTATTGAAGGTGTAAAAGTGTTTTTCTCAGAATGAAATTTATGGTTTCCTGAGGGATCCAGAGTGTTGTCGGGAAACCCGCTGGATGCAATCCGAAGTCGAGACCCATCAATTACCTTCATAATCTTACGAAACGTGCCATGGACTGGGTGATCTCCGTACAAAGAACAAAACTTGAACGTTGGAACATGGCATAGTCTCTGAAGAGGACCAGCACACCAGTGAGAAGCGAACAAACACGCGTTCACATATAAACTTTAAACTCCATCCCTTTCTCAAGATAAGTGATCCATATCTGTCGCAGGGCTTCGTAGCAGTATTGTTGTGAACCTTCCCATCTACAATTCTTCCGGCTTTTCTCGGAGAAACTAGTCATACAGGATCCCATTATGCTAAGCTTTGACGACAAACGATCTGAATCTCTGATTTTGTTTAATAAAGATATATGAATGAAGAAGTAATTAATGTTTCCTTTGAAGGACATAAATTCCTGGACCCCATGATAATCCAATTTATTTAATTCACAACCTTCTCAAACCTTAATATCAACTTATTCCCCACGGGCCCAGTGGTATAGCCATCTTCTTGCTCAATCCCATTATCGTTGACAATGTGCGTTCGAAAGTTGGTGTAAATGGCCGCAATAATGAGTTTAATCTCTATAGTTTACAAAAGTAGCAATTAGTGACCCGCCCCCAGCTCAAATGTGAATAATGAAGACGGAAAAAAGGCCAACAAACCATGCATGGCAAAATTACTTCCAACGCACATCCTTCCTCCACTACTAAAAGCCCAGAACCAGCGATCTCGTTCCCGCTTTTGCTCTTCGGAATAACCATTCTCATCGTCTAGCCACCTTGTGTAATCCCAAGTCTCTGGTGAGGGGTAAACGCTTGGATTCCGATGCACGCTGTGGGCCTGGGCGTTAATTCGGACGCCACCTGGTATGGCGAAGGACGATACGGTGCTGGAAGGGTACGGGCTCATGCGAGGCTGACTACCCGGTATGGCTGCATCGAGACGAAGAGTTTCCATTATGGCTGCATGAAGGAGAGGAAGGTTATCGAGATCTCTTGAATTGGGCAATTCTTGGTTGTTTCCACTATTTCCGAGGGAGATGGGATTTGGTAAAGTGAGAAGCGTGGCTCGAAGTTTGTCTTGCAGTGCAACATCTTGCGAGAGGTGCCAAGAGATATATGTGAGTGTAATTCCAGCTGTCTCATGCCCTGCTGCTAGGTGATCGATCATTTCTGAGGCGACACTGAGTTCCGGGAATTTTAAGGTTTCGCTTGCTAGAACTGAGTTCCCCCCTTTTGTAGTTTCCTCTTTGGAGATCCCGGAGAGCATTGCTTTCATGACTACTGGCTCGTTGGCAATATTTTCATCTCTAGGAGCGAGCTCTTTCAGATATGATGCCGTGAAATCGCATTTCTTCTTGGTCCAATCCTCGAGTTCTTGATTTGCGGCGTCCACCCATTTTGGAACCAGGCGTATCCCCAAAGTCTTTAGAATTGAGGTGATACGAGGAAGTTCTTGCGACCAGAATGTATGAGTCTTACGACTGTGGTATAAATCAAGCCAATGTTCACGCTCCTCTACATTTTGGAGGAAATTTGAACTGTTCCTGAGACCAAACAGGTAAGCAGTAATGAAATCCATGGTAGTGGCATTGAAGGTTGAGTGGACATCGATGCCTAGTTCTGCTGTACGCGAGGCTAGAAGAGGAAGTAGACGCGACTTTAAGATGGTCTTGGATTGCGCTGCAAGTGCAGGAGAGCCTTGTATACTAGATTTGGAATAAATGTTTGAAATCATACTGCGGAAATCCCAAAGTCAGCTTTGCCGTCTCGAAACTTTGCCGTCTCGAAACTTTAAGTGATGGCAGGTTGTAAAGGGCGATTAAATCAGATGAACACCAAGTCTAGGTTTATTACTTTGTTCTGAAACAAATAAATAATTAACCTAGAATCGTCAGGCAGGATACTTTATACGATTTACAGAGGCAGAAATACCAGACGGCTGCTTATTGCTACCAATAATGAACACTAGGAAATAGTGTCTTGAGCTGTTAGGAGCACCCCGAAAAGGAAGAAAAACCCACCGTTTCCGAGCTGAGTGAGGTCGAGAATGCCAGGCAGAGAACATGCAAGGTACCCTATTCCCATTAGTCCACCACTCACCTAAGACAAAACCAAAGACTCACCCATAATTATCAAAGATTGAATACCATTCTCCTTTCTCGAAACCACCGGCATAAACTGTTCTCAGTCCGTTCACATCGTTGATGCTCAGTTCATTGGGCGCAATACGTATAACAGGCCCATGCCAGATATGTGCCTTATGTAAAGAACGATTCTCACAGCATCTGTTTCTGATCCAGAGAACCCAGAATGAAGAGAAAGGCGCAGACCAATGAGCGTTGGGGACTCTGGATAGCGGTGAGATGAATGCAGGCTGGATGATGGACTTGTAAAGCGCCGTGAAGAAGAGGAGAATGAAGCCAGAAACGGGAACAGTGGAAAACATGGTGAGCTGATTCAACTTGCGAGTAGCATGTGTGCTCTTGATATTCTTCAGGTTGGAGTAAGAGGCTGGATTGCCTTAGCGGGTGAACTTGAGTCTTTCACACGCCCTCTCCGCAAATCGGACCCTATGGAGGAAGAGATTAGCCCGACGTACTAGTATGCTAGCAGTAGAGCATCTACCTTGAGAGTTGAGAATCCAGCCAGTCACTGATGCCTACCTGTACTTAAAGAACTCCATAGGTTAAGACAACTGTATGAGAGTGTTGGGTTGACCCCGCTTTTTTCCGATATAAAGTTAGATAACGATAAGTGCGTCAGTGACTTTGAGAATGAGGTCAAACAGCCGAGGTTATTCTTAGTGCTAACATTGCTCAAACACATCCTCATAGTAAAAACTTCCTTGCATACATCTCAACATACCAAATACATTGAAAAGCTTTAACAACCTATGGATTCCTAAAGTATCTTTGTTGTGAAGGTCACATGACTATATTTCTGGCTGCTTTGGGAAGCTCATGGTCAGACAGTATTACCTCCCAACCTTCAAAAGAGTATTTCTGCCCTGGAAAACCTTTAAGAGGCGATACGATTGATGTTCCGGAACTACTCCAGCTTGCAGTACTACAAAAGAGCACATGACGTTGAGCCTGTGAGTACTGACCCTCCCTTTGTGTAATACAATAAAGTTAAATAGGAAAACAAGAACCAGACATCCAGCAAATTGGTGACTCCTCATGAATCTACATATTCCCTTCTATCCTCAAAACCTGAGTTGCGGATTCGTAATACAATCACAAGATACCAGCCCCCCCTTACAAATATAATTCGTAACAAGCTACAAAATATATTAGTAATCTTATCAAGATGAGAATTATATGTACAGCGGTAAATCATACAAATTTGTTACTTGGACAATCAGCCTCGCAAAGGTCACGTTGACATGGATCTTGTGCTGTTGCGGCGTTTGTGCTAATAACAGCAAGCGCAAGGGTCAAGAATAGGTTGACGGTCTTCATTCTGATGGTGCGGATTGGATGCGGAGGTTCTCACGCCGGAATGTTAGTTTTGTTTGACTTTGTAGGGAAACTCGAATAGAATAATTGAAGAATAGAAATTGGATGATGAAACAGGAATATGAAGAACTCTTATGTACCGATTCACTAAAATTAGATTTTCGTCTTGATGTGGCTAACAGATACACTGCCCACATATAGAGTGGTGCCAAGAACAGAGTTGAGGTGTTTTGTAACGGTCTACCAGGATGTTACTAGACAACTGAGATGTCGAAGTAGGTATGTTCCTGTGGAAGGTTCTATGGATTGCAACATTCTTGCAGGGTTCATGGTCTTAGGCTGAAGCGAGGATGTCCTGTTTGGTCACTTCAAAGTCAATCACTGGATTTCACAGCCACCACCGCCGACGATAGACTTTGACTGCTTAAGGAGAAAACTATTGTTAAAGTCACATCCATCGTACCAGTTCTGGGATTCACATTTGGATGGCTGCAAGTTGTATTGATCGTGTCATAATACTTGTATTTCACATCCTTAAAGTTTGGGATGAGTTGAGGATAAGCCTGGGCCCCTCAGGCATTAAGGACAACTTGCCAATCACAATTGTTTGATTAGAGGAGGCATCATTTTTTTGTCAGATAGAAATACAACTATTCGCCGGCATCTTTTGCTTAACAAACTTACAGCTTGTCTTGGATTGGACTAATAACCAGCAAGGATTTTCGAGTTTCTGTTCCATATCGAATTTCAAGGCCTCGCAGGTATTCACTTCAACTGGAGTACCATTTCACTCACTATTACATTCACCTAGTGTCCATTTCTTTGTATTTTGAAATCAGTAGTGAGCCCCAGTAGCCAGCCAGTTAGGCCTTTTTCGCCAGCTAAAAGAATTTTAGGTAATGCTGTATTGAATCTGGCGATGGAACAAACCCAAATGGTTAGGCTACCAGGATTCTATGCCATTTGTTTGTCGTTTTCTTTTCGCTGTTTTTTTTTGACAAGGCAAGGCAGAAATAAGCGAGTCACAGTATTCGGACCGAATACGCTCGTGTTCGCTATATTTACCTAAAGGGGGCGGACAGTTAAAGCTGGACACTGTCGCTGATCATAGTACGTCTCGGCCCCGCCTTTTAGCTAAACCAGCGAATCAAAGACTCATATCTGGGCGGTATAGACTTTTTCACATATGATCTACGTGACAGTGTCCAGCATTGACTGTCCACCCCCTTTACTACTCGAGTAGTCAGAATCTGGACTGAGAACAGTGGGTCTCAAAGGGGATTAAGAACTGAAGAAGAATTTGGCTGCTACCAACAATCCTTCACTCATAAACCATATGAGATTCACTCACTCCAAGGCTTTACGGAGTATTCACTCAAAAAAGATTTATATTTTGGGTAATGAATGAATAGAGTCATACTAGCTTTGCTTCAGAAAACGGAGTCACAAATACAGGGTTGTGTAGCTTGCTTAGTCCCTGCGTATCCCAGGTCACTTTTTGAAGCATTTGAGCCTCCATTTGACCCAGTTATTGCATCTACTCATATCCAATTTACGTGACCTTTAAATTTTGTATCTATACACTCTAAAAGGGATAGATGCCATTTTACGCTAGTCCTGAAGGAGTGGAGCGAGCTAGCTACCTAATATCCATTCACTATTAAATAGCGGCACAATTCGAGCTAAGCGAATAATGATCAGATCAATCACGCACCTACCTCCAAGTAGTCTTCAAATATCATGGTTATTTCATGGAACTCGTCTTGTCTCAAATGAAAAATTGAACAAGAAAGAACAGCATCTCAGACTGCAGGGAAGACAAATACAAGATCGGCTTCTGACTATAATATACTATTCTACTGATTCATCACCAGAACACCCAACAACCCTCGCTAACATTCTATTGCGAGAAGACATCCAAACAATGCCCAATAATATTTCATCGTCCTCCGCACCAAAGCACATGCTATCTTCATCATCGCAAGATTCCCAAAACCAACCAGAATGCCCTATTTGTAAGGACACGCTCTCCTCTCCCACCGTCCTGCTCCCTTGCAAACACTTCTTTCACCATGAATGTATCTCTCGCTGGCTCTGCGAAAGCTACACCGACCGCGGCCGTCGACATGTTCGGTGTTGTATGTGTCGAGGGACCGTGGACAGCTTCCAAAAATTGGGTGAAGGTGTGGAGATGATAGAGACAATGCTTGAGGGTCTTACTGAGTACGGTTATATGCCCAGAGAAGCGAGCCCAACACCGAGTCTGGCCCAACAGCGTCAAAGGAGGCTATTTCGTATACGACTAGACACAGATGAAGCCTCTCGGTTAGCTGACGCTGCCCGTGAAGAACAGATACGAGCATTAGAGCGACTAAACAGAGCACCATCAGGGAGTGAAGAGTGGCGATATGCATGTGAAGCTTATGAAGTAGCAGTGGAGTATGCTACGAGGTACATGGATTACATGCTGGAAGTCGGAGAATATACACTTGCTCTAGGCGAGGGTAGGTGGAATATTCAGCCTCCAGCTCCACCTTCAGCCTATGGAAGGACCCCCAGGAGAACAAGCTCGAGATATCTTCCGCGCTAGCTTAAGGGCTTCTAGTTCGACTTCACGATCAGGATCACAGTCAGAGAATGGAAGTGTGAGTTAGTCCGCTGGAAGAACACATTTAATTTTCGATCGCGACCTTCCCGTACAGAACACAGAACTATTAATACTGGATCAACAACCCTTTACTATCACGAGCTTCACGAGATCCCCAACCATACAAGACCGTCACCAAAACGCAAGCCCCAGAAGCGGACAATCAACTCGCTCTCAGGCATATTACAATAGTTATGGTTCAACAATCTAACGGTAGTACAACGTACACCGTCTACAACAAACGTAGTTTGGAATTATAACAAGGTGGGATTAGGGTGCTTGTACTAGGGTATTTATATATTACCATAAATTAGGAGAACATTACAATTAGTCTTTTAATACTCAGGTACTATACCACTGATTTCTGCTCCCTATCTACAGCACCATAAAGCATGAAATCTCCACCCTAAATCCTTTTTTGCGAGAAAGCGGAAAGCCCAGAGTGATTCAAACTAGAAAAGAATTGACGTACGTAGCTCTCCTGATATCAGAAACTCGAGCCACAAACATAGAAGGGAGAAGCTGAGGTTCTTCTCTCATGCACTAAAATTTCAACGATCAAAGGCCGAATACACTCCGCCTTCGCTTCACTTCTTCGACTCAGAATAAGAATGAAAAGACCATAAATAAATACTTACTAAAAACTCCGCAAAAATGTCGAAATCAAAGATTCACCATCGTCAAACATTACTCATCCAAAATACAGTTATAACCATTCAGAATCCCAAGATTCTTTTATTCACAAGCCCAAAGAGCATCCACAACAACACCAGAATACAATAACACAATAACAAAATCCAGCAATTTGTAACATAAATACACAGTCCATTCTAAAAAAATCTCCAGACCAAGATTTTTGCGAACCCTAAAGTTTTGCGAACGAAAAGCAAAGTCCTGATATCGAGAAAAGTTCATCCGATACCAAGTTTATCACTCGAATCCTCTCGACTTTGGGGTCCTCAAATAATATCTTCTCTGGGAAAGGGAACTCTCATTAACATCCCAAAAAATAAAAAAAATAAACAGCCATATCCTCACCCCCCTCATCCTCATCCCTCCCCCACCCCAAGAAACCCCACAATCAAAAGACGCGCAAATAACTCCCCAAACATCCCAAACCCAACAACAATCCCAATCCCAACTCCCACACCAAGACCCCTGCCCCATCTGCTTCGACCCCCTCTCCCCAGACACAACCACAACCCTCTACCCCTGCACCCTCACCCTCTTCGCCCAATTCGGTCGGCACGGGGTAACCTGTCCGATCTGTCGCACCGCCGTGGGTTGTGTGAGGGTAGTAGGTCAGAAGAGGGTGGAGACGTTTTTGGATCTTTGCTCAGGTATTGTGGAAGGGAGATAGCGTGATGGACGGAATCGGCAGAGAGGTCAGCAGCGAGATGAGGATTATAATCCCTATGACGAACTTTACGACTCCGACTCCGACTTTGACGACGTAGCGGATGAGATCCTGATACTTCAGTGGGAACGTACTTTATCTACTTTAGGAGTAATAAGGGAGGCGGGCGAATGACGAGTTGTACGGAGAGGACGGGAGGGGAGGGGGTTGATGATTCGACGGAGGGATAAGAGATTTATAAGGATGAGACTTGGGCCTTGGAGAGGATAATTAGTCTTTTGGAATTTAATATACAATTCCCCTAATTTCTACTTTCCACCTTAATATCATGATTTACGAGACGATAATGGCCCTTGATTGAATAGGTAAAATCTACCAATAATTTCAACCATTCGAAAGTGAAAAAAGATTCTAACCCCACTATACCTAACGTATGAACAAACAATGTTATAAAAGAGTATTAAGACTTGCCCTACCCTAACCTACTCTCCTCGACTTACATTAAAGTAACTGCGTACCTTCCATACACGACCTATAGACTATAGGAGAATTTGAAATTTCCTACTATGTCGCGTGATAAGGCAGGGGTAAGTAATGAGTATTCATCCAAGTCCCCCAACCTCGCTTAACAACCGAATCCGTGAATATGTAATCTTTCAAAAAGGGTTCTTATATCATACCAGTCTACGTACAGTACAGTACAGTACAGTACAGTATAAACCCTCCTTACTTTTCCCTCTCCATTTCGAATCTTCCATCCTCCTTACACTTATAACCATTCACACCATTCATTTAATATTATTCATGTACATACAAAAAAGAAAACCCCCTTCACCTGGACTCCAAAGCTAAAGCGAAAGCCTACCTAACACAATCACCGATTCATAACCCACGACTCACGACTTACAGTACAAGTGAAAGCCGCGAGTATGAGTATAAACATGAGTATGAGTATGAGTCCAAAACAGGTATATTATATCGATACACAATCATCCATTCAGATTTCAGCCATAAAGGATGTCAAAATGGTGAAATACTGTACTTGTATTCACAGACTTTTGCGAATACAATCATCTCCCTTGTTCCTGAAGTCAGAAGTCATAACATAAAAAGCAAAAACCCCCATAAAAACCCCCCTCTCTCCTCAAAAACCCATCTTCCAAACAAACCCTCGCAATCCTCGTAATCCTCGCACACTAAAACCACATCTCCAGATCTCGATCTTAATCCCAAGTTCGCACCGCAGTTCCAAGTTCGCACCACAGTTCGGTTCCTATCCCTGAGCACGTCTGATCTCCCAAGACCCAAGAATTCTCCTTGAAACCACGAGGGCAAAAGAGCTGGTTACGAGGTGAAAAGAGTATAGAGAAAGGAGAAAGGGGAAAAGAGAAAAGGGAAAAGAGAAAAGTGAAAAGAGAAAAGGGAGAAAGGGAGCCATGCCCACGACCCCAGAATCTATATTTCACCTCTCGCTGGGCTCTGATTCGCCCCTGGCACCAATACCTTATCGAGAAGAGCTAGAAAGACAAGATGATCAAGTCATGTCCAAACCCACGGACTCCTTCTTTCACTCGGAAGGGTCGCACTCTCCTACTGCACCATCATCTCCTCAAGAAGAACAACAGGACCAACGTATGGCCACATCCCCTGAATCCATATTTCACTTCTCGCTGGGGTCACACTTTGCTCCCACACCATCGTCTCCTCAAGAAGAGGGAGAACGGGAAGAGCGAGGAGAGCGAGAACATCAAGATGAAGAAGATCAACGCATGGCCACGCCCCCTGCATCTCTATTTCACTTTTCGGAAGGGTCGCAATCTTCTCCTGCACCCTCACACCCCCAGCAAGAGCCAGAACACCCACAGCCGCAAAGCGAGCAAGAAGACGGAGAAGACGATGATGAAGACAAATGCGCCATCTGCATGTCCCGTCTCCCCTCGCCACAAATCATTTTCCCCTGCGCCCACGACGTCTTCCACTACGCCTGCATTTTCCATTGGTTCCGAGACCAATACGACCGCAGCCCCCACAGCGGCCGCAAAGCAATAACTTGCCCAGTATGCCGGAGGTGGGTCAAAGATATCGTGATAGAGGAGTCATCATCCGTCACGACCGAGACAACCGTTCGAGAAGTATTTCTCAGGGAGAAGGTAATAGGAAGAGCGGAATTCAATTCTTGGGAGCCGCCGACTCAACTTGAAAGTATGGGTTGGGTTTCGTATCTGTTTCCTCTAACAGATAGTCGTCGTAAAGAGTAACGCCTTGCGTTGCTGGAAAAAAAGCGTGCGGAGGAGGAGAGGAGAAAGATGATAGATAAAGCTTTGGAGAGAAGGAAGGAGAAGCAGAGAGAGAAGATGGAGAAGAAAGAGAGGAGGGATGATGGGGGAGGTATTTGTGAAAGGGGTGGTGGGAGCGTTGAGCGGATCGGCGGGAGGTCCATGGAAGGTTCCAATGAGGGAACAGAGGAAGTCAAAACGCGAGAGAGGAGCGAGGAGGGACAAGAAGGGAACAGAGAGAGAAGACAAGAGGAGAATCTCACGGACACGATAGAACGAGAAATGGCCTTATTTCAAGCACGACTTCTGCTCTTCAGATGGCAGCGAGCTCAGCAACTCTTCCGTACTGCAACCCAAGATCACCAGGCAACTCTACAGTTTTTCAACGCTGTAAACTCTGAGCAGCTTCGTGCATTAATGCAACTTCATGCATCAATGCAACTTCACAGAGTGCGAGAACGAGAAGACTGGCCTGGTTGGGGAAGAGAAGACGAGACCGAGAGGACTCGAAGGAGTGCACAAAATCATTTTGACGAGGCATCCCAGATGAGGGACAGAGTAATGGCAGAGTTGATGGATGCTTCCAACCGCCTTGGTGAAGCTTCCTTGTATGTGTATAGGATTCGGGGCCATGTTGTGAAGGATGACGGGAGGCTGCCTGAGATATTCTATCAGAATCCTACTTTGATGGACGAGGTAATAGCCATAATTGGTATGGATGTTCCACAAAGTGTGGAAAGTCTTGATGAGAATGAGAGTCTGGGTGAAAGTCAGGGAGAAAGTCAAGGAGAATGTCAAGGAGAAAGTCAAGGAGAAAGTAGCGAGGAAAGAACAGAGGATATACCAGATGAGGATCCCGTAGGCATGATAGAACGAGAAGTCGTCGCATCTCAAGAAAGAATGGCCGACGCAAGATGGGAACGAGCACAGCAACAACTCTACATCGCAGCCCAAGACCGCGAAAGGACTCAACGGTATTACGATTCCATAATCCAAGAGCAACGAGAAGCAATCGAGCGGATTTGGAGAATGCGGGAACGGCTAGGGGATGGCCGAGGGATAGGAGATGAAGCAGAACGCCGCGTACAAGCTCTTTTCGCTGAAAGGATGCATGAATCTCGTATAGCAGAGAGAGAATTGGAAGACGTAGGCAGATATCGTCAAGAACCCGATCGTAATCATAGACAAAGGGTTTATGACCGAGGTCAGAGGGTCGAGGATTTCTATCGACAGACAGCGAATTCCTCTCCTAGGAATGAGGGACCGAGCAGGTCTAACATGAGCGCCTCCGAAAGAGTAGGCTCTCTTGATGGTTTTAATGATCGATTGACATCTTTCAACCCTCTGTCTTTTCAACGAGAATACAACAGAGAGCATCCGCGTTACCGTTCAGGTCCAAATCGACGGAATCATACGGACGAGGCTCGAGTTGCTGGTTACAACCTTGCAAGACGAAGGTCAGAAGATCAGGCGAACAGAAACGAGGCGAGAGATATCCTATTCCATATCAGAAGCGAAGAAGAAACATTTGAAGCAGAAAGAGCAGGTCGTGAAGTTACACCATCAAATTTGACACCACAAGATGAAGAACGAAACGAAGAACAAGATGGTAGACAGTCACGACCTGCTCTGACATCTGGTATCGGAGACGGTCTATCATCCTCGCCAAGAGAAAGTACACATGGCCCTAACCGTGAAGTGAATCCATGGGCTTTTTTGGATGAAATGTTTCGGTGAGCGAGGGGATCAGGGGATGTGTATGAATTGAACGGATAGTTTGGTAGGCGTATTTGGAGATTGGCTTCGTGGATCCGGGGTCAATCAGTATATGAATTCTTGGTAGAAACTCTCTCATACTGAGTAACTGGTTAAGATGCCTATTGTGCTGTAATAGATTCGGACTTCAAGTACATTTGTGTAGAGACTGCCTCTTTGAACTCTGATACCCAAACAGTCTAGATCAATAGGACGTGTTTTCCGATAAGGTTTAAGACTGCTCCAGGTTTCTCTCGAAGAAAACGTCCGCCTCCACTAAACGGACTTGCGAATTATCTCGTGTAAAGACACTTATGGATATCTTTCCTCGAAACGGTAGTTTGAATCGGTAATGTAGCTTGTTCCCGAAGATCTCGAGATAGAGAGATATCTCGGTAATAATGTCAGCATCAGCCCACATCAACCTCTCCAGTAACAAATAAAATGCCCCTGATACTTGTCGACAAGCAGGTGACTTTCAATCACTTTTCGCTCTGCAGTAAGTGAGGTGCGTCGACATCTCTCATTTGTTTAGACTCGAAGGGAACCACTGGCTGTTTGTTCGTAGGAAGATTCCTTCCCTTCCGAGTAGGAGAGAATCTGTACATACTTTGTAGATAGGGTGCAGGATATCTGACTAAGTGGGAAGCGTTGACGACCCCACGACTTGATGCATGTGGTTGAAGATATATGGAGGGTGTTGCACCGCAGTTGTAGGCGAGCGCACCCGAGAACACGACGTTCGGGAGCTTGGAAATTCTAGAAGCCATTCGTGGAATCTTGGGATTGCTTCCGGAGCCATGCAAGTGATCCTTGACGAGATGAGGCAGGTGTGTGTTGTGATACTTGAGATACTCTCTCACAGTCTCTGTACTCGCTCGACTCGTACTGGACTGGAGATATCGGAAGTTTGAAGCGACATGGAAATGTTTGTGGCTTCCCCACAATGCGATGCCCCACGAGGACCGTCTCCCGTCGCTTCTCGCCTCGCACGTTCTCGGCCTTGTCTGGTTCCTGGTTCCGATTGGAACAGCCGCCAGCGCTAATCGCGTTCTGACTAGCGTGAGTGCTGTGGGCCAATGACGTATTCATCCCGGCTTTGACGCCGAGACAATGACGGGATGGTTAATCTTTGGAGGAAGGAGCTGATGAGACATTGTTTTTTTGTTTTGAGATGGAAAAAAAAAGAGTCAAGTACAGTACAGGTGCACTCGTAGTCATATATATCATCTGCCATACCAAGTTAGTTCTATTCAAATAAACTAAATTCCAAATCCAAAATTCAAATAGAGTGATGAAAGTGCTTCGCCGCCCATCTGGGAGAGTGCGGATGATAGCGGACGGGGGTAGCTTGCGGAGCTGCCAGCCAAGCCGTTGAGATATCCGACGTCGCCAGGTTCAGCCTTTTGCGTGCATGCGAGTTCCCAATGACAGGCGGGAATTGCACCTGACGGACCCTCAACAACAGACGCTTCCACTCTTTCCATTGCTTTCTGTATCTTTGACCTGCTCGGCGTGCTTGGGACGTGACCCACCAGACAATCATCGTCAGCCGTTCCCTCCTCCAAGACCCGACTAACCTACGGACGGTGGTATAAGAGGAAAGCTTGGTCCTCAACTAAGAAGATAGTCGCGATACCTAGTGAGAGGACTAGAGGACTATCCATCAAGACTCTGACTCCGTCCCTTTCAAAAAAAAGTCGGCGCTTGCCTCGGTCTTCCCCTCCAAGACCAAGTCCGCCATCACCACGTCTAGTCCCCATCAACACTTCTTCCAATCCCTTCGAGACACCTCAATTCTTCAAAAGATACTTCCCGCGACCACGACCACGAGCACGACAACGCACAATCGACCCACGAACATCGACCGCCCCAAAACCCCTCTAGCACGGTGGAGCGGCGACTGGGCGCAACCAGAATCTGAATGCCCCGACACCACCTTATCCTTTTGCGAGCACCGACCGATTGGGGGATCCGAGTGGGCACATTGCGTTGAGAGGATTTGAGAGGCCGAAGAGCAGAGCGATTGCGATTGCGAGTTGGGGAGAGATTCGCGCAAAACACCAAGAAATCCCGCACCTGCGAAGACATTCCCGACGAGGGGGAAAAGGGGAACACAAATCGGCCACCCGTGCCACGATAAACACCAGGTTGCAGCAAGATGGCGTGGTCCCACCTCTCCATCAATCGCCCGCATTTGGTGTATATCATTTTGGGCGGCTTCACCTCGCTCTTCATGTTATGTTCGACTTTTATCAAGGAACGACTGTACATTGGTGAGGCCACGGTCGCAACCATTGTGGGCATCATTTTTGGCCCACACGCTGCAAACTTGATCAATCCACTAGATTGGGGGAACACCGATCAAATCACTCTCGAATTCTCGCGAATTGTCTTGGTGGTCCAATGTTTTGCCGTAGGTGTGGAATTGCCAAAATACTACATGGAGAAGCATTGGAGATCGGTGGTCTTCTTGCTGATTCCCGTCATGACGTTCGGATGGCTCATCACCAGTCTATTCATCTGGTGGATGGTGCTCCCACTCACATGGCTCGAAAGTCTTGCTGTGGCAGCCTGCGTGACGGCAACTGATCCCGTCCTGGCCAGTTCCGTCGTGGGTAAAGGCAAGTTTGCCAAGCGAGTACCCAAGCATTTGCGAGATATTCTGTCTGCCGAGTCAGGGTGCAACGACGGCATGGCCTTTCCCTTCATCTATTTGGCTCTGTATTTGATCGAATATAGGCCTAAAGCCGACAAAGTCTTCTTCAACTGGTTTGTCCTTACTGTCCTTTACGAGTGTGTCTTTGGCGCAATCTATGGGTTTACCATTGGATATATTGGTAGACATGGTATCAAGTACGCCGAGAATCATGACCTGGTCGACAGAGAAAGTTTCCTGGTCTTTTACTTTGTACTTGCCCTTTTCTGTGCTGGTTCTGGTAGTATACTTGGTGTTGATGATCTACTTGTTGGATTTGCCGCTGGAGTAGGATTTTCCAATGACGGATGGTTTACACAAAAGACCGAAGAATCTCACGTGTCCAACGTTATCGATTTGTTACTGAATTTGGCTTATTTTGTTTATCTGGGAACCATCATACCTTGGGAACAGTTCAACAATACCGAGCTAGGACTGACACCATGGAGATTGGTTGTCATTGCTATCTTTGTCATTTTGTTCCGCAGAATACCCATCATGTTAGCACTAAAACCATTGATACCAGACATCAAAACATGGAGAGAGGCTCTTTTTGCCGGTCATTTTGGTCCTATTGGCGTGGGAGCCATTTTCATCGCAATTCTTGCCAGGGCTGAACTTCAAACAGACTCGACGACGCCATTGGCATCCTATACGGACCCTACAGCCGAAAACTATACCATCGTAGCTCTGATATGGCCAATCACCACTTTCCTAGTTATTGCTTCGATCATTGTTCACGGGTCATCGATTGCAGTTTTTACACTCGGCAAACATATCAATACACTAACATTGACCATGTCATACACTACAGCAAATGAAGGCCCAACATGGATGAACAGACTCCCACGTATATCCTCAACTTCAAGGTCACAAGCGAAATCTGTGGCTTCCGATACCGAGGCTGATGAAAAGATACCCCCAGGATCTCTGCCTCCTGTTGGTATGCCGGGTAACTTTCTCCGACGGCAAAAGGAAGAAGACAATCCAAGTCGTGGCAACAGTCGCGCTTCGTCTCTTATTCCACGGCGAAGAAAGAAGAAGTGGGACGATGGACTTGGTCCCGGAGGACCCATTAGTGACTCTGCCATCTACCCACAATCAAGGCGCCAGAGTGAGCAGAATAATGAACAAACTTCAGATACTCTGACTCCTGGTGATAGGTCGCCGAACGAAAAGGATATCGACGATGAGCGGAACGAGGGTGAACTTGGAGAGATTCAAAATGACCCTGACATGTACGCCATTAGACACCGGAATTCCAGGGAAGATAGGCGAGATCAACACAAATCTGATGCTGAAAGAAATCCCGAGGGGATGGAGGTGTACGATGAAGGTGATGAAATTGTTGTTGAGAATGAGGATGGTGATGTTTTGGCTGTGCGACCGATCAAAAGTCCACGTGAAGGTGGTGTCGAAAAAGTAAAAGAGGACATTCAGCAGAGTGAGAATGTTTATAAGAACTTGAGAAAGAAACTTGGAGTTTGGAGACATAGAGATGAAGCAGATGTTGAGGGCGAAATGCGTCATGACAATAAGGAGACTCATAAAAAGCGCGGTCCGGCGCTAGCCTACCAGTTTGGCAATACCGTAAGCTTGTCACATTTTCCTCTCATGCTGTCCGCGGTTCACTAACATGTAAATAGATCATCGTTGAAGATGAGGATGGAGAAGTGGTCAAGAAGTACGATCTCCCTCCAAGCAATAAACCAAAGAAGACACCGGGAGTCATGAGCAACTGGCCAGGATTTGGTCCCAAGAATCCAGATTCTAAAGCCGCAGGATCCAAAGATGGTTCACCTTCTCCCGTGCCAGGCCCATCCACGGTTCGGCAAGGTATTTCTCGTATGGGGACATGGGCGGGCGCTGGAAAGAAACCCGAAGAGGATGACGAAGAAGACGATAAGCACATCCGTTTCACAATCGGTAGCACGAACCATCGTCTAACCAAGGAAGAGTTCCTCAAGGAGATCCAAAGCTTGGATCCTAAAGCCCGTGGAGAGATCATCAAGGGAAGTAATGCGCCTGCTGAGTTCAAGGAAGCGGCGAAGAAGGACGCGAGTGCCGATAATCCTGGAAGTGCTAGGATTTTTGGAGCGAGGAAACCACAAGGTGGTTCTTCTTACTCTCGAACTGGGAAGGGCGCGGCGCCGAGAGGCAAAGAATCGACAAGCACAAGTCCCCAAATTGAGGTAAGCGACGAGGAGCAACCACCTACGATATCTCGACCTACCGCCGGGGCTCAAGCTTCGAAACTTGTCGCTTCGTCTTCACGGGACCCATCATCTTCCGACTCCTCGTCAGCGAATAACCAAGAAACTTCCGCTGAACGACGAAGACGAGAACAAGCTCTCAAGGGCGTTGATGGGGTTGAAGATAGTTACTCTCGCGGGCGTAGGCGGGAAGTAGACGAGGATGAGGAGGAGATGGAGATGGAGGAGACGGCCGCCGAGAAGAGGAGGAGGGAGGCGGCGCTGGGTGTGGGGGCTGGCGATAGTGATAGTGATGATGATGACACGCCGAGGGTGCCGCCTCCTGCGCATCAGAGTAGGAGTCGTGGGATCAGGTTTGCACAAAGTCCGGTAAGGGGGAAGAATTAGTGATGGTTAATGACGGAGGAGCATAGGGGGATAGATGTTTACGTTCTTGGGTGGGTATATATTAGATTTTTGGGGGTTGAATGTGGTACATATGATCTTGGTGCGCTCGGTCGACTGGTTGGTTGATGGACTAGATACTCTGTTGTTGAAGGGGTCATTGGTAGATAGTTTTGCACATCATGGCGGGGCATTTGCATAGTAGGTCATGGGTTTGGCTGTTAATGTATATATGGATCATCCGGTGTAGATGAAGAATTTGAATATACGGATTGTATATGCTGTTTTTTGATAGACCCCTAGATCGTATACCTGGCTCTTGAGTAGGCGAAAGAGGAGAAATAGACTTTGTTACGAAGAGAGCTTTTCTGGTACTGTACGGAGGATGAGTAGTAAACATTCGCCAGTAGTAAGCGAGCCAGGGTCATCGCATGGGCGGCTGGCTTACATAATGAGGGGTCGTACCGTACGTCGTACGTGATGTGATGTCTTACTTACCATGCTTCCGCTTATCCACCTACCTACCTCAAAAGATTGGGTAGGTAGGGATTTTCCCATCGGTGCCACGTTGAAAGTCCCACATTTATCACTACACAGCAGCAAGTGCTTTCCTTAGTCATAGTATCTATCTATATCTCTATATCAAAATCTCCACATCTATAGTATTTAAGTTCCCCCGTTCTATCATCTATAATACACATATATATACAACACATGTCCACCCTCTGCCCAGCCAGCGCAGCAATCCTCACTTTTAGTGACGCGGACCTTGTACACATCTCCCCGCAAAGTCAGAGTCAAAGTCAAAGCCGGTCTAAGCGAAAGCAGCGGGACGTCGAGGCCCGCAAAAGACTGCTGGAGAGGAGTATCGATGTGAGGTTGGAATGTGAGTTTAGTGATGGCCGGCTGGTGGTCAAGAGCTGGGGGGGTACGGAGGGTTGGTGTGGTTCGGGTTCTTGTGAGTTTTGTTACATGTTTGGGGATGGGGTTGAGAGGGTTTGTGGGGGTGAGTTGGGGAAGAGGGATGGGGGGGTTGGGGGGTGTGTTGGGTTGAGTGTTGTGGTTGGGAAGGTGGAGGTTCGGAGGGATGCGGGGTTGTGGGTATCAGCTGAGGGGAGGGAGAGGGAGAGGAGGGATATTCATTTGCTGCTTTTTCGTGCGATGGCTGTGTTCTCTTCTGGGATTCCAGGAATTGAGAAAGCGAGGGGATTTCCTGTCGATGTTGCGTTTGAGTTCTCTGGTAGGGAGGAAGATCCTATCGTAACTGCTCTACGGATCTCACGCCGGCCATTGGAGGAATATCCACTGTCACCACTTAACGTCGAGAAGATCCAGAGATGGATGAGAGACTGTGACGCGAATCATGAGAAGTGTCCGAAGGATATCCAGCTCGACTACCTCCCTACCCGTCTCCTCGACGTCGGGACGTTGCAGTGTAGTCACGATCCAAAACTCATTCTCTCCGCCGAAGCATTTCCCAACCATGGAAGCAAGCCGATCTACATGGCTCTAAGTTACTGCTGGGGAGCACCCGAAGATCTACGAGACCTCCTGACCACCACGCGAGAAACGTTATCCGCAAGACGGACAGACATAAAGATCACGTCCATGCCGCAAACCTTCCAAGACGCTGTGCGGACCGCAAGAGCGTTAGGGATAAGATATCTATGGATTGATTCCCTCTGTATCATCCAAGATAACGAGGATGATTGGAAAGCCGAGTCGGGGAGGATGGCGGAGACGTTTAGTACCGCTTACCTCACCGTCATTGCCGCATCCAGTGATTCCTGTCACGAAGGCTTTCTACAGAGACGAGAACGACCGAGTTGTTCTGTCCCTGTCGTCCTCACGAACCCTATGAGTACCCCAGGTTCTTCATCCATCGAAGGAACGTTCAGTCTACGCTACCGCCATCTCCACTGGGGAAGCGATAAAATGGCCGAGACCAAACTAGGACGATGGATCAGCCGGGGCTGGACATTCCAAGAAGAGCGTCTCGCACGCCGGGCCCTGATCTTCGGGGAAGGCAAATTGTTCCTCGACTGCAGGACCCTAGAGCGAACCGAGGACACAGCTCTATACAAACACCGTCCCGACTGGGTCGAAACCGTGCGAGAATCCGCATGCGAAGAAGCCATCGAACCAGGAGCACTCAAACGCTCCAACACCGGATCAGCATACCTCCACCGTCGAACACCCTACGACCACTGGCGCACCCTCTGCAACCACTACTCCCGCCGCACCCTCACGTACGAGAAAGACAAGCTCCCGGCCATCTCAGGCATGGCGCGGCAGATCCTGAAGNCCCTACGACCACTGGCGCACCCTCTGCAACCACTACTCCCGCCGCACCCTCACGTACGAGAAAGACAAGCTCCCGGCCATCTCAGGCATGGCGCGGCAGATCCTGAAGAAAGACATGGCGGAATCCGCCTACCTCGCCGGTCTGTGGCGCGAGAACCTGCTGCATGATTTATTCTGGCAGCCCGTGGAGGGAGGGAGGAAGCCAGCGGTGTATAGGGCGCCGTCGTGGAGCTGGGCTGCGATCGAGGGCCATATCTCGTGGCCGACCTGGAGGTACTGTGTTGAAGGGGAGTGTGAGATTTATTGTGAGGTTGTGGATGCGTGGACGAGGACGGATAGTTTGGATCCGTTTGGGGCTGTGACGGGTGGGAGTTTGCGGATTTGTGGCGCGGTGAGCGAGGTTGAGATGTTGGGTATTGGTGCTGAATCTGTGTCGAAACAGGGACCGCGGTCGCTTACTTGGGAAGGGAACTTGGTGGCTACTGGGAGACTGGATACTGCTATTCCTGATGGGTTGGGGAATATGAGGTATTGGGCTTTGCTTATTGCGAAGTGTAAAGTTAAGGAGGGGAAACCGGCTGTTCCTAGGGGACTACTCTTGGAAAAGAGAGTATGTGATGATGGGACTGAGGAATTTGAACGTGTGGGTATATTTAAGGTTGTTGCAGATGACAAGGAAGGGAGGAGTCCTCTCGAGGCGTGGCAGTCCTTAGGGAAGCAGACAATTACTATTATTTGAACTGGTTCCAAGAGCACCTAATGAGGTTCCAGCAGTGTTAGAAGGGAATTGAGGGTACTATAATGGTCAACCGGTCCCACAATTGTGGCCGTAAGAGAGAAGATACCTTAAGCGGTAGTCAAAAGGGGCTTGGAACCAACATGTGAAAATGCAGGTGTAAATGAGCCGTGAGGAAAGGCATCATTCATATACAATATTGGATAATATACATCTCAAGCCATACTTTTGTCTCCGAATCGCCTTGCCCTTCTGCTAGTCATACGCATATACCCGGCAACACAAGCAAAGATAACAGCCAAGAAAAATGCCTTTTGCAAGAGACTGAAGCCTTCAGAGGAGACCTCATCAGTGATAGGAGTTGCAATAATAGGACTACTAGTTTCGGTAGTTTTGGGTGTATCAGTCGAAGTGTTGAGTGGCTTTTCATCGTCTTCTGATTCTCCGTCCATAAATTCGGCGTGGCCATATGCATCTGTTCACGAGACAGCCGATCAGTGAGTCCAATAATGCGTAGAGCACGAGAGATTGCTTTATAGTTCCACGTGGATACCTTCTTCTGGTACTGGGAGCTCTCCGCTCTTAGTAATTGTGACCTTCTGGACAGGCTTGTCGCCGGGTCCTTTTGGAACCAACTCGATCTTCTCGACGATCTCGTAACCCTCGAGGACTTCACCAAAGACAACGTGTCTGCCGTTAAGATGGCTAGGAAAGTGTTAGGTTTGGATACGTAGGTGATATGGAGTGAACTAATTACCCTGGAGTTGAGGTGGTGATGAAGAATTGGGATCCGTTGGTATCTTTTCCGGCGTTGGCCATAGAAAGAAGACCTTTCTTGGAGTGCTTCAACTTGAAGTTCTCGTCTGCGAACTTCTCTCCGTAGACTGCGACCAATCAGTCCCTTTCTTGGAGTTCAATCTCTCGCAAATACATACTTGACTTTCCGCCAGTGCCGTCATGCTTGGTGAAGTCGCCTCCCTGGATCATGAAGTTCTGGATAACACGGTGGAAAGTAGAGCCCTCATATCCGAATCCCTTCTCCATGGTAGCGAGAGCTCGGAAGTTCTCGGCAGTCTTTGGAACAGTCTTCCCATAGAGACCCATAACGATACGACCCATTGGCTCATCGCCGTGAGAGATGTCGAAGTAGACCTTGTGGGTGATCTTGGGGCCCTTGGTAGCTTGAGCTGTTTGGGCAAAGAAGAGGAAGGCGACAGTGATAATCAGCAGAGCTGAGACCACAAAGCGCTGCATTGTGAACATGATAGACGTCAACTCGATGGATGAAGTTATTGTAATGCAATATGGGAGAAGGTTTCGTGGTGCCGGACCTTCGAGTTGTTCTTTCAATGGGAGGGGACTCGAAAGCTGAAGGGGACAGCTTGTTATGTTCGTTCCAGAGAAGTGTCCGAGCGCTGATCACGTGGCTATTTTATACATGCGCAGGCCTGGAGGCTTCATTCCTGGGGAAGAATTTGGAGCGACGACAACATCCAACCCATGGAATTGCCCTGGTGATAGCTACGACAGCTTCCATACCGCCACAATGGTAGAGAAACACCCTCCCTTCAATGTGCGATCCTCTGCTAATGCCCTCAGGTTTTCCTTCTGGGGATCAACTTTCCCGAACACCGCCTACTTAAGGTATGAAGGCAACCAGTACCCATTGTATAGCACCACGGATACGGTGGCTAACTCTGCTTCAAGCACTCCCTCGAGACCTTCTACGGCATCGGAACTCAACACTCTACCCGAATCTTAGCAAAGTTCTCCATCTTTCAACGAGCGACGGTCGGTTCCATACATCCAAAAACAATTACTGCCATTACTGCCGAACTCTCCAATATGACCATCGAGACGGATCTAAGGAAAAAGGTTCGAGAAAACATTGCGCGATTAAAAGATATGGGTAGTTATCGTGGAAGGCGGCATGCCATGGGTCTGCCAGTGAGGGGTCAGAGAACCAGAAGTCAAGTAGGTTTATTGTGTCTTGGGGGATAGTATTAGGTGCTAACGACTCATAGATCTTGACGGCGAGAAAGCTGAACAGGACGGACCGTTTCGGATAGTCTATGCTGCGACGGACATATGTATAAACAAAGTTCTGCATTTTCGGCGTTGGGTACTGTACATTGCATTTGCCGGAACGAATATACCAAGATTCGAGGTCGAAGATACTTGTTATTGTTCAGGTTCGATAACAGGGACCGTGATTCCAATTGAACAGGATTGGGAGCTCGCTGGGTTCAAATCTCAGGAATCAAGGTTCTCGCAGAACACTACTGGACGCTTTTCCCGCGAGTCCCCTTAAAAGGCAATATTGCAAAGGGCTCGATTGTTGAAGGGCTGCTCTCACAACTGTGAGAGGGTGGTGAAAAGTGATACTTTCGGTAGGAAATAGCCAGCGCTTGCAGTGATGAACCCACGTCTTTCTACCACTCGATTCCATCTCACTGTCTTTGCTAGCTGCCAGATTCTTCTATTTCTAAAGGTGGTATCTAATACCTCGAGTGAGGTCCTTTCGTGCTATATATACACACCGCTGAAGCTTTTCTTGTTGCTTATAGGGGCAGTGGTGCCATTCAAGGAAGGCAGAGGCTGGCGGGCGTTTCTAATTATTTCAACACTTGTGCTAGTCGTCTCAATTACCAGTTCAGTATTACAGGAGCAAGCAGTATCGGTTGTCCATCCACCATCGCGGAGCACTGTACTGTTACTTGTGCAGTTCTATAATCTTTGGACACCGTTTCCAACTGTGTCTTCCACGAAGTTCCCAATCTTTCCTGTTCCATCATAAACCATGTAGCTATTGTAGCCGTTAGGCTGCTGTCCCAACATTCCTCCCGTCGTGGATATTGGCGCATAAGTCTGATTGCTTCTTGGCGAACACTCATGTCTTCCCCACAAACTGCGGCTTCGAATAAAGAACCGAGGACACTGTCATCTGTGGAAAAGAACGCTCGTGGGTCGTGCTCTCTGTTGCCTAGAGTTTGCACACTTTCTAGCAGCTCGCGTGCTATGTCAACAATTGGTTTCGAGTCAATTGGCAATGCGGGATCGATATTTGGTCCAGGTCCATATGTAAACATCGACTGGTAAGGACAAAAAGTCAGCAGAGTTCTGGCAACTTATTTCTCGTCACATCTTACCTTGAAATATTTCATCTGCAAAATACTGGCGCCTTGGAAACCGATACTCGATCTTGCTTCTCCTCTGCTTCGCACAAACAGAGGTAAAAATGCCCGATGCCACCGTTCTATGTCCCCGGCATGTCTTGATATATGGTCGTTCATGGTTGTAAGCAGATGTCGTGGTACATGAGCTCTTATATATCGACTCCAAAGATATATGTTGGGACTGTTTCCGGCAATCGATGAATTTTCTTCAAACCCATATGCAGCTCGCCAACGGACAGTACGCCGTTCCAGGATATCCCAATAAAACCGAGCGACTTTTATCGAATAAAACTCGGGCATCATATTTCCCAAAAATCGTTCGTCCGAATGGCCGTCCGGGGGGTAGTCTTCAAGGGGTACTGATGGCCTCAAACGTTTGTGCAACCCCGTTTGTATCCTTGCAAATATGCCAATGAGGTCCAGGTCGACCATCACAACGATCTTCTCTATCGATGGCAGGTTTGAGCCATGTCGCTGCTCGAGGAATCTAGTTAAGAGTTGAATTCCCATCTGAGCCTGTCGAACCCCCGAGCCCCCCGAGCAAAAGAACTCGAAGGAAAGTGTAAAAATGCAGGATACGAGAGCATTTCGAAGGTTATACTCACTTTCCTCACCGCCTAAATCGAGTTGACGCATGAACTGTAGAGATTTGGCGTACTGTTTTACCGCATAGTCGTGGTCTGCTCCCACAACTGCTTCTCTTTCCTGACTCCGTTGTCCAGACATGGAACTGCGCGTTCTGAAGATGGTGGACCTGTGAATTGCTCCTAATGCTACGACAGCGTGTCGTGCGTATTGCTCTCTATGGCAGGCTTGAAGCATAAAGTTGCCCCAAACTACGGAATCGAAGAAGCCGGCTATTGAGGGGATGGTTTCTGTTCTGAAGTAATTGAAGTATTTGTACTCGGCTTCTGATACGAAGAGTGCCCTCCAGTTCACCCGATTATGTGGACTCTCTACAGTTTGAGAGATGTTAGTTGATTTACTTGGTTCTTCTGGATGCGCTGGAGTTACACTTGCCCTCAGGAGATGCCGGGGATGACAAATAGACGGGGGAAGACGACGATGAATCTGATGAAGGAGATGTTTCTTTAGATTGAGATGTATTTCTTGCGATGAGAAGTCTGGCTGTGGAAGTGGACGACATTCGTGAGTTTGGATCCAGTGGGTAGCCGCCACACACTATTCCTGCTTTTATGCATCGGTTGCAGCCTGCGAGATTTCTGGCTTCATCGCATTTGACTCTTCTAGCTTTGCCTAGATAATGAATTAATGATGTTTCCTGTCTGTAAATGGATGTACTCACATGTTTTGCATCCACTTCGAACTTTAGGAGCTGAGGATCTCTTCTTGAACTGTTTTACTTCTGTCATATCTGATGCTGAGGTTATTCTATCCCTTTGTGTTTTCTATGTTCCTGATTATATAAGGCGTTCGTTGTACAAGAAATTCCGAATAAGAGAGCGACACTTTAAGCTTAAGCTTTTGATGGTGCCACCACACCTACGGTTCAACTTATAACCTGCCAGATGGAATAGATGCAAGCGTATAAGCGACTCGATGTCTCGGGTAGTTACCCGTTGTGGTGACCATAACGAACCACGCCGCAACTCAGATTGTTTTGGGACTATGAAAATTGGAATGCGGACCAATGGTGTAAGCGTCCATATACCACCCGAGGCCTATTCCTACCCTTTCATACACTTGATTTCTAAGACCTATACAAAATGCCACCGGCATTAAGGGTGCCTATGCGGCGTATGATCTTTCCCAAATCCGCGCCCTTGTACATTGGTGCTAACCTATGAAAAGCCTACATTCTCTTTAGACTCTTAAACTCCTCACACAAACTTGTACTGGGGAACATCGTTGAACAGAGGGAGTGGCATAGCAATGGGATTCTCAGCCCTAACAGGGTGGTAATACTACTGGCACGCAAGTAAGCTGGTAAATCCACGTATTCCATTGGTCTACGCGGGGGTATTTTACGAATTATCCAATCAAAGACATGCAATGAAGCAAACCCCCAACTTTAAACGTCGCGTATCTCCATAAAGGGGTAGCTCCGTGACAGCTCGCTCAATGGGAGCCGACCCTGGAATAGTCAAATTGCGCTGTGCATTCCGGATTGGGTTCTAGGACCCCACGAGTCGACGTATGGTCCACTCTGATTCATCTATTTCATATTCCTTCCAACGGAAGTATTCCTCACCTGCCTATGCTTCTCAAGGCATCAATATTCTTGCCCTGTTCTAGGCAATGGACATGCGGCAACCGAAGTAAAAAGTCCGGGAAGTCATCCGTGACCCGTCCCGCGAATCCCCATGTCGAAAAGTCTTTGGAATCACGAGTGTAATTCAACGGTGACCATTATGGCATTATTGTAAGGAGCCAGAAACTAAAGGTATGACTGCAGTCCCAGACGATAGTAACGGTCACTTTCTACCGCTTTCGGATCCTACAGTACCCAGTGCTTTATCAGGCTTACTAAAAGCTTTCCATGAGTACAGCGGCTCGAAGACGTGTGGTTGTCCCAATTCTAAGGCAAAAACAAGAAGTAACATGAATGCGGCACAAGCAAACTATTTTTGGACATCGCGGTATAATATGTAGACTACCGCATTGTTTACTCTAGCATTATTAATCGACGATCACGTCGCGGTAAACGCTCCAACTCAAAAACCCCTTCATGGATGCTTTCCGCGCAATCCACATTTCAAACCCACGCTCATAGGGCTGGATCTCCCTTCGTATTGCCTGTACAGAAATCAAGCTCCACTAAGATGACTAGCGCAATCAAGAAGCCTCTAAGCCTCACCAAATAGTGGAGATTTCATTAACTCCTACCGGCCCCGCCCTAAGGTTGACTTTCTTATCGTACCTATTTTTGAGTACCGCTATCCGTTTTGGTAGTTGTAAGATGGTACACTGGTAATCAGACCTTGGTTCACTCCATGAAAACTAGATCCTTCGGTAGTTCTCCCCGCTGGATTATCCAGATCCGGATTGTTGCCGGATGTGAGAGGCCAGACCTCGAATAGCTCAAAGGTGTGGTTTCGAATATTCAATTAAGAAGTGCGTGAAGACTACATACATGCAATCTCTTCCTCTATATATAGAGAGAGGAAGAGTTTCTGGAGTCTTCCAAGAAACTGTTTGACAAATACGTGACGTCAAAAGAATAGAGTAGAAAAGTGTAGAAAAGGAGAAACCAATTTAGCAGTGGAGCAATGGCCAATGCTGAGCGGGGACTTTGGTCAGTGCTTAGCGAGGGCATGGCGCGAGCCTCCATCATGGGTTCCAACCCTCACACCGGATGACGGACAGGAAAGTCGGCTGGGGTTGGTGCCGTGTTGTGAGGGGCAAATTGGGCAGTGTCGTCAAGCTTCGAATTATGGTACGAGTTTACTGGGTTGATATCCTTCCAATATGAAAAGACCTTGGATATGTCAATCCTTCTGCTGCAGTGACATTCCGCTCCCGAGGCAATAGAAGGATAGAAGCATCAGTCAACATTAGGAAAGTAGTCTGATACTAAGACATGCTTGAACTCGTTAGTTAAAGATTGAAAATAACAGCCAGGCTGTTACATGCTACTTCTGTTCCATATCGATATCGCTGGAGGCAAACGCTCAACCAAGTCCGCCGATTTTGTCTCCTCACTCAGATATTCCACGAGCTTGGTTGAGCTGACATATCCACGTTCTCGGGATCCTTAAGATAAAGCAGGACCATACTGGCCCAGGCATTCTGTAGATCACAGCCTGTAAAAAATGATGAGGTAATAACATTTTGGGGCTGCATAACGGTTCGGATCTTGGATACCATACTTCATGAAAGGGGCAGTGTAAAAAGGAGGAGATGTTATTGTATGTGCGAAAACAGGTGTATTGAGTTCCTCTGTATATTTTGCCAGATGGTGGCAAAGGTTTTTTTGTGTTCCAAAGGAGTATGGAAACAACCACAGCCTTTCTGCTAGATCATTCGCTTAGAATCTGAAGTCTCTACAAACCAAATGCACCTAGATAAGTACCAGTCATCTGCGGGTCAATAAACACTGCTACGGTGATAACCCATCACCTATAATAGCATCTGTGTCAAGTTGCCTCTCGACTTAACATTTCCAAAGTGCAATACAGTATATTTACTGCACCCCTATTTCAGAAACGAGTTCGCTCTTACTTACCTTGCCAAGAGGATTCAATGAAAGACCTCAAGCATGTCATAAGCAAAGACAAGAACCAAAGCCTGCTCACGACATCAAATCTGGCTTGATACGAAAACCCATTCCATACAGTATTGGTGTAGTCATGCATGGTGGCTTTTTGGTTCCTGGAAATGCGATTTCGTTCGGGTCGCTCACAATTTCTGTTATTGGGACTCAGCCCCGCGAACTGAGAACGATTCGCACATCCAGGGATTTATGCTACATTCACCGACATGAAGGAATTGGAAGTTTTGGTCGCCGACGTCGGGAAATGTAAGAACGTGCCACAAGAATTTGGAATCAAAATAGTTGCTGTTTGCAGAAAACTTGTTACAGATGCTGATGAACCTGCTTCATCTTGCGTATAAAATTCTTCAATATGTTTATTGCATTCTTATCCAGGATGACAAATCTAATGAGATAAACCCACCTGGCGCAAGCACCAGCAAGATAAGTTTGGAGGAGGTCTCCAATTGTTTTACTTGTCCCTATAAACAAGTTTAGCCGGTGTGTTGCACAGAGATGAAATCTTTTAGATATCGTGATATAACATAGACAAGCAGGTTTTGTTATATGTTACTCACTAGTTCTAAAGTCGACAAACTACCTCCGTACAGCCCAAATATAGTAACAAAATACACATTCTATCCCTTCCCAGAGATATATGGATGTCTAAATCTAGTTTATTTGCCGTTTTTCACTATGACGTTTCGGACTTTCATGATGCTATCTACAAAAACACAACTTGAATGTGTACGAATTCTGAGACACGCGGTAAAAGATCCAATTTGTATCTCAATCTAATAAAAGTAAATTAATCCAGTAGAACATTTTCGTGTCCTTGCGGAAGTTTTTAATATTAGAAGCAGTAAATAAAATGTACTACTTATATCGCCAGCTTCTTTTATCAAAGCCTTTGGGTGGTCGACGGCGAAGTAGAGAATTTTGTGGTTAATTTCGCTATGCTAACCCTGTACAACTTGTTTTTCCATCATTTGGGGAGATAATCTTCAAGAAAACAATATCGGACCAAAGTAACAGCCAGAAAATCAGGATAAGTATTTCTTTCGTTGTCACCCTTTCTAATAAAGTAACTCAAAGGACTTAAATACTTTAGTTCCTAGCCTCAGTCATCCGACAACTCTTAACAACTAATTGGTGTAACATACTCACTGTCTTTTCTTTGCCCTTATGCATAGGTCGTATGTGGCGTCAGGGCTTCGGAAAGGTGAATGTGCGGGGTTGCCCGCTTCTAGATTTTAGTACTGTAAGATTACAGTAATCAAGTCCATCTTGTCTCCATTGCACTGCAAAACTACGAGAAATTATTCCAAACAAAGTACCAATCGATTCATATCAACCATGAATACATCACGAGTGCGAAATCAAGATCTCGCCGGAAAGGTAGCAGTTGTAACAGGAGCGTCACGCGGTATCGGGCGAGCAGTTGCTCTGAACCTTGCATCACGAGGATGCTCTATTCTTGGAACATGCTCCAGCACAGAGAATATCGCCATGATAAATTCCCTCAATCAAGAAGTCGACACTATCTTCGAGGGGATTATTCGGAAACAAAAGATCACAATCCTCGGAATTAGTGCCAACATACTCTCGTCCACATGTGCTGAGACAATTGCAAACACACTCGTCGAACACTTCTCAAGCAAGGTTGATATCTTTATCAATAACGCAGCCGATGGACGTGATGCTGTTCTTGGAGAACTGATAGTTGAGGGAATCCAGGAGAGTTTGATAAGCAACATTCAAACGCCTGTCTTGATCGTGGAGGAGTTTGTAAAGAGGAAAATGTTCCAACCCGAGGGAAGAATCATATACATCTCTTCAATCAGGTCACGACAACCATGGTCTCACCAATTGATGTACTCGGCTGGGAAGTCTGCTGGAGAGTCTCTTTGTCGGACATGGTCACAAGCATTTGGTGGGAAGGAGGAAGAGGTAAGTGTTTTTGACCTTTTCTAGTTACATGTAGCTGATTTACCCCTCCCAGTTCTCATTCATGGCCGGTACAACAGCAAACTCCGTGACAGTTGGATTGACTCAAACCGATTCAATCATGAAATGCCCCCCCGATGCTTTAGAAGACTTTAAAAAAGAATTCTTCCCGCTTCAGTCGTCGCCTCGCTTTGGTCAACCTGAAGATGTTGCAGATGTAGTTGGAATGCTATGCAGTAGAGACGCCAGATGGATAACCGGCCAGGTTATATCAGCTTCGGGTGGTGGAGTAAAGATTGGATGAATTTTCCGACTTTGATAACAACAGCTGCGATGAGACTACTGTACAATATCATGATGCTTGGCAAAGCGGGGTTGGTACCACTTACCAGTCAACATTATAAAGTGGCAATAAATGACGATCCCGTATTTTTTCTAGAATGAAACAAGCTCGAGACAGGTCATAAAATCTTAAAGTGTGGGATTATTGTTCGAATTATTCTCAATTATTCAAATGAATCTTTCATTTAGTAGAACAATTCAATTTTACCCTAGCTAAAGGGTCAGGATAAATGAAGGTGGCTACCTAGAGTGTAGCCGCTTTTAGTAACATCTCCCAAAGGACTGGAAGTGCTTGGAATCTTGCTTGGAAACCTCAAAAAATACTCCTTACAAGACTTCGTCTGCGATGGGCCCATATACCGCCTCGTTAGATCCTAAAAAGAAAGAAATCAGACAGCTTGTTCTCCAGCCCCTCAAAGCTGGAAACGTAATTCAGTGCTCGACTGAAACGATATCCTTATTGGAGCAACCCGAATTTGAAGCCTTATCTTATGTTTGGGGGGATGCATCAATTCGACAAACCATCACATTCAATGGTTCCCCTTTTACAGTGACCCAAAACCTCGCCATCGCTCTCCGGTATCTTCGACTGCCAGAAAAACCACGGAGAATTTGGATCGACGCTTTGTGCATAAACCAAGAGGACACCAATGAGCGAAATAGTCAGGTCAGCATGATGGGCGAGATCTATAGGTGTGCAAGCCCGGTATTGATATGGCTTGGCGAGTCTTCAAAAGATACTGATGAGGCATTTGCCTTGATATCTCATGTCTACAAAGAACATGACATTACCAAGGAGATGTCTCGACTGCTTTTCTCTTTCTATATACAACTTGTAGGAAGAGAGTGGTTCACTCGCCTTTGGACTATCCAGGAACTCGTCCTCGCTAAACAAGACCCCCTCATAGGATGCGGACTTTCCTGGACGACCTGGAGTACACTGTTTGGGGTGTGGCAAAGAGTAGCCATGAAGGAATTTTCGAAGATGGGGATGGTGATGCTCAAAGAGGGGAGAAGTAACGAGGATAAAGACAGCGTGAATGTCGTAGTTCGTCCCAACGCCATTAGAATTGATCTTCTCAACAATCTACGAGTAGGAGTTGCTAGTAAAAGAGGCGAGGACTTACGGGACTTATTGCTTAATACAGTTTCTTCAAACGCAACTGAACCGAGAGACAGGATATATGGCTTACTGGGTATGCTAAGTGAACAAGATAGGCAATACTTCAAGGTAGACTACAACCGGCCTTTAGGAACTGTATTTGCCGAAGCAGTGTCGCATATATTCCAAAACGGCAAAGGGGCGTTTCTTCTTTCCGGCTTGAAGCTTGCAGGACCAAACTTTTCGGATCCGTCTTTCCCTTCATGGGTTCCGAAGTTTGGTACCAAATCACTTCTTAGCCCATCTCGCTTCCACCCTGCTGGAATTGGGGCTTCGGGCTCAGGTAGTGATGCAATTAACGGAGAAGTGGATTCAAATCTACAAACACTTCGTATTCGAGGTCTGCCAGTCGATATTATTGTTGATAAGATCGTATTTGGCGAATCAGTGAACCCTTTGGCTCACTTACCTCGGGTTGAATCTTTCGCCAACAAGGCTCGCGAACTTGCAGCTTCCTATTCCACAACCCGACCACATTTGCACGCTTTCAAGACCAGCGAACCACTCTGGCGGACGTTGATAGCAAACAAAGCATACTCGGGAGCAACCCGCGAGTCCGCACCCGAATCTTACAGTGAAATGTACGAGAAAATACTGGAAAACCCACTAAGCGAGAGCGATGAAAGCGTTCGGGAATACCGATTGAGTCTGTTAAACCATTTGCCGTCTTCCTGTTTTTTCATCACAGCAACTGGATTCTGTGGAATCGGGCCTGATATCATCGAAAAAGGAGATCACTTAGCTATTTGGTTTGGGGCTCCAGCACCATTCATTCTAAGACAATACGCACGCGCTCAAAACGATCATGAGAAACAGGTTTACTCTGTCTGCGGGGTAGCATACGTTGCTGGAATTATGGAGGTATGTGTTCTCTAATTTATTGCCTCCCTTTCTGCATTGTTCGACGGCGACAGAGATATATTTAAGCAAGTCTTAATTCCTCCAAAATCTATCACGTAACTCGAAAATGTTATGTAATTTAGCATTACTGACTCCGGTATCTTTTCTAGGGTCAGATGGTGGATGAGGTGTACTGCGAAGATTTGGAGAACGACATTATGTTTGTTGTTAGATAGGGTTCCCGCTGAGTATCTGTCTTTATGCTACGAGGCATACCGGGTTGGTATTTCAAGCGATTTGGTTGTTCCTCTCTGCTATTGCCTCGGTTTATCTTTTCGGGGATGATAACGATAGATCAGTAGAAAGCTTCTCAAGGGATAGAATAGCAGACCTCGCTTTAATATAAGAGTCTCACCAAATACTAAATTCAGATATGCCTTCACTCTAGGAGGGGGAAAACCAGATTTTGATCAACATTTCCTGTCGTCCTGCGTTGACCCAACCAAGTTTCTCAGGTCAGCGGTCCAGCGTGGGACTAGCAACGTCAGTAAATAGTAGTTGAAATATATAAGTTCTCCACATACGCTCCAACGCCTGTTCGATGATGGAATTAACATTTCTTTTTCCTTTACATAATTTGACATCGGGACTTACTGAAGAATATAAAATTACTGATGACCGTTATCTTGGGTTTTATGTTCAATCGTCAGTCGGTACACGTCACATCAAATGAGGCTTATTGTTGGTTTTCTTTTGTATTGCTGGCTAGCTTCAAGTGCTTATAATTCGCCCACATAGTGGAAGGCGAAGAATAAGTACCCTCGGCCACGCACCCCTTACGGGGGCAGTTTGACTAACTAAACGCTAAGTAGTCGGACTTCGCCCGTATTATAGACCGATTAAAAGGCTCTATCTAGCGAAACATAAAGTATAAGGTCCAAAACCCTCCTAAATCGCTAGGTAATCCTTCTAGCGAGGGAAATACAGGTAGTATAAACAAGGTATACGCTAAGTACTTGGACTTGGACTATATTATAGACTAATTCGTGTCACGGATGCCAACAAAGGATAAAGTGTATACAGCTTTTGAATCAATTGCTAGAACTAAAACCGTAGGTACGAAGAAATCAAACTAAAGAGAGAAGAGAATCTGAAAGGAGCGAAGTTATTTAAGTTGTTCCAATGCCAAGTCTCGTCACGTGCTTGGCCAAGCGAATGAAATCCTGTCAAATGAAATCCAGCTCCGTCACAATTCGAAGGCTCTATCTAGTAAAACATAAAGTATAGAGCAGGGCGATAACTTCGGCTATATAGGTAAAGAAGTATAATAACTAGGGTCTAAAACCCTCTTAAATCGTAAGGTAAGCCTTTAAGGAAGGGGAATATAAGTAGGACAGGAGTATAGCTAACGATATAGTAGATATTATAGTAGTATTAAAGGTATATAGTAGTAATAGGGTAGGATATATATCCTATAATACGAGTAGCTTACTAAGCCTTTATCCTTATTCACTATAAATCCTACTATTTATATTTGATTGTTAGTCGGTACACATTATGTTAAATAAGGCTTATTATTAGTTTTCTTTTATATTACTAGCGACTTTCTCACCTAATTTCTACCCCTAAGGCCAACGATGCTTTTGTAAGATACCTGGTCGTTACTCTGTACACACTATATAAAACTCTATTATACTAAAGCTGTAGTACAATCAAGATAATTGTCTTAGGATACTTAGGTCAGTTAAAAGTAAGACCGAACAATTATTCAAGCTCTTATATAACTATTTTAGTTGTCCGACGTTTTTGGAATAATTTTATTCGAAGAGAGGTGTGTACAGAGTACAGTAACGACCATGTCTCTTACAACGATAGGGACTTTTTGTAAGCCGTCATTAAGCACTCACTACTAGATGCATAATTATGGGTCTGTTTATGAGCGAACCAGAGCTCTCACTCGAAATCTCCAGCCTTCTAATTAAAGTGCGTATTCCTTCCCCGCTAACACCCTCGCTACACAGCCACCATTACTGCTAGCTCAAAACATAACGGCTGCTATTCAATCCAAAAATGAACAAGAGAAGACAATACTTTAGCATACCTTTCAGTGGTAGATGCAACAGAAGGAGATTATTAAGGGCCAAAGGCGGCTGAGAAGCAGGGTATCGGGATTGATCGGCGTATATAAAAGCAGGCTGAGAAAAGCCAACCGAGTAAGCCAACCCTATAAGGCTAAAACCCCCGACGGGGTCTGGCATGTCATCGAATCAACTGGGAAAACCTAGTCGCTGACAGTAATTGTATACAGGTCCTTCAGCTACAAATACCTAGGTGGAAGACGAGCGCTAACGGATGGTACTCGAGCAGGTTGACTGACCATGGGTTGGCAGTGGGGAAGTGACCAAGTTCAATAACCTTATTACAATACTAGAGGCAATGAGTACAAAAAGTTTAAAATGACAGAAGTACCCCTCTTTTCTGACTACTGCTTTGGCTCGTAATTTTCACCGAGAATCAGGAGTGAAATTTACAGGGCAAAACAATCGTATCTCACTCAATCTACGCACCTGATACTTAAAACTGATTCAGAAATAAATGAGTCATCATCCACCCTCACCGAAGAAACAAAAGCAACAACAACAGGATCCGAAATGCTGGGAGCGAGCGCACATCGAAGAGCATGCGCCGCGTCACAGCCGACATTCGATATCTATTCATGGCACGCCATTTTTCATGTTCAGAGAAGCAGGGATTACAGCACCGTTACGGAAACAAGGGCGTTGTTCTCGTTGGGGTTGGGGGCGGAAAAATATAGACCCCATTCTGAAAGACGCTTTTATTCCTCATACTGTGTGTAAGTCAGAAAAATATAAAACGATCATCAGTTGACTCTATGCACATACCTATCAGAACTTGTACTGAGCTCTAATCGTTTTCGTTATGTGGTGTGTTTTTTGAAAGATTCAAAAAAAGAGTGCTGCTCCATATGGTTTGGGCGGAGGATACTGTAATCGGAATTTTTTCCCGTCCCCACAGATATTGATTGATGCTGTAAGATCTTACCACACAAAAGTGGACCGATCAAACAAGTCCCAAGATCGTAGATTAGAAAAAGGCACAGACTGACGAATTTTACCCGACCCTCTGCAGAACAAAAGCCGCTCATCAGATGCTCAGCTTCTGACGATAAGTAAAGATGGTGAAGAGAATTGAGTTCTAATGACGTACATCATGAGTGATGGAGGATTTCCCTTCTTGTGTACGCAGGCTTGTACAAGGCGTGGATAGAGAAGATCGAGATGTGATTTGATCGTTCAGAAGAGATATTAAGGAGTGCGGTGCAAGATGGATACTAATAGGTTGTGCGAAGGTTGTACTCAGATGCCCACACAAGGAGATAACCAAATTCTGATATATTCTTAAGCGAGATCGAGCATGCAGTGAGTTTGAAGTCGCCCCCTTCCTCAATTTCTTCAGCAATTCAAAGGGCACATGGTTATCTTCAGGTTACCAGAAATCTCGAGGGATAACCCCATCATTTTCTAATTTTCTGGAGCCCACCATTTCATCAGCTTGACAGGTACATGGTTGTACCTGTAGATAAATACGTGGATCTATGTGTTACACCGAATCCTTCACTTTACAAGGTTATCCAATAAGATCTCAGGCGATCTATTTCGAAACATGGGGTCCAAAGGATGCTAAATTATATTGGACAAAACATAATTGAGGGGATCGGGTAAGGATTCTCCTTCAACATACCAAGAGCCTTACCTCAATAAACGAACTCCATGTAAGGAAGCATCTACGGAGTAATACATCTCCTGATAATAACTTTGTATTTCTTGCAAAGTCTTTGCACACCCTCAGGAAAGATAATCCCCTTAATAAGCTCAAAGTCGGACGATGCATGCGGCGCAGTCCTTTGGCCAAGGACTGTGCCGTACGCTTGAGGTAATCCATGAGCCAAAGGTCCCTGCTACAGTACCAATGCAGCTGCGAGGCACGTCTCTACCCTGAATTTCTCGATACTGGCCTTTTTCGTCCAATGGGCTGCGGAATCAGTCTGTCATCAATCCTAGAACTATGGGTGGAGGCTTTTGGAAAGGATGAAGTGGGTTAGTACAATAGAATGATCATCCCCTCGCATAAAGTTGAAATCCTTCCTTCACATCGCTTTCCTCTCCTCCATGGGGAATGCCATTCTTTGATCGGAATAGCTTCATAATTTTTATAATTATGTCTTTGACAACATCTCTTGCCGCCGCAATGGTGGCGCCTACCCTAACGACAACATTCATGCCCTCTAACACAGCATGCATAGAAAACCACCTGACAATGCTGGAGAACAGGGAGTGGGAAATTTGGATGAATGAAGTACTGCCAGTCCCAGGAACTACAATGACGGATTGTTATCCAACACAATATATCAAGAGTCGTCTGGAATTGGCTGGAGGTGTGACCCAAGGTGCTTTTCAGGCGCTCGTTTGTCCTCAGAGCTACAGCTCTCTAGCAGCATATACCTCAAATTACATCGCTTGCTGCCCTAAGTATGACGAAAATCCTATCTGATATACAGACAACTAACATTCGTATTAGCGGTTATCAATTCACACCTCCCAAAACAACGATTTTTTCAGATAGGCCAGCATTCGGAGGAACATGTTATACCCCGATGTAAGTTGAAAGAAAGTTTCCAGACTTCAAGAATCCATGATGAATCAAGAACTGAAGCCCAGTAATGTAGTACTATGGGAACCCCAGTGATTGTTACCGCATATGGATCCTCTGGAGTTACTGCGACATCGATCTTTTCAGCTCCCGACATTCATGCTGCAGCTTATGCTTCTCCCTACGAGGGTTTTGCTTATGGGGTTGCTCAAGTTCCAAGTATCACTGCCGCACCATCAGCAACAACAGGAATCGCGGCTCCAACAAGTACTTCAGGAGCCTCGGGGGGGCTGGTTGGGCAGACTCATACTGTAAGCTATCTACATTACTCTTATAAACTTCTCTCACACTGTGAAGGTGATAGCTGGAGCCGGTCCAACATTCATTCCAAGTTCAGTAAACGCACAAGTTGGAGATAAAGTGGTTTTTGCCTTCTCCTCTGGAAACCATACCATTACCCAATCCAGTTTCGAAAAACCATGCGAAAAACTTCCTAACGGATTCGATTCTGATTACATCGGCAACAGCGCAACAGAATTCTCGCTTGCCGTAAATGTGTCAACCGCCCAATTCTTTTACTCGAAGCAATCTTCGGATTGTAAGGAGGGCATGCTTTTTGCTCTAAACCCTACCTCTTCCCAATCCGAATCGGCTTTCCGGGCACTCGCAATCTCACAGACTGGCAGCACATCAAGCAGAATGTCTCCTGGCGTCATAGCAGGCATAGTTATAGCATCAATTGCAGGAGTCGGAATACTTGGGCTTTTGGCGCTTCTGCATTTAAGGCGAAGAAAGCAACACCCACCGGGTGTAGCTGAGAAACTAGAAGACGGTTCTTCACGAAGTGAATCAACATCTCCAAACAGTGGAAATGGCAATTCAGGATTCAGGAACGAAGTTGCATTGAACAATATCAATGAAGCCGAAGGAAGTTTGGGTTCTCCCAAGGCGGCGGAGTTATACGACATGCAATTACCAACCGAACTTGCAGGCTGCAGTGCAGTAGAGATGTCAGCAGAAAACGCAACACATCACGAAGCAAACATGAGCGAAAAAGATGGCGCGCAACATAGTATGAGAGACGATTCGCCCACGAAATCCGTCGGGACACACCAGACATGGGGATATGAGCCTACAGGAAATGAACGGGCGGAAATCATGTCTCCAGAGAGCAATCCAAGATACAGTCAGCGCCCATGGGGTGCGGGGACAAGTACAACTGTCAGCAGCCCAGAAGAAGAAGAAACGAGGCAGAACCTTTCCAGTCCAAATGATCGTTCCCTGAGAGCTAACGGGTGGCGTTAATGTTTATAGTTCTTGAGCATGTAGTTTTATTTAATGATTGAAAATGAATTTCCTATTCCTAGACTAGATTAGTTATTACTAGCCTTTCAAAAAAGAGAACCTAATTTACACCCTAAGACGTTCTTTTATATAACTTCGTTCTTGAAACATTTCTAGTACTTTCTTATACTTACAAGCAGGTACTTCGAAATTTTCCACCATCGTCAAATGATGCCATGAGCCCAAATCTCAAAATGTACGCTTGGATTTAGATGAAGTGGACACCAACGTGCTATCTCTTCGTAGGCAATATTGACACTTCCAAAAAGTTGTAATCATAGTCAAGGAACGGAATAGAACAGTAAGGCAGTATCATTTTTATATTCCTACTTGCTGCCGCTACCCAGTGATAGGTTCATAGAGTAGCGAGCTTGAGGATTCACACCCACCAAACACCGCCTCCTGTGTGCAGCTCTAAGTACTTTCTCCTCTCGCTTGATTCTGAGGTAGAGTCTTTTGAACGTGGAAGAGGTCGGCCATCAGGTGAATTAAGTGGAGGAAAGTAAAACTCCGCAGTACAACGATAGTAAGAAGACAAGTTATTATTCCCGGCGCCAATTTTCAAAAGATCGACGTCGTTTAAGATGAATTGAGATAATCAATAAATGGGATTTGATCCATCCAAACTTTCTCCATTCGGAGCTAATAAGTTTTACGTACGTATATTGATCCTCAACCTTCCAAGGCTGACTTGTGATATGGATCTGCAGAATCTTGCTTGATTAACTTGCAACACGAAGGTACTTGGAAGACGGCTGTGCTAAGCGGTAGCTTTGTCTTAGTAAATCATAGCCCAATCAAGTGGATATATTGAATGTTGGCAATTTGCTTTACATGGATACATTCAATCTTGGTGGATGCTCTATGCAAGTGGAAAGCGGCACTTGTCGTTCCTGCAGCAAGAATGTATGTAAATACACTTCTCATTCTCATGGCTTTCGATAATTTCAACTTAAAGTGCTTACATGAAATGATTACAAATAGGGCAAAGTTTGAGTACTTTTGTGCTTCTGCGCCAGCCAGTACCGGTATATTGGCCACAAACAAGAAGTCATGCGAGAGAATACAGACAAGTATGTCTTGCTGATGAGTAAAACTGGCTCAGAGAGTCTACGAGTTCATTTGCTTACAGTAATTTTGTCCAATGGCAAACGCGTATTCTGCGGCGTGATTGTCTCAGACTTTTCCTTCAGGAAGCACAGGCGCGGGAAGGTACCGAATCGCCCTGATGCACGCAATGAGTATGACAATGGCGTAGCTGATCTTTCGGTTGCTCAGAAAAAGGAACAACCCGTCTCTATAAACAAACCCAATCAAAAGTTCATCCACAAGACTCACCCAAGGGTTAGCGAGAGCCTCAAAGCATTGAGGTATAAATATGTATACGAGCTTTGCTGAGATGAAATCTGGAAATTCGCTGCGCCATTCAGAAATAGCCACCTCAACACAAGGGTCTCTTGTCACTGGTCAGATTAGGCTGACTCTCATCAACAAAGTTTTCAGTCAAAATAATACAACGGCTAAAGAACCGCAAGTGCCGAGTGCAGCGACAACCTAGTAATCGGTTCATCCTTTCTCCGCGCTCTCGAGAAATAGCGTAGGTAGAGGGAGGATGAACCGACCACTCGTATTAGAAGCAGAGAAAGACTGAAATCCGTTTCTAAGAAAGAGTATATGCAAGTAGTACGCTAATGAAGACGCCAACGAAGACGCCAAGAATTCCACGTGCTACGCTAGTTATAGCTAGGTACCCCCTAGACTTTCGTAATATAACGATTAATTAATGGTAGGAAAGCGTAGCCGTAGAAGTAGCTTTAGGAATAGTTAGTATGGTGCTCGATTCACCACAAGCTACAATACAAGGGGTTGTCACTACTCTGTGCGTAGCCCCAGATCCAGCCGAAAATATACCAAAAAGCATTACTTTAGTAAATTACAATGAAATATAGAGTAAACTGAATCGCCTATAGTTAAAGACATACGTAGAGTTATATAATAGCTATAACCTATGCTCTCTAAATTTTCAATAAGTATTGCTGTACAGTAAGAGCAAGGACCCAAGTAAAGGAAGAACAAGCAAATGATACCTTATTCTCAACCCTAGTGACCAGAAACGAGAGGAAGATCGAGTAAAAATGATTTCTTATACTTGGACATATGTTAACTCTAAAAAGCGGTGGTTTATCGCCAAAAGGCCATGGAAGTCGTATACTGTAATACCATCTATCAAGCGCTAAAAATATACAATGAAATCAAAAATCCAGCTCTCCTTCATCTACAGCTTATTTACATGCGTCCACACGAGACTTTACTTGCATCGAGTTCAAGTTGGCTAGAACGAGGGCAATTGGAAGAGGGCCCTTCAAACACCCAGACTACACAAAACCACAGCATCCACCAAACGAACCCCAAAGACCAACGCCCTAGATGAATCGGCGTGATCTTTTCTATAACCGATGAATCGGCAGTCATCACGAGTATGTTTTCCCTATGATTCTAGGCGAGAGTTCAGATGCAGAAAAGGTTATTATGCTACCTATGGATTATATCTACAACCGAGACGATTTCTGTCGAGATTGGGGTTCCGGCTACCAATTTAGATGCCATCAAGTAAAATCCTCATGGACCTCCAGATATGGTTGAACCCGGCGTCTGAGAAATAGTGCCACTGACAGCCAGACCACCATCCACGTGCAAGTGACCGTCAAGGGTAAGATTCCCTTTTACTATAAAGGATTTCCTGTAGTCGTATGGGTTAGCTCGGATCCTGAATTAAAATCGGGATTGAAAGGATAGAATACTGACGCAATATTTACAATACCCTTCACATTTGCATTGCCTCTCGCAGAGACCTTGCCCCCTAGAATCATTTGCGCCTCCTCAGAATCCAGACGCAAATTTCCACTAGAACCCAGATCTCCATCAATTCGAACTGGCCCTCTCATTTCAACGTTTCCCCTACTTTCAACGTTTCCAATAACGTATACCCCACCACCCTCAATCCCAGAGAGCTTAACGCCTCCACCAGCATCAACACTCCCACCAACATAAACTAACCCCTCAAGAGAAATCCTCCCTCCTGCGTCAATCTTCCCATCAATACTCACCACTCCCCTAACATCAACAGCGCCCCCACCATCGACCTTCCCCCCAATCCTAACCCCGAAGTTCTTCCCATCACTCTCGTTGGCCTGCTTTTGCTTCCCCAAATAACTTGATCCATCCAAGACCACAGCCCCTCTAGCATCAATCTTACCGCCAACACTTACTACTTCCTCGCCACTACAAAGTTCCGCCCTCCCTCTCGCGTCAATCTTCCCATCAATCCTTACCCCATCTCTGGCTTTAATCTCCGATGAGGAATCGATTTTCCCCTCAATCACGACATTTTCTTTAAGATGGATAAAGCTTGACGATTCCACGTGGCCTGTTACGTGGATCGATACCGATAAGGTGACTGAAGACCTGGACTCTACAGAGCCTTGGATATTCAGTGGGCCAGTCCTCGAGACGGCGGTTTTGGAACTTATTCCCCGTTCCCATGGTGTGTTTAGTGTGGAGGTTAGTTGAGAGGATTCAGATGCGGGCTCGGACCTAGGGAAGCGGGTGGATATCGATGAGGCGTATGTTTCTGAGGGGGTGTATGGTGGGGGTGCTTGCTCCGGGGCTGTGGGTGATGCTGGTGTGTATCCAGCTTCTTTTTCTTTCGTATCCGGTGGTATGAGGACCATGTCTATGGATGGTGTGATTTTCTTTATGAAGTTGTTGGGTTTTGGAGATATCTGGAGGGAAGGGAATAGGAAGTTTCAAGTTATATCGCCTGTTTTGGTGGTACGTATAGGGCTGAAAAGCACACGCGCGTCCCCATTGGAATTGGTCACCTTTTTAGACTGAACATCCGCGAATACGTCAGAGTTGAGCTAGCAACTTGCACGAGTAGAGTATCCATATACCTATCCTTTGATTGTTGGTATGCTGATGCCTAATTCCATTATACGTCATGTCGTACAAAGCGGGAAGAAGTCCACCCGTCGGGTGGAGAGAATATATCATAGTCACATGACGTATCTCCCTTCAAGGTTAAAATTGTTTGCATATTGTTGGATCGAGTGCAGGGCGGATTATTCAAAGCGATGGCCAAAACCAGCAGAAACTGCGAAAATTTTACATACATTCGCACTGGAAAATTCCGTGCTTAAATCCGAAAAAATTCATTTGGGCTGAAAAAAGATTGAAGACCTCCGTAGTGAAGGAAACGTTTAACGTAGGAGGGATCGTCTATTACATCAACCAACCACCGTGAACCAACAAAAGAAAACATCAAAACTCGGCTCGAGGGATTCCCGCTGAATTGGGATAGCTATCTACATATATCTTCAAAATATAAATAGAGGCAAGGAAATTCGAGCTGCAAACAACATAATAAGTTCTTGACAGCTATCCATCCTTAGGGAAAGAAATCCAATTGGCTGCATATTCCAATTCCAATTGAAGGGTTCCATCACGTGAAGTGGTGGATACTTTAGGTTTCCTGTCAATATCACGTTGCACGGCGCGTAGCGTCTTCCAAGTTTCAGTTCCCTACCCCAAACACAAGCTTTTACACTCCAGGCTCCGCTGAAAACTCTTTTCCAGTTCAGAACTTGTTTCCCAACACAAAATATCAGAATATCCGACGAATATATCCGACAATGAGCTATTACCTAACAGAGGCTGAGGACGGGACAGACAGGATGGGCGACATGCTCGCCTGGCGACGAGACGCAAACGGGAAACTCATGAGCTCAGCTGTATGTCCATACCCCTTTTCTTTGCGTCTCGAGCTTTTGACACCCCCTTTATCACATACTAACCATCTCTTTCCGATAGGAATACTACGCAAGTCCGCAATACCAACAGAAACTCAAAGAATATGCAGCATTGACCAAGATCTCATCTCCAGAGGACTAGCCCCCACCGTTCCCATAACTGGGAACCGTTCCATGCCCAGTTCTGACTCCTTGCCTCCCCCTGCCTTACATTTCGCCGACGTTGCTGCTCCTAGTACTTCATCATTGAAACGTAAATCCGATACCTTCGCAGCGAATGAAGACAGCGATGATGAACATTACTACTTCCCAGCAGACCAATGCGATGTCGTCCGTCGAAAACTGCGAAATCTCAGGGCCACAGGCGAAATCACACAAGGAAAGCTGTGCGAGAAACTCGGCGTGTCTGCAAAATCATACCGTACCTTCATGGGGATGAATGGGAAGACGAATGGGAAGACGAAAGGATTGAATACTGCGACATATGGACCCGCGTACCGCTATTTTCAGAAGCAAGAGATGACTCAAGGTCCAGTCCCCAAGAAGAGAGCCAAGAAAGCAGATGAGGAAGCTGAGAATTCCATCTCGATTCGATTGGACGGTGAAGATACGGTCTCGGTCCCGGTGTTTGATTCTTGTGATGAGGTCAGGAAGAAGATTGAGGCGCATCTGAGAATGCCTAATGTGTCGAATGCGGGGTTCCGAAGGGAGATTGCGAAGACGTATCCTGAGGCGAAGGCTATTCAGTCCAAGGTTCTTAATGATTTTTTGAATAAAACGGGCCCCAGTGCAGGGAACACGAGCAGTGTGTTCTATGCCGCATATGTCTATTTTGAAAAGATGCGGTTGAGGGGTGGGAATGTTAAATCGAAGCATAGGATTGAGATGGAGAAGAGACATCCCAATGGCTTTGATACGAAACGGAGGAACGAGGGGAGGTATTATACTTGTATGGAGGGACAAAAGATCAGTGTTACGGAAGACAAGTTTGGAGTTAGTCATGTTCATAGATACTGAAGGATTGCGTGGAAGCGTTGAGGAGTGGGCCTGTATGAGGATGGTATGTACTTGTACTTATGTTGGATTTTGTGTTTACGTATGTGTTTAAACACGGGACGGGAAAAGTGTGTTGGACAATTGTCTTATTGGTAGATTGGTTATCTCGCGATAAAAATAAAGGAGGGAATATAGGTATTCACTTTACGTTTTCTTTTAAATCACGTTTCTCAGCAGATTTCAAAGAAGTGCCAACGACCTGCTCATACCTATTAGCTCTTGAGCCTATGTTGTCAAATGTCACACACGCAAAAAGCCCAAAAAAAATTGCAAAAACATACAACAGCAGGTATTCGCTGGTGGTCACCCACCCAACTACTAATCTGCCGATCTGAGGCTTGTGTATGGCAGAGCGGACGGGATGCCCAATTCTCCTCAGTCTATGGTCGTATGTACCAGCCGCTTTCCTATCTGTACACTTTTTTTTCTAGACTTGAGAGGTGACGATAGAGGAAGTGATTCACGACTTTCTCAAACTGTACGACAAATATTACTCAAGGTACACTAAAACTGCCCATGTCTTGGCTGAATCTAATGGTAAAGTTAATATCAGCGTCCGTTACCCCCTAAAATTACCTTATTAGTAAATTCTGCCTTAGTTTACACTAATAAAGGGAACTTTGGTAGGCAGCCACCCGGACGGTTTGAGATCGGTCATGTGACTAGTAGCTATCACGTTACCTCCTACCTAAGTATCCATGGATATATGGATATAGGTATGCCTGGATTCCATAGAGACAGACAAGACACACGATTATTAGAACCACTGTTTTTACACCTTTGTTGTTTCTTTTCCTCGATATCCATGATATCGTTATACCAACATCTACTTTCCTTTCCTTGTCTGGGGTAGTACGTCCTCTACATACTTCGAAACCCCTCTGAATGTTGTGGGAGATAAGAAGTTGTTGAGACTCAGGCACCCTAGATATTCCTTCTCGATATTCAAGCTCCTTGTTCCGAACGCCTGTGACGATACAGCCACTTCCTTTCAGTTACAGTTACTGGTATAATTCTAGGGTATAGTCGAGTACTCGAATATGACGAAATTACCTGCTCGATGGAAGGGACTTTATTTGCATGTATTTAGGTAGCATGCCCCCAAAACCGTTCAGCTCCTTCCCACAAGGTACAAAGAAATGACAATCACTTACATAGACCCGAATTTAGGCTGATGGGATCGATCTTCCCACGTAGATCGATGCAGCAATTCTCATTATTCGATTCGTTCATGCCAACTGCTGATAATCTCAGCACAATTTTGGGGGCTATGCAGCCAATGGCTCCTTGTATCACGAAGCACACCTTTATAAGCCCTCCGTATTTGAGAAGTTTCGGTCCCGCACCTACTTCATTTTCAGAGCAATCATACCACTTTAAAAGATCACCGATTGCAAAATGGAGCAAGGCACAGACAACCTCAAAGCCTTTGTCTACGAAGGGGTCTGGGAGAAACATCGACAGCCACTGTTACGAAGATGGATGGGTCTGGACGCTCGGAAATATTAACGCTCTCGTTGTTCTTGCCTGCCTCACGCTACTTCTGACATACTCTCAATCTCGCGCCTGGATTATGTTGAGATATGTTATATTTGTACGACACAAAACCCCCAGGCTTGAGTCTGCTACTATCCCAGATCCCCTGGAGCGCATTTCGTAAGGAGACGCTATCACAGAAGTGTTACCATTTCTTTCGTATCGTGTACGAAAAACCTTACGCGTTCTTCATCTACGAGAACAAGATGAAGGAGAATCACAAGTCGAAGATTGCCCAATAGTTTCACCGGCTTTTGGCATTGCAGCAATCTTGAACATAGGACTTTTTGTTGCATTGAGCGGGGTGATACCCTTGCTTATTTCAGAAGGGGCATTGGAATCAGCTGTCGTGAAAGCCAGAATGACTCCATCATGTCTTGAATCACCAATCGATGGCGCAGAGAACTTTCTCGGTACAGATGAGATTTTCCAAGTTTGCCAGGACCACATCGGACGAGAATGCAACGACTATTTTCTTAAGTTTCATCTTCAAAGGTCTCGGCTGAAGAAGTGTATATTCCCGGGAAACATCTGCTACAATGGTACAGATGCCTTTGAAATTAGTCAATCAGATATTACCGCTCACACGGTTGGAATAAATTCCAAGTCAAGAGTCTCAATGAGTCGCCGTCTCACTTGCTCACCTGTGCATCTTGATTCCTTTCTACTCGTCAATACTGGTCTAAAGCCCCACGTCAACATTTCTGTACTTGACATGGACGCGGCTGGCTATCTTCTAAGGAATGAAAAGGAACAAATGCGACTCAACATGCTATTGAATACGATGAACGGACCCAATTCTTTATCACATGAGCCTTCTGGAAAGTTGAACGACCAGGTTTCGGCTCCTTACGACGTCTTTGTGTTGCCGCACATTGATGCCAAAGATATAGGCACCCACACGGTATGGGGTAATATAACTTGGGACCATATTCATCCAGATTTGCGTGTTGAAGCTGGAATGCCTTTCTTGATGGTGTATAGAGCTGGCAGGTCTGTGCATGCTGTACAGATCGATGATCCTCTCTTTGCGGCACATGAAGCAGATTGCCGGACAGCTAGATTAGACGACATAACGAAAAAACCAGGTTATTGTCCTAATCATGAAGCCACCGCATTAGGATGTATCGAGCAATTCCAATATTGCGTTCCCGAGTCAGGATTCTGTACATCGTGGGGGTTTCGATAAGCACATATTCTTGAAGTGAAATACACTTGGAAACGATAAAAGATACATCATCAATCCCAGACCTTTGGATATTTAGCATGTTACGCACCAGATCTTCAACCAACTATTACCTAAGTCTGTGGGGGTTGCATTCGTTCTTTTATAACTCATTTCCACTAACGCAGAAATTGCCGTGGAGTCCTAATGGGCCACGCAATGGTGGTCTTCTGAACACGAAAGACCAGTGGGTCACAGAAGTCGAGAACATTTTTCTGAAAGGAATGTTGGAGACTATCTTGCTACTTCGACAAGCAGCAAGAAGGGACATCATGCGGGACGTGGAGCCATCGCAGTATCAAGAACTCTATGCGGAAACCCTTTCACAATCCGGAGACAAGTACACGGCTTGCCCTCGAATACTTTTGCGCGACTCGGATCATACTAAGATTCATTGGATCAAATTTTGGATCACCATCGTCTTACTTTGTCTCCTCTGTGTCTCAAGCTACCAGATTAGTTTATTGGAACAGTCAACAAGAAACGGCTTCAAACAATTACTTCGATATTCTGGTCTTTTTACGAAGAAGGCCCAAATATTTCTCATTGCCCTTGGTCGATATTTTGGTCAGAAAGTTTACAATGCTCGGTTATTTCCAGCTGTGGATCGAGTACGTGAAATACCCGAGCTTGAAAGCATTCGCACCGCTCGTGTGGCCCTTCCAGACTGGGCCTAGGGGGCCGCACTCAATTTTGAAACTTTATTTGCTGGGATTTCTTTCATACGCCGGCCAGCTGGGCTGTCGCTATCATACTTCAGCGTGCCCACAGAGCATTAGCTGAGAATTGTAAACTAATGTTATATTAGTCGGTCCTGTTGTTTGCAAGCGGCTTTCAATTCGTAAAAAAAGATCTTATTATCAATACTCCTTTTAAAATGCATCAAGATTCGACAAACGCCTTTCTTTCCCTTTTGCTCATCCGTATTCCTTCCTCATGCCCCGTATCCGAATACAATTACTGAGCCAAAGATCCTCTCAAAAACAAGACAAAGGAAAATACAAAGGAGAGGAGGGAACAAGGAAAGTGAGAGTGTATGAAAATGCAAGAGAGAGACAGAAGGGAAAAAGAAAAGAAAAAAGAACAACACCGAAAGATATCAAGTCCTAGACCTGATCTCTATTTCTGATAGGATTTCCGGCCGTCCTCTTCCCGGCCTCTTCTGTCGCCATACTACTTGCGACACCCGTACTCATATTAGCAGTTAATACAAGATCCTCGATCTTTGTTTCCTTGAAATTTCTCGCAGAAATCTTACACTCGAACAAAACATCCATCTCGCCACAAGTTCTGCCCTTCGGCTCAGGCAAGCGAAAATAAATCCAGAAAACACACAAAGCACAACTGGCTGCCCAGAAAAACGCCGATCGAGCACCCCAGTCCCACCCGGTAGGAAGGGGAGTAAGTTGATAATTAGTGATAAAATTAGAGATGATGCTTCCTACAATATAGGTCATTCGTGAAATTACGATTGTCTTGGACTTGAGACGCGTAGAAGAGAGTTCGGAGATTAGAGCGTAGCAGATTGGGCCAACGGTAAGGTCGTAAATGAATGTGTAAACGAGGAGTGAGGAACCAATTGCCCAGCGAGAGGGTTTGTTTGTTTCAGGCAAGAGAGAAATAAAGCCGGTTTGTAAAAGAAGGTAAAAGAGGATGCAACATCCTACTAAATAGATCGTTCTTCTACCGATATAACCGATCAAGAACCATGATCCGAGAGTTCCTACGATACCGATAGCATACTGACCCATCGTGAAGTTGAATGCCATTTTTGTGGGAAGCCCGGCTTGTTGGTAGAAGTAGGTTGAGTAACCCATGAATGTTGAGCCGCAGGTTGCTTGGATGAGCCAGACAAGAGATGCACACTCTGTGCGACGGAGATTGGTGCCTTTAAAGCAGTCGAGATATGAGGTTCCGGCAGAGATGAGGGCTTCGCGTTCGTTGGTTTCTGTCATCATTGCGACATAGGCATCGGGGTTGAAGGTAGTGTTCGTGCGACTCGTCAGACTGAGGATGACCTGTTTGGCTTCTGGGATACGGTTTTTGCGTACCAGCCACCACTGTATTAGACGAAATCAGTATCCGATCATTTGGCAAGCTTTCTAAGAGGCGCTTGTGTTGTTTTTGTGGAAGGGAATGATCGAAAGAATTACTACTTACTGGAGATTCAGGGCCATAGATGATGTATATCCAGAGAGGGAGTGTGAATGCCCACTGAAGAGCAAATGGGATCCTGACGTAAGTGTTAGTGCAAATTTCGAATTCTGTTGCCACTAATCATACCGATATGCCCATTGATCTGCACGATCCAGCATTCCACGAAGTACACTTGATGCAATCAACTGCCCAATAACCCAGCAAGCATTCCCCCATGTGCAAAGGATGGGACGAAGTTTCAAGGAAACCACATCCGATGAGTATGCTGTTGCCATACATTGAAACATGCCCCTGAAAGTTATAAGTATTTGTTCCAAACTTCTCAGTATAAGCACCTACCAGGGAACACCACACAATATTTCTCCCAATAATAATATTTGAACATTAGGCGCAAAGAACAAAGCAAAGATGGTGGCTTTCATTAGGAGTTGGGCACCAGCGATCGTCTTTTTGTAGCCGTATCTATCCACGAAGAACCCGCCGAAGAAAAGACCAATTATTTGCCCACATAGAGCACCATTCGAGAGAGCCGTCTTCCAACTGGCAGGTATAGTATAGGTCCCGTCGTCCGCAAGGACACCATATTTCTGATTGAATTGCGGCATTGCGTATAATGATTGTAAAAGGACAATATCGAAGCCTTCCATAATCAACGAAAAAGAAACATTGAGGGCCCATAGGACCCCTGGCCTATACCGAAATCAAAATTAGTACACCTTGATACAAGTGCTAGAGCTCGAGTTGGATTGAGCTATCTCGAGCTGTACGAATCGTTCCATTTTGAAAAGTGTGCCTTAGCTTCAACCCAATTTGAAGCTGGTTATGATACATAGAGTTTGGGACTTACCAGTAAAGTTTAACATTATCTTTAAGGCTCATTGCTTGTTCATCGAATGCAGCATCTCGGGTCTCTGCAGCACTACCCTCGTTTCCGATGGCAGATGTGTTATGAAAAACAGTGTTGGTTGCCATGACGAGTTCTCGGTAACTGCCAGCAGCCTGATATTACTCAAGACGAAACGAATAAGTTGATGAAATTGGAATACAACCGCCAGCAGTGGGTCGATGCTCAGGACAAACAGAAATGCGAATGAAAAGAGAAGATGCAATTGATAATGAAGAGATGGTCTGCCAGGACATAATGGAAGGGGAGACGACTTCTATATAAAGCAAGCAGACCTCGCTCGCAAGTTATTGTGGAGGTAGTCAAAGAAGACGCGAACAGGAGCCTTGGAGAATGAACTACCGCCTCTGGCCGTCGATTCGATTTGGCCGATGCCGCCCCAATGCTGGTGGGGGATGTAACTGTACGGTGGATAACAAAACATAGATCTAGAGCGTCTATTTACAGAATGTTTCGATTGGCGATTGTTTGCAGTGCGGATTTGTTTCTCAGGTGGAGCGGAAACATCTGGGGAAGAAACATTAGCAGAAACATTGCATGGCACAGTGGAGCGGTAGTTTGGACATCTACTAAGGAACCCAATTCTGGTTTGTTACTTGATCGGAACGGCTTTTACAGATGGTTCGGCAGGGAAGGGTTGACAACACAGTTCGGGTAACCGTGCCATATTTCAATGTCAATTTTTGGGACCCGACAAATGCAACAACTACCCTAGTGCTCGGAAAATATTGTTACAAATTCTACCTGCAGATATCAGTTTTAAAGCATAGTGATAAACTGGCGTCGGCTTGACGAGTTGGACGCGCAACAGCCAAACTTCGCCACCGGACTGGCCATAGTTGCTTTCATAAATTTGACTTCCAGGTATTTCCGACTGATCTTTGATGGACGAGAGAAAAATGCACATAGAAAATCAGTGAGCATAAGATAGGAAGAAGTTGGAAGATTAGAAGAGGAAAATCCCATCGCTGCTCCGTTGACGTTTGTTGTGCTCAGATCAGTTGAGAGGATCCGATGGGCCGGATGAAACGCGGCGCTTCCGACTGACATCTGGTAGGGCTGAAGCCGTAAGTAAAGAAACATGTTTCTTTTGGGCTTGAGCGTCTGTTTCTGGTGGTGGGTGTTCAAGCAATCTCAAAACGGAAGTGTCGGTCATGCCACGTGATGTAAAACATGCTTTAAAACCCTATATTTAACCGTTTACCGAGGGTTTCAATTGCTTCCAAGAATAAGGTACATGGAACAACCAAGACTTCTATGCTCATGCCCTTCAATGCTCCTCTTCCTCCCCACTCTACTTTACTTCAGTCGGCCTCTGTCGCACAGCGCAGCGTCTTCTTTTCTTTTAAAAAACGTCTCGCGCTGCCCTTTTTCTACTACACCTAAAGTCATCACATCTCCACGTAAGTCGTGTTTTCTGCACCATGACGATGTCCCTTCAAGCCTCCGCCTTGAGTCGTCGGTATGTTCGCTGCAGCGCAAGTTTACCCCTCCAAAATCTCATCCAGCCACAGCGGGGCGGGGTACCACGGCAACATTATTGACGATGGAACGTCGATCTGCATCTGAATCTGCCAAAATCGGAAACATCGTGAGTTCTTCATTGTGGACTTGGTCACGATACTGGGCCCCGTTCGATTCATGCCCTGCATACCTGCAGCCGTGCCGTCTCGTTGGCAGCTAGCCCATTTTCACTATATAAAATGGTAAAGTTCCCATATCATTCTCCTTTCTTCCCTGCCTCTTTTCCCTGCCTTGTTGTTGTCATAGCCATGCAGACATCCTCTTAAGCTTAAATATTTCTTCGTTTTGCATAATTACCTCCTACGCCCATTCTTTTTACACACGCAGCAATCATGTCGGTCGAAGGACGAAAATGGTGGAAAGACGGAACTGTATACCAAATCTACCCCGCCAGCTTCAAAGACTCCAACGATGACGGTCTAGGCGATGTACCTGGCATAATTTCCAAAATCGATTATCTAAAGGAGCTCGGAATCGACATTGTTTGGGTCTCGCCCATGTACGATTCACCACAGCATGATATGGGTTACGATATCTCGAATTACGAAGCCGTTTACGCCCCATATGGCACGGTGGCGGACATGGAGAACTTGGTCGAAGCATGCCATTCTCGCGGCATGAAACTTATCCTTGACCTCGTCGTCAATCATACCAGCGATGAACACGCGTGGTTCAAGGAATCACGAAGCTCAAAGAACAACCCAAAAAGAGATTGGTACATATGGAAGCCGGCAAAGTATGCCGCGGATGGAACTCGCATGCCTCCAAATAACTGGCGAAGTTTCTTCAGTGGTAGTGCATGGCAATGGGACGAAACTACTAGCGAATACTACCTGCATCTATTCGCCACCCAGCAACCAGATCTCAATTGGGAAAACGTGGAAACTCGACGAGCTATATATGATTCCGCCATGGAGTTCTGGTTGAAGAGGGGTGTGGATGGGTTTCGAGTCGATACCGTCAATATGTATTCCAAGGGTAATGAGCTTCCAGATGCCCCAATCATCGACAAAGGCATCTATGAACAACCTGCTCATACTCATTTCTGCAATGGACCGCGAATGCATGAGTTCCTTCGCGAAATGAACTCGCAGGTTTTGTCCAAGTATGACACCATGACTGGTAGGTGTTGTCGAGTTTCTTTTTCCTCTTCCTGTGTACACAATGAGTCTGGCAAGCCTTTTCCTCCTTAGCCTGTCTTGGTAGCTCGATAATTGATAAGATCAGAGATGCTGACTATGATGTCTTTGCAGTGGGCGAACTTCCTTACACGCCTGATCCTGCCCATGTTCTTCGGTACGTTGGGTCGGGAGATAAGCAATTAGACATGATCTTTCAATTTGATATTGTCGACCTGGGAATGGGTGAGACACATAAATATCAGTACAAGGAGTGGCAATTGCCTGCGATGAAGGAAGTTGTGCGCAAGTGGCAACAGTTCATTGCTAATACCGATGGCTGGACGACAGCCTTTTGCGAAAACCATGACCAGGGTCGTTCTGTCTCCAGATTCACCTCTGACTCTCCTCAGTGGCGAGAGCGTTCTTCCAAAATGTTGGCTATTATGCTTTCCGCAATGACAGGCACTCTGTTTGTCTACCAAGGCCAAGAAATTGGAATGATCAATGCCCCGGCTGAATGGGGCATTGAAGAATACAAAGACATTGAAAGTACCAACTACTACAACGAAATTGCATCACGGACAAACAACGACTCGGAAGCTTTGGCAGATGTTATGAGGTCACTCCAAATTCTTGCTAGAGATCATGCGAGGTTACCAATGCAGTGGGATTCAACGCCCTTTTCGGGTTTCACTGGCAAAAAAGACGGCGCCTGGATGCGCACTCACGACCTGTACAAGGAGATCAATGTCGCGGCCCAAGTCGTCGATCCAAACTCGGTTCTGAATTTCTGGAAAAAGATGCTCAAGATACGGAAGGAGCAAAAGGATCTGTTCGTCTGCGGTGTCTATGAAGAGTTCCAGATGGACAACCAAGAAACTTTTATTTTTGGGAAGAAATTTGGAGAGGAGAGAGCTATCGTAGCTTTGAACTTTACCGACGAGGAGCAAGTGTTCCAACGCCCAGAAGTTCGAGGAGAGATGAAACTTTTGATCAGCAACGTCGATGGTGTAAATGGCAATGAGGAAAAACTGGCTCCTTACGAGGGTCGCATTTACCTCGTTTCATGATTTACGAATACCTGTGTCCCACTTTTCTTTTCTTTTCCTTTCTATATTTCCTATATTTCTTATTCTATAATTTGTATTTCCATACTTCCTGTATCTTTCAACTTCTCTTTCCTTCCTATATTCCTTATATTTCCTATTCTATATTTTGTATTTCCATACTTCCTGTATCTCTCTTCTTCTCCTTCTTTTTTCCTTATACAATTTTCTTCCACCTTTTCTTTTCATACATTTCTTTCTATTTCATTTCCTTCCTTCTTACTCTTCATTTCTTCCTTTCTATACTCAAGATCAAGCAATGGGCGTTCCATGAGCAGAGCTAGGCTATGGATAGATTGTATTATTATTATTTTTTAGATTCTCTCCTTTTTTTCTTCAAATAAATATTTCCAAGAACACAAGTTTTATACCCATGACAATCAACATGGTTCCGGTAAGTTTTGTACTAGATTAGTGTGTATTGAAGTTCACGTTTTGAGTTATTGCCGCTGTTGAATATTTGGTGCCTTGCACGCACTTTTTCCTCATGCAAACTGGCAGCGAATAGCTTTTCCTGCCACTTTGATGGCTTAGTTTGCTCAGATGATGTATCTTTAACTTGGTCTACTTCATCGTTGTGATATTCTAGACTGAGTGTACCATATATTTCCCATCCACCGCAAGGTTGCCTTATCAATCGCATAACGCTGGAATCGGATTATTTTCACTGACATTAGAACGCTCATGCTAAGATGGCTCTCATTGGCTGTCAGAAAAGTGATTGCCGCCATCTATGCCTCTGTTTGTCCTTCCTGTGGAATTGGCTTGTCACGTGAGATTTTGATCCCAATCAAGTAATAATAATCAAGCACAACAGTTGAGTTCTGATATTGTTATTATTAAATTGTAAATCGGGCCCAATACAAACCAAGTAGAAATAGCAGTACTCTATTTATATGCCGGATTTGTACAACTCCTGGGAGCTAATCTGATTAGCAACGACAGCAAATGGGCTCTGAACAATAGGGTACAATGGCAGGAATTTCTTGTAAAGGTATCACAATTAATAAAAGAGGGTGGACTCACAGATTGGCAGATTCTATTCCACTCACTGTGGTTCCAGCAACCAGAGCCACCTCAATCTCAGAGACACTTAAATTCATCATTGGCCCATTGATTGGCTTGCTTTGTGCCCATCCTGGTCCAATACCGGGATTTTTTATCCAGGCAACGAGCTAATCGTTAGTATTATTGGCGAAAGTTTGCTGTTCCTTATTAACGTCCTTGATAACTTTAAAGTCCTCATTTCATTCGAAGAAAAATGGGATCTCAGCTCCATGAGTATGAACAGAGACGGGAGCACCAACTACGTCGGCATACTCTCCGAGACATCTGTATTCTCAGGTCTCTTGGAGACTGGAACGTAGATCGACAAGGAAGTCAACAGCGCATTTAAATCGAGCGTCTATATATTGAGTACCAGTTTTGATGGAGGTGCTGGTGAAGTCTTGGGTGTTGTAGGCTGCGATCAAGTCATTGCGGGGTATGTGAGCGGAGTCGGCGTTGAAGGTTGATATCCAAGATGAGAAATTGGTGTTCTCACACCCGCATACCATACGAGAAGATTGCCCCTTCTCCGTTGGAGTTTCTGGTCAAGAGGGGGAATACCTGATATACTGATTAATATGGTAGTACAGTTGCAAGCACCTGCACCCCCAACGCAAGACGAGGATTATAACAGAGAGTGTGTATCAATCAAAAAGCAAATTAGAGAGAGTATTGATCTTGAACGGAAAGGAAATAACGGAAGATTGAGCAAAGAAAACCTAAGCATTAATGTCTTGCTATTCTATGAAGGGAGAAAGTGAAATCCCCCCGCACGAGTTCAACGCGCGAACCCTCGAGCTTGGAAAGTCAAACTCGAGTTACACGCGAGAGGCAGTGTGAAGTGCGAAGATGGAGGACGCTATGGACTGCTGCAGGGTTCTTTTCAATTAAGATCCTGATTTCCTTGTTTTAGGTCCACGTGTTGGGTAATCCTCATAGGACAGTTGGGCGTTTCTGGCCCACATACAGTAGTACCGGATCTAGTTACCTTTGGTAGACCGAGAAGCTCGGGACACTGAACCACAAGGAGCCGTTTAAGTTTCTAGCGGGGTTCTCATCGATTTAATATTGCGAGGTCGGCAGGTTCCTCCTTTGGAAGTGAAAGGGAAAACTTCGGTATCTGCTGCTATATGTTTCAAGCTCATGGTACTCCACTATTGATTCTGCAATCAGCATAGTGTTTGTCCTTCCCCGTAAACGGTAAGGCTCAACAACGTGGAAATCTTCTGCAAAGCAAACAACCATGCTTTTCCGAAAATCCGGTCATACTTAAGCTTTCTGTTGAAGCTTAGCACGCATTGGATAAACGGGAGCAATGAGGTCGGAAATAGCGAAAGTATCAAACCCTGCTTGTGCATTGGGTATTTGGTACAATTTGTGGGGAGAGGCGCTAGAAGGGCGATACTTCGTAGAAGCTTTGAAATGTTCTTTCTAGGCACACATGTAAAATTCCATTTAACTTCGAAGTACTTGAAGTTGTTCAAGAAAGTAAAGAAGTGTTCAGGCTTCGGTAGATTACGTCTAAATGCAAATATCTTATGGGAAGGACTTGGGCTACATACAAACTCTCTCACTTCGAGCAGAGCGCATTTTGCGCTGGTCAAGAAACTGGTACCCTGTAGATATTTCGTTGAAATCCTGGGACTATCAATGGAGATAAAACTTCGTACTCGAGTAAATCCAATTACCCAGAGATTGTTTGTCTATGGCTGTATAAATTTGCGCAATCCAATAAGCGAGGTCATTTTTCGAAAACACTTCGTTACGAACTGCTCTCTTATGAAAATTATCCTTGTATTATACATCCTCAACAATGTTTGTGGAAGTAACAAGAGCAGCAACATCTTCTCCTCCGAGTCGTCATGCCTTATTCACGAGAGTACTTGGTGCCGGAGTTATCTCCTGTAGATGATACTGGCGACCCCGAAGCAGAGATTTAAAAACGCTGAGAATTGTCACTCCCAAGTCTGCACTAGAAGAATTGGACGCGTCCTACACGCGCTTGGGGGCGCATAGCACCCAGGAGATACAAACTGACGAATCAGAGCTTCGTACTCGCTAAGCTGACCTCGCAGTGGCCTCATAACACAGGGCAGCAATTCAATAACTGGCCAATGTGCTTGCTGTATCGTGATCTCAGCGCTTTCGTGGTTTTTTGTGGTATTGAGATTGTAGGGCACTCAGCACATCCATTGATGGCCTTGCTGAAACTTCATTTTATGAAATCAGGTATTTGACTCCAGCCTTGACAGAATTTACGGGGCGTTTACTTCTCTTGTTTGTCCCGCAGATTCTCAGCTAGCAATTCGGCTTATATCTGTGCCAAAGTGCAGAGAGTTTTGTTGTATAAAACAGAACTCTATATGGTTGAAATGGTACTATGGATTTATCATGAATGTTGATCTAAATTGATGTCAAATGGTGAAACATCTATTTTGAATTTGATCTTTTCATTGCAGAACGCTCTTTCATCATGAGCTTCCGCGGTATTCCAACCTCCGGGTTGGTGTACTCCTTACTGACCGTCTCGTTACTCGGTGGTTTTAGCGAGGGGTGAGCCATCCGTCCAGGCTGTGAAAAGGCTATGTAAACATTGGGACTCCAACAAAAAACATGCCATACAGTATTCCGTATCATACAAAGGCTGAGAGCAAAAGACCCTTCAAGCAATCTTGAGTGAGCACTTTTTATGCAAGCTCCCATAGGTGATCTGGAGTTGAGTAATATTCCATTTCCTTGCAACGACAATAAATAATGTAATAATTCCATAAGTTCGTGTCGCTTCGGGGTTTCTCATGTATTGTTTTGTAACTTTCCCCCAAAAGAAGAGATAATTATTTACGGAGCCACCAGAAAACACCCTTTTTCAGAGGGGGAGTATTACGAAGTAATTTCGAAAAGTGTTGCGGGGGCATTTGAGATTTACGAAAGTCAAAATCCTCACGACAACCGATGCGATGGTAAAGTCAAAATATGCCGGACTGAACTAGCCTGAATCTAAAGCTTGAAACTCGGGGTTTGTCCGACACTTGATTGAGGTGTGATAATATTATACATTCCGATAATATATTTACGTCAAGTCGTTCTCTCTACTATTCCAGAATCGCTTCGCATAACTAAAGAGACACATTTTGTTCCTTATCAGGTGCTTATCTGTTCTTGAGTATTAATACGAGTTTAAGAACATTGCACAAAACCCGCAAAGCCATTTTTCCTGGCCAGGCTTCCGGTGGACAAGAAAAGTGGCAGAGATTCATTTTTCTAACTATTAGCGTACGTAAATTCTACGTACTAAAGTGTTTAAAATATTTGGAACAGTAGCCTTTGTTGTGCTATCGTTTTCGATAAATCATTCTAATTATTCTAAATAATATAATATAATATAATATAATATAACGTGGTCCACAAGCGAGTTGGATTCCCAAGCGAAATGGATTTTTTTTCTTGGCACTCCACAAACTTATTCAGAGCGCGTTTTTTCTTAACAAACAAAATGGTTAAGCATTGGACAGAGTCTGATATGATTCTTGCGTTAAATACGCTTCGTACGAACCCACATTTAAAAGTTAAGAAGGTTGCGCGGATCTATAAAGTACCTTATACGACATTGCTTAATCGAGCTCATGGAATATTATCACGACAAGATTCTATCGCTAAATCTCGAAAACTTACAGAGATTGAAGAAATAGGTATCGTACGAACGCTTCGTACGAACCCACATTTAAAAGTTAAGAAGGTTGCGCGGATCTATAAAGTACCTTATACGACATTGCTTAATCGAGCTCATGGAATATTATCACGACAAGATTCTATCGCTAAATCTCGAAAACTTACAGAGATTGAAGAAATAGGTATCGTACGACATATTCTCGACCTAGAATCCAGACGCGTATAACGCGTGGTTTCGCCTCGTACGAAATATAATTGACAAATATGGGATTCAGGAGGAGGATATTTATGACTTTGACGAGACTGGGTTTTGTATGGGCCAAATTACATCAGAAATGGTTGTTACAAGTACCGAAAGGCTTTCTCGGCCTCGTACAGTACAGCAAGGAAACCGGGAATGGGCAACAGTAATTCAAGGTGTTGGGTCGTACGGCTTTGTAGTGCCTCCATATATCATTTTGGCGGGGAAGAACCACCTCTCCTCCTGGTACGAAAACAGCCAATTACCACGCGACTGGGTAATTGCTGTAACTACAAATGGCTGGACAACAAATGAGCGAGCCCTAGATTGGATTCTTCATTTCGATCGGCATACAAAGCTTCGTACGAAGGGCATTCACCGGCTGCTTGTGCTTGATGGCCATGAAAGCCACCACTCAGTCGATTTTGAGCTTTTTTGTAAGAGTAATAACATTATGACTCTTTGCATGCCAGCTCATTCCTCTCATAGACTCCAGCCACTCGATGTAGGATGTTTTCGAGCGTTAAAAAAGTCGTACGGTGCTGAACTTGAGAAATTCATGCGACTCCACATTACATATGTTTCTAAGGAGGATTTCTTATCAACATTCTATACTGCCTTTCGTACGACAATGACTGAATCAAACATTCGAGGAGGATTTCGAGGATCTGGCTTAGTGCCGTACGACCCAGATTCTGTGATTTCACAGCTTGATATACGTCCAAGGACTCCGTCACGTCCAGCTACCTTAACAAGCCTTCTAGCTATTTGGGAACCAAAGACCCCAAATAACATAACAGAGGCATATTCCCAGACGTCATATATACAAAACAAGGTCGTACGACACCAAGATAGTTCTCCGACCCAGATTCTATATGGCCTAGACCAGCTTGCAAAGGGTGCACAGCGTGCAATCACTGAGGTAGCTTTATTACGAGCTGAGAATGCTACACTTCGTACAGCAAATGATCAACTTAGTCGGCGTCGTCGTACGAAAAAGCGCCGATTACAGGAAGGAGGATCACTTACTCTCCAAGATGCGCAAGATTTAGGGGTCCTTAGTAATGTTGATTCGCAAGAACAAGTGGTTTTAGTAGAAAATAGTAATTGTACGAGCCCGAGTCTAGTACCTCGCCGGCGCTGTGGACTATGTGGGAAACATGGCCATAACATACGAACTTGTCAAAAAGGAGAAGAAATATGTGAGGATTCCAATTCTGAATACTGTAATTAATTTAATTAATTGTGTCGTGAGATATTTAAGAATTTATAAAATGCCAAGAAAAAAAATTCATTTCGCTTGGGAATCCAACTCGCTTGTGGACTACGTTAATGGGTTTTAGTTAAGTTAGGATAAGATAAAAGAGGTCTCTGCCACTCTTCTTGTCCACCGGGAGCCAGGGAATACATTCCACATGCCTTCACGTTTTTGCCTTGTAGCTTCAAGTAAGAGATTGTCCCTTCCACGTACGAATGACTTCAGTTCCTTTTTGCCTTGGGCGTGATATTTTTATACCTGTAGCCTCAGCGCCGAAAAATCCCACCCCGCAAGGGTTCAATGATTTTACGATGTCGATCCTTCTTTATTCTTCGGAAAAGACCGGATTTTGCTCGCACAACGAAACCAAATTTGCCACTATGATAGAAAAATAGCGTGTTTCCAACCCTGGAAAGTCGCACGATACCGTTCTTCTGGCCATACAATTATGATCTAACCCCCTGGTTCCCCGTTTATTCGGCAACCACTGTTACCAAAGCACGCGTGGAGAAGACTGCTGTCCTTCACAGGGGTTCGGAAAAAGACCACCTGCAGCCATCGGGTCATGTCGCCGGCAAGCCCTGCTCTTCTTCGTAAGATTTAAGGCTATTTCTCAAGCTTCCTTTTGCCCGCAATTGGCGAGAGGCTTTATAACATGCTTGCAGAATTGTAGTTGAACGCGATTGTCACTGGAAACTTAGATTAAGGGATAAGAATACAAAGCTATGGAATCAGACTGCAATTTCATTTTGTTCTCTTATGACAATCTCAAAATCCCAAGGGAGAGTTTATTTCATGATATGGCCGAAGAGTGAGCGTGTCTAATCAACTTTCTGGGTAGCTGACTGTTTACAGTGTAACATCAAGATATAAGTGAGACTACCGTGCCGCTTGAGCATCATCTGGTTCTTCATTTCTGGTGTTCCTATGATGTGGACTGAAATTCAAACTACCGTACTACTTCGAAGTACACCGTAGAACTAGGGAGTTCTTCATCCCAGGCAGAGGAAATATAATCTTACAAGGGTGGTTTGGGTAGGTTGTTTGCAGGGTATAGGCCCCTGAAGATCTCGCAATTAGACTTTTTACAAGCGAAATGCGAAAGCTTAGCTAAAGTCAAATACTCGCTTGCTCAACCGTCACCCAAATTCTCTCGTATCCAATTATCAGAACCAAACTTGACTTCAACAACATCAACAAAGTTGCACGTGTGATGCCAAAAATCCCCTCTTTTAATGCCCACCATAGTCAGTGCGTCCCGTTATCACATCATGGCGAATGCTTGAGACCCCACAACCACCCTGCCTTTGCTGGGGCGCAACGTGCCAGAACACTGCAAGTGCCGGGTCACCAACTAGGTCTGAATTAAAGGTGGATTTTCGAACGCGGGCACAGGTACTTCAGTAGTAACCGATGAAATTCCTTCAAGGGGCCAGGTTTCCTTAAAGAAAGAATTCCCCCAAATGGGATGAGAGACGGTGGGCTATATCAGCTCAATCTACTCCTTGTCAATCATTTCGCCTTCATCTTTCGTTGAGTGCAGCAGGAGTAGAAGGCTTGACAACCGATCAAAGACTTCATCATGGCATCAATTTCTGGACCTGTGGAAATGAATCCTGGGCTGGGTCAAGTAGTAAGACGGTCTTGAGGGACGAAAGACAGTATTTCAAAGCTAACTTAGACAGGTTTCCTGGTATATTGCAACTGTATTGGCTGTGTTGTTTGTGGCGGCACGTTTATTCGTCAAATGGAGGAAATTTTGCATTTGGCAAGCCGATGATGCATTTCTCGTACTTGCAGCTTTGTGTCTTGTTGGGACCTTGGGGATTCAACAGTACATGTGGTTTGAAGGTAGATTTACCTGCAAGTATGTGTTTGATGAATTGGGGCTCACTAAAGCTAGGGATGGCTAGACCACCACAATCTTCAAGCTTTGATCACTTCGTACACATCATGCAGGTAAGTTCTGCTTTTTGCAAACGCTAACATCAATACCTTCCACTGACTATCTAGATGATCGTCCCGGGATCGACGTTATACGTCACTTCAATCTGGTCGGTTAAAATAGCTCTTGTCATTTTTTACAAGCGAATTGCCGCAGAGAGGAAGCTCCAGACTGTCTACAACTGTCTTCTTGGATTTCTGGCTGCAAGCTGGCTGGTTTTATTCTTCGATATCATCTTCCAATGCTACCCAATCGAAAGAAAATGGACCGGGGTCAAAGATCCCAAGTGTAAGACCGCAACTACGCCAATATTTGGAAGAATTATACGTATTGACCTTCTGTAGTGGCATGTTCTCAACACGCTTCGGAGATCAATTTCTGGATGACTGTCCTGCGTAAGTGTCGATTCCCTGCGGTATGACTCTTGCTAACCCCCCAAAGTGAATATCATAACTGATTTAGTCATCATCACTCTACTCATGTCGATGGTTATAAAGCTCAAGATGCCACAGAAGCAAAAGATTGGGGTGGCAGCAATGTTTGCTCTTGGGATATTTGTTGTCATTTCAAGCAGTGAGTCCTTTCAAACTCTTTCAATCAACGAAGTCTGACATATCAATTAGTAATACGAGCATATTTCTCTAAGGCGGGTGAGATCATGTTGACGTGCACCGTCAGTATGATTGAGACATCCGTTGCCATCATTGCCGCTTCACTTCCTGGTACTTTCTTGTTACTTCTTACTTGGTTCTCTAACTAACTCTCTCCTCACAGTCTTCCGAACGCTTCTTTCCGGAGGTATGAAAAGGAGAACAAGCGCCTTAGCTTACAATAAATCTTACGAAATGTCCTCCACAGCCAGACAATCAAATATAAGTGGACCACGAAACATGAAGAAGGCAAACGACTCCGAGGACGATATATTCAGGAATGATAAAATTGAGGGCGCGCCAAGGATACTACGTCACGATTCTATTGCTATAACGAAGGAGTTTCGAATTTCGGAAAGTATATTATCACAATCGGAGCTCGGACAGTGGAGAAAGATAAATGATTTCTAGGTCAAGTTACCGGTTAGAATTACTTGTTTGTTTAACACATTCGTTTAGGGACTGGTAGAGCTGGTCTATTAATTTCTATAATGTCTTTTTATTTATACCCATCGATTTTACATTAAGTACAAATAACGTAACGAATTTCTTATATGCTTTAAGTATACTTTGGCTCCTATAGTAACCTAGCTAGATCTTCGAACTCAATTACTATAAGGCCCTCCAAAAACGTGATTTGTGATGGCGTATAGTTTATAATTATCACTTTAAAAGAAACAAGTAATAATAACATACGATAATTTCATAGCCATTCTTCGTAAAGTATTGAGATCTCTAGCGAGTAAACTAATTTTCGTATTAAAGGAATAGTAGACTAGTATTATATCAAGAAGCCTTAAATTATAGGGGATGTTCTTATATTACGTGAGGACAGACAAACAAGAGCTAGCGGCGGGGGCAGGAATCTTTAACAACTTTACATATCCTATCCCTGGAGCAGGATGCGTACGATGGAGCCCTAGGGCTCTCTTTTTCTCGCCTATCACCATCCCTAATTTGTAATCCACCAATTGTATCCCTACTACTATACTACTGTTATAGCTAACACTTTTGTTTCTGCTTTTAGGAATAGGAATAGAAAGAGCGTGTGGCACCCTAGGGCTTTCTAAGCCGCAGGTGCTAGTCCCATGTATGTGCCCACCTCTTTACTCGTGAGTAGGACGAACGTGAATATTAAATTATATAAAAAACAATTAGTAATACTAAAGAAGAGATATAAAAAGGGGGAAAAAGAAAAGAATGGGCGAGAAGAAAGCTATGAGAAGACCTAATTCTCGTCAGAGATAAGACATAATAAGACTTAGTTAGATCTTGGATAAAGCAAGTCACAAAAGACTTGAAGATAAAGCCAACAAAAAAGAACCGTAGATTAGAGCTCAAGGAAGCAGGTGAAGATATCGATCGTAGACCCCAGCGGACACTGAATACCTAGCTCGCGCAAATTTTTAAGCTATTTACCCAGTCCCAAGTTTCTCTCGGCACTACAAGAGTGCACGTATTAGGAATCGAACCCAACAACCAATGAATGTGTATATCTTCGGTATGATCGAGCACTTTTCCAAACGCTGCGCTCGTCAACCACTGCACCAGCAAGCATATTTTCTAATCTGTCTAGCTATAGTGCTAAACTTGTTTATAAAGTTAGCGTAAAGCCGGCTTGGCAAGTCTATTCACTCTAAGCGAATCATATAACTTATAGGTTATGAAGCCAGTTACTTGTTTGACTCGTTTCCCTACTAGCTAGATATTCGGACTAGTTCATTTATCATATTCTATTTGTTGTTATTTGTAATGGCATTGTTCTTACCCGAATACCCTCGCTCTTGTTACCCTTTATTTGGACAAAATCCATGAGCTAGTACGTTCCCTAGACGTCCATATAGCGACGCGCTCTGAGCCTCTTCTCCCCTTTCTAATCTCAGGTTCTATATTAATAATAGTTGGCTTTATAGAACAAAGCGTGGAGCCATTCAGAGCTAACTCAGCGAAGTGTGTTCTGGGAGAAGATAGGTATATATAGGCGGGAATGTAAACAAATCAAGAAGTGTAAAACCCTTTGTCTCATTGCCAGGAAGTGTAGAGAAGAAAAGCAAGGTTCTTTCTAATTTTTTGAGCCACCACTAACCCCTTGGTAACTCATATTAGATCAAGAGTCAATTAAGCGCTAGCAGTCTAACGTTGAATCCAGACTTTTGATAAGTCCTATTAAACAAATCTTTTTTATGCCTGAGACGTGGCTTATTTGGGCTCTTAGACCTGGCGACAATTAGTAAATCAAATAAATCAGATTTCATGATTGCCCATTTGCTACAGGTATCTGTCAATCTGCTGACTCTTCATAGCGTCTTGTTCTCGGGCCCATCTCATCCACCTTTTCAACCCATCACCTAGATTGCAATCGACACCAGGAGAAGATGGCGGAAATCTGCAAATCCAATGACATGAATCTCGGCGAAATCCAGAGACTAAGTAAGTAGTGCAATGGCCCCTGTCCTCTAGAACTGCCAGAGTATAAGGGGTATAAGATACCTGGTGGTTACTCTGTACACAATATATAAATTCTATTATACTAAACTTCTAGTCCAAGTAAGATAGTTTTATTAGTATACCTAGGCTAATGAAGAGTGACCGGTAAAAATTATTTTAAGCTCTTCTTATAATTATTTCAGTTGCTCGATGCTTTTGAAATAATTTTATTCTAAAATATGTGTGTAGCGAATTTATACATGTTCTGTATACTATCCAACTCTCTTATTCACATACCGTGTTTCATTACTGTAGTTTATAAAGTCTTCTACTGAAGACTTTATAGAAAATTATCCATTTATATCATATGAAAAATCCGAACAGTAGGCAACTTCTTATCCTTATCTTTTCTGACTTTTCCATTATTTTCTTATATAACTTTTGGCCATATTCAAATTAAAGCTCCTCACCCATTTCTTTGGAAATTCCAGGATATGTGATATAATCCAACCTCAAGGGTATTGGTTAACAAACTCCGATTTTGCATACCTAGTAGTTGTGTACTGTCATTAAGAAATCGAGTTTATTAAAATCTACTTGGCGGCGGGCTAAGGCTTAAGTGCTATGTCTTCCTGGCCAGAAGCAGGGCGATAATTATATATTTCATGTTGTGTGGTTATATATGTAGTCTGATTCTCAACAGCTCGATGTCTTCACTTGAAGACGAACCGATCAACTGAGTCTGAAACGGGACGTTTCATGAATTCCTCATTCTTTCTCTTAGTGCAAAATCATAGGATAATAAAAAGGTCCAACTATACCGTATGCGGTCATCCCCTTGGCAATCTTTCGCATTCGGTTTCATCCTAATTTCGCCTCGCTTACAAGAGTTCGTCTCATGTTTATTTCCCCCTCATGTAGAGGTTATTTCTGACAGCTTCATGTATTACACTCTGTATCGCGAAACCACCGTGCGCCGCGAAACGGTAACGTTCACGATCGAACGTTAATCCGGGGCAGGAGTAAGGTTATAAAAGTGTGCCAGGATTACTATCAAACGCGGGTTGTGGTGCCAATCAAGCTTGGAAAAGTCTCGACGTATGAAGCTCAGAGTTTCCCTGTAACTTGCCCGTCACTACCTGACTTGAGCTAAAAACATCTAGTACACTGATCAGCTGAGTTGAAGAGCATTTACTTCTGCAAATAATTGTTCACTCGAGTACAATATATAACGCTGCGCGCGTCTTACACACATACAATTATACTTTTGCGGGGTAAACTGGTGAGGTCTGAAACAAGCCCTACCCATTATCGCAGATCTCCCATGCAAGTCATACGCAGGTCAGAAAATATGATATCAGGAAACCCAAATCGTAAGACGTTACCCCTCATCTAATGGGTATAGCGCGGGGTACACCTAAAGTGGATGTCATTGAGGCTCAACTTCTTGGAAAGCGAGTATAGATGGTGTTAAATAACCCCTCTAGATTTCTGCCATAGGCTTCACATACTTGGACTCTGTGTTTTATTTTTATAACAGATCAATCGGGATTTGTGAATGAGTGGCACACTGAGTGCGGAAGGGTTGGATTTAATTACTCCAATTCGAGTGTGCTGGGCTGCTTATTTGCTTTCAAAGTCTCATGATTTGAAGTTTTGTTTCAACTCAAGAAAGAAAACTAACTCGAGATCTCATCACTAGACAATATCGTCTGTACCTAGTCTGTCTTCTGTTTTGCTAGTGTGACTGTTCTCGACGAGCAATTTGATTTCTGTACCAGAGGCTGTCGTATAATATTTAAGAAATTATCTTGTTGACAGTGGTCAAGCTTTGAATTTCTCTCTCACTGCAGCCTGTCAGTCAAAAATACCTGAATAGAAGATGGTCGGGGCATTATTGCTTTCGCATTTCACATCATTTTCAACTGAGGCTTCTCAACATCACACCACCATAGAACGTTTACCCAACTTCACAAGACACTCTCAGACCCAAATCCTTCAAAGAACAGCTTTTCATATACCGCTCTCTCCTAATACACATAAATTAATGTACAACCCCTAACCCCCTCCATTTCGCACGTTCATGCTTTCACCTAACAACCCTCTCAACCCACTCTCCCTCCAACCTCCTAACCTCCTCCTTGAAAGTCTGCACTTCCTTCCAGCAATCCAGCGGTCTGCGATCATGACCCCTCAAGCACTTAACCACATCCTCCTTCGCTCTCTCCACTCTCTCATCCTCGACGGCTAATTTCTTCCTCTGCTCCAACTTCTTCTTCAATTCCTTGACTTCATTTTGTACACTTTCGCGACCGAGAGTACGGAGTGCGTCGCCGGCCGAGACGTTTTCTGGGGGCGAAGGTTCTGAAGAGATCTTTTCTTGGAGAGTGAGGAAGTCTCTTTCTGCGCGTTCTTGCAGGGCTTTGAGTTCTGCCGCGACGCGGTTTTGGATGTGAAGTTCGAGGGTTCTAGCGCGGGTCGAGTCGGTCTATAGGTGATTGTTAGTTGCAACGTTCGCGATTGGATTTGTTGGTCTTCAGGTTGTGGTGGTTCGGGAGTTATGATGTTATGGAGAGAATGGAGTTCCACCACCCAAACCTCTACGTTGTACCCCGCATATTGAAACCACCCTTCTCTCCATTTTTGACCAAACTGAGCCCGTATAAAAACAAGTGAGACCACCTACCTCAGGATTATTCTGCAAAGAGTCGACGAGTCCGGAAGAAAACGAGACAGGTGTATCGCTATGTACAGATTAGCAAATTGGATAGACAATCGAACCCATTGGGAGAGAATTACCTCGTCCATACTTGAGTCTTAGGAGTCGTATTTGGTTTGGAGGAAGAGGCACCCATTATGAGAGGCGGGGAGTCGATATGCCTGTTCTTGGAATTGCTAGTAATTGGAGCTTCACGGAATTTGAGGTTGAGGCTCTGCGGTTGCGCGGCTAACTTTCGTGGAACGTTGCCGGAGTTGAGCCCGCGAAGTTTGATTAGTCATCACAGCCACCATCACTATGCTATCACGGACCATGTCACATGTTCAAAAAACGTTGGTTTCCAAGGTTTCCAAGGTTTCCATTCTCTGAGTCCATCAAGTCACCATCAAAGATTCATTTCATCGGACCGAAGTCTTTGTTCAGCTATTTGTCACTCCGAAGAATACTAAAGTCACGTTTGTTCGCTCTCTGTATCTTCGCTCTCTCGGAATGCCCGCAGGCCCGACGCGAACTGATGCTATTATCGTGGAGTAAGCAGTTCGGAGAATTTCGAGATTGTGTTTGTTTGAGATGTTATCTAGGTGCTTCCCTACAACGATAATTGCCTTTGTTTCGGAAGAATTGCAATTAATAGTAACACAGATCATACTACTCGGGTATGCTATACTTATATTATAGTAAGGCCACAACAGGTAGGTGTGATCGTCTATTATTCGATCTTCATGTCGGAAGGACTCGTTCTGAAAGGTTTATGAGCTCGTAATTTCAAAGCGTCCTGTGAGTTTGTATTTTATCTGATGGCATCCAGATATAGCATGGCCCTCTATAATCATTCGCTTAGAGCTATGTGGCTTTGTTGAAGTGCTATAGTCTTGGATTACCTACCTCAGTTGCTCCTGAATACGTTTGGACGCAAAATCAACTGGTCTACGGAGGTATCACGAACATTATTTAAACATTTAGCGTATTCGGTAAATGATTGCAGAGCGCGGTAAACGGACACGGCGATCAGTCAGCACTGAGCATGAGTGATGTCCCTGTACTCCGTATCCGTGGGCTTGATCGGGAAGTGATGACTGTATTTAAAATCAGGAGTTTCCATGAATAAATCTTCCCCCGCGGTGAGCCCGGTTTGACCAGTGCCCAGAGATGTCATCTTGCTTGGCTCGCTCGACCTGCACCATCAGAGTACTGTAAATTGTCTTCATTATTGAGATGATTCATAATATCAACCGGTATCTGTTGGTTATTTCAGTTGCCGAGACTTTTGCAAAATTCCCGTAGCCAATCTACAATGTTGGAGGAACCTGAGTTGATCTAGACTTCGGGGATAATACGCACTTGTGGCTGACTGTTGTCGTTGGCGGGCTCAAGCCATCCCGGGCAATAAAGGGCCTTTGTTATTAGAAACCTGGTTTTCGTCCCGAGTAGATGGAGGCCTATCAAATTGTTGGGTCGTTCGTTGTTTTCAGACGTTTCAAACAATCCACCACTCAGGCTACGAGGATGCAGCCAACACCCTCCAAGGTGGCGGTCCCGAGAAGCGCTGTCGTCCAACCGCTTGGGTTGCCCCTGGGTGGCACCTCGTACCTGAATTACATGCATGCACCTTCCCATCAGCACCACGGCGTACAGAGCTGGTGGAGGCTCTCCAAAGGCGTCGTTCGTACCAACTTCATGCAAACCTCCAATGAAGCATCTGACACTTACGTGCCAGCGAACACTCTGCCACGTGATTGGCGCCCGAGAGACCGAGACCCGATCGTCATTGATAGGCGCAGAAGACTTGCAAGTCTTGTCCACCCAGACGTTGGTCACCCAAGGGCAAATCCAACAGTGTGAGGAGCACAAGGGGGGTGGCTGCAGGAATGGATTGAGGAAGATGATTGGAATCCTGCGTCTGCGGCTTGGATGCAACATGACGGGTCACTCCTTTTCGTCGTAAACCTTCTTAAATTTTCGTTATTTGTGTAAAACATAAACTACCTCTGGCCCTCTTTGATGGAACGACTCTGCGCCTCATCTTTGTCATTCGTTCGTGGTTCCGATTTTCGACAGTCGTGATTCATCGAGACAAACTCCATCAACCCCACTATCCCCAGCTTCTCCAACTTTCTTTCTTTATTAATTTCCAGGCAGGCCTCGCCTTACCTCGGTTCTTCTTTCTAGAGATCTTGAATCTGCTGTGCAGGGAAAAGGCCAAATCGATAGATCTCCTTCCTTCATTGACGGATCAACTTTTCGTACCTACATCCACTCACCTGCGAGAAACACCAACGTCACATCGGCATATCCTCTTCATTTACCTATCTGACCAAGGGTCACTCAAAAAAAAAATCCAAGATCACCCCTCCCGCGGCACAGTTCGTGATAATAATCGAAGGACGTCTTATGCGAAACGTGGTGGAGCAGTCTCTTATCGAATACCTGACCGCCCGAAATAAACAAAATACAACGGAAGAACTATCGCGGCGCCCAGCTGTCGTCTGATCTTTCTCGATTCAGGATCAACATTGCGGCTTGGCCGCTTGGCCGCGCGAATTCCTCATAAGTCAAGCGACTCGCTCCCAGTTCCATTTTTGGCGCCCGGCGAACCATCATTCATTCACGGTCCCCACGCGCTTTGCCGCACCTACATTCTTTCCAGAAACAACTTTACAGGTCATATCAACTTTGCATCGTCGAGTCTCGGAGAAAGTTCTTTCACCATCTTCCTGTTCAACAGCCATTCAAAGTCCCAGTAAAGAGAACAATCGCTATTCATCGCTATTCTAATCTTGCTCATTGTTTCTTTGTGATTCATAATCTCGCTTATTGTTACTTTGTCAATCCTAACAAAGCAATTGCTATTCACGACAATGCTATTGAGCCACACAAATAAACTGTTCTTTTTATACCTCACCAAAGAACAATAGTTTGTGAATACTTATTGAGCCGCCAACCATTCATTCGAGGTTTGTACACTTTTCCTGCTTTCGAGTATCTTGCAACACACTTAAACATATACAATTCTAATACACACAACACACAGCCTTACAACATTTTCTCACAAGACTCAACAAATTTACTATCTTTGGGCGCCAATATGGTGTCCCCTGTTTTCCCACGTATGGCGGCCACTTCAACCACTCCAATCAACGAGACCGACCCGGCCGCAACCATCGCACCCTTCGCTACCTTGCTTAATGGAGTCAGTCAACCGATGAACATGCTCTTCAAAGATATCAGTTGGTGGACGTTTGGCATTTTTGGCCTCACGCTCTTAACGATCCGGCTAGGACAGAGGGCGTTGGCCCACATACGACATATGTCAGCTATGAATTTACCAGGGGATGCGCAGCGGTACTGGGCCATCAACGAATATTCATGGTGGTGGAAATTCAAGAAGCATATGCTGTATGCCCCTCTCAAGAACAAGCGCCACAACCGAAACATCCAACTCTCCAAATTCGGAAATATGGGAACGATTCCCTCTCGCTTCCACACCCTTCTCATCACCATTTTTACTGGCGGTAACATTGCTTTCTGCGCCTACCTCAGTTACGACCGACCCAACCATTACTCTGTCGTTGCAGAGCTCCGTGGCCGAACTGGTGTTATGGCAGTAGTAAACATGATTGCTCTTACCATCTTTGCTGGTCGCAACAATCCCCTCATCGGTCTTTTGCAAATCAGCTTCGACACCTATAATCTTATGCACCGATGGATTGGAAGAATAATTGTCGTCGAGATCATTGTGCACACGGCTTGTTGGGCCTATGTCAAGCACGCAGCTACAGGATGGGGAGGAATGTGGGAGATGATTCAACACGATCCTTTCATTTTATGGGGATCAATCGGTACCGTTGCAATGGTTCTTCTCGCCATTCAAGCTTTCTCCCCCATCCGACATGCCTTTTACGAGACGTTCCTCAACATCCACATCATCCTCGCAGCTGTAGCAATGGCAGGAACATGGATCCACTGTGAAGTCGCCCACCTCCCTCAAGTTCCTTGGATCCAAGCTATCGTCATCCTCTGGGCGGTCGAGCGTGCCTATCGTTTCTTCAACCTCATCTACACCAACTGGGCTTCACAAGAAGGCTTTACTCGCGCCACCGTCGAGTCCATGCCCGGAGAAGCCTGTCGAGTAACAATGCACCTCCCGAAAAAAGTCAATATCAAACCGGGAACGCACGCCTACCTTCGCTTCTCTGGCATCGGCCCATGGGAATCGCATCCCTTCTCCGTTGCCTGGATCCATCACAAACCCAAGAACACCACCACGCTCCCCATAACCGAGAAACCAGAGGCTGAATCCGAGTCCGAGAAAGCTCTTCGTGAACCAGACATGGTAACAGACGTCTCCTTCGTCATCCACGCCCAAAGCGGAATGACGCGCCAACTTTACAACGCAGCCGAAAAACACGGCGCCTCAGGAATGGTCATCAAAGCCGCATTCGAAGGACCCTACGGCGGCCACCACTCTCTCGATTCATACGGCCATACCGTCCTCTTCGCCGGCGCCTCAGGAATCACCCATCAAATACCCTACATCAAGCACCTCATCACGGGCTTCAACAACGGCACCATCGCCACACGAAGAGTCACACTAATCTGGATCATCCGTGAATCCGATCATCTGGAATGGGTGCGTCCGTGGATGGATCAAATCCTCAAGCTGCCACGCCGTCGCGAGATCCTGCAAGTCAAGCTATTCGTCACGCGACCCAAGAATCCACGCGAACTGCAGAGTCCGTCGTCGACGGTGCAGATGTTCCCTGGACGACCGAATGTCAAGCTGTTACTAGAGAACGAGGTCCAGGAACAGAGGGGTGCGATGTGCGTCACGGTCTGTGGACCAGGTGGTTTGGCGGATAATGTTCGAGAGGCTGTGAGGGAGGTGCAGGATTTGGGGGTGGTGGATTTTATAGAGGAGAGTTTTACTTGGTAGAATTCCTCTTCCCAAATATCGACTCTACTCCACATTGTGTGACTCTGATCCTTGAATCGACGTTTTTGGATTTAATGATGTAATGAACGGCGAATACGGTTGTTTAAGGGCATGGGATTTTCTGTACATACATAATTTTTCTTTGGAGGAGTGGAAAACGGCATCGGACCGATAGAATGAGTTTCTGGAGAAGAAGGGAGGAGGATGGACGTTGTACGAATACCTTTTTCTCTCTTCTTTCTTGTTGGTTGTTTGAAGCGACTCAGCGAAGCGGCATTTATCATCGGAGTTCCATGGCTTGATTATATATCGGCTATCCTATCCAGATACGATAGTTAATTTAAATTTCTCATATATATTCTTTTTTCACTTGTGATTTGTGACTTCTATTTATGAATTGCTAAACTAAGGTATTGTCAATAGGTCTGACAAGTAGTTCCCACCGCATAGAACAACGGAAGAAATCTATCTAGCAAGATTCTAGCAAGTACAACAACGAAGGAAGAACTTGTACCAGGGCTACATAACCTTATCTCCTTCCCAAAGTAGCTCAGCTAGTCTATTCTGTCAGTTATCGAAAAACAACTCTCGAGTCTCTTTCCAGTCATTCCAGTACTCTCGGCACTCCACACATACTTCCTTACTTCCTTCAACATACTTCCTTCAACATAAAGTGATTATCCCCTCGACGCATCATATATACACCTGGGATTTTGGGTTTGAGATATCCACCTTTTTTTTGTCTTGGTACTCAACAATACTCATTGAGTAGTCTGGAGCTAGTGCAAGTCGGACCAAGCCCCATAGCGCGCCTAGGACTGGTGAGACCTTGCAAATGGGAAATCTGAAACTTAAAATCCTGGGTGTATATATGATGCGTCGAGGATAACGACAGCCTGAAGCAGAAGTAAACGTGGGAGTGAGGTTACCACGTGGAGACCATGCGAGTGCGACAGTACTTCTATCTAGGGAATTTAAACGAAACCCCCAAGATTCCGCGAATCACTCGCCGCTTCGACAGCTTTCCCAAACTGGATATCATATATATCACACACACATGGTATATATACCATAGTTTTCTCCCAAGTCCTTCCAGATTCTGAACCCTAGGCCTGTACCTCCAACCTCAATAATTCCCAACCACAAGAACCACAAAGAAATATTCCAGTTTGCACTGGAACCTCCACACCCTCCAATTTCGAAGAATCAAATCGCCGTACTGTAATCTAATATCGATGACTCTGGAATCTAGTTTAACTTTAAGCTTACATAGAACAATAAAGTACTAGAAAATATACTTCCGCGGATTCTTGTTAATATGGTATGCCTCTGGTCCAACCCACTAGTGTTACCAGTAAGTTGAGTCATTCCACAACTTTCTATTAATAGAAGATAATTTTAAAAGGCGTCTATCTAGGTGCTGTATGAAAGACATTCAGTATCGAGATTTGAGAACGTACTATAGATTCTAATAGACTTGAAACGAGCTAGCTATCTTTTATACCTATACTCACAATCTCCTCACGCAAAAGAAAGAATTCATCATTCATCATCACTAGTCTCCTCATCCCCTTCATCCCCATCGTCCTCATCCTCATCCTCGTCTTCATCATCCCCACCTTCAAGTCCATAACTCTCCTGGAAAGCAGACAGAGGCTGAGTCTGGGTCTTAAATCCAAGCTCCGTAAAGCCCTTCACAAGCGCCTAGATGAAAATCAGTAAAGGTCTTGTGGTTAAGATAAAGAAAGCAAACATACCTCCTCCATAATCGGCGCAGCAGTGACCACCAAGTTCGCCGTGCCAGGCGTAAAGATAGGCAACAGAACATCCTTCATTACAGCCTTGATCTCGTCCACGGTAACCGCTCTCACCTTCTGCAGAGTCCTCGTGTTGTACTCATCATCCACCTCCCTCACAACGCTATCTACAAAGTGAAATTGCCCTGCGGCAGCCATGGTAGATTGTTCATCCGCAAAACCCGTGACGATCTGACTAACCGCACCTTCGAGGGCATATTGTTCAAACCTCGCGGTGCCATCGATGTGGGACTCCAGAACGGCTTTGGCTGCGTTGAAGGCGCGTAGAGCGTCAGGGGAGCGGTAGATGTTAAAGGAAACGAATCCCCCGTCCGGGTCCCGACGGAAGTACGCACCGTATGCGAGACCGGTGCCACGGACAGCTGTCCACATAGGTCCTTCTACAGCATCGAGGAAAGATGTTGCGACTTGCAGAGCTGGAAGAATCGGGCTCAGGTATGAGTTGGGTCCTTTCGCAGTGGAGAGAAGGAAGGAGGAATCGATTGTTGGCATAGGTACGATGACCGCTCCATAGCTACCTGGATTTTGGCCATCACTGCTGAGACGTTGATCCAGTTTTACGACTGGTAATAGTGGGTTTGTAGCATCCAATCCAGCAATCAGAGATTTCCATGAGTCGACGGGATTTGGTAGTTGCTCAATGTTTGTAATCACAAGTGCTCGCATGTTCTGAAATGTGAAAAGTGATTTTCGGAGACTCTCAAGCCAACCAATTACCACTTCAGGTTCTTTTGCCAGAAGACTTTTGAGTCGCTTCATGTAGACCGCCTTTACAAGAGTTCCGCGAGCCTTGAGATTTGAGTCTTTGTCCATATGTATCATTGAGTCGACAGCATCTAGACATAGTCAGCACATGTGTATCCGGCGAAGATTTTGTAATATAGAACATAACCTACTCATCATGCTATTGCCACTCCGCTTGGATTCAGGTACCTCGGCAAGAATCTTGGAAATTCCAGCCTTCAGTCTGGTCTCGTCAAAAATGCTATCAAACATCATGGTTCGAATCCATTCAATTGCTGTAGCATATTTGTCGCGTTCAACCACGAATTGAATAACAAGACCTTCGGAGTATCCAACACGACCTCCCCCATTGATAGAATAGCTGACAGTGTCCTGTTCGAGCTCAGTAACGACCTGCTCAAACTCGATTTTCTTCCCATCTTTGACGACTGGTGTATTGAAGAAGTTGTCCATGAACAATGGCAGCAGAGGGCGGTGTTCAGTTGCGACCTGAGAGGTACCAAGAAGAACCGTAATGTGGACAAAATTGCTAGGAACATGCTCAAACTGGACGAAGAGCGGAATGTCTTCAGATGATTTGTCGATTATGGTCTGGATATTGTTTGATGGTTTACCAAGCTTTTTAGAAAGACCAGATCTTGCCGTTGTTGATTCGATAAAGTGAATCGAATCTACACCAGGGACAGGCCACTTCTGCAATACAGATGCAGGAATTTCAGTATCATTCTTCGCAACAGCTTCTTTCAGCTTTTCTGCGAGTTTTGCGAGACCTTCAGGCCCGAGTTCCTTGCGTCGTGCAGCAAGTCGCTCTTCCTCGGATGTCTTGATCTTTTCTGCCATCTCCTTAGATGGTGTGCCGAGGAGTGAAATATGGGGTGCATTAGTTACCCACTTTCCCAAAAAGTCTCTCCATTGCGGATCGGTCCATGTTTCCAATGTATCAAATTCAGCGAGGGTGGACATGTCTTTCAGGGTGGAACCATCGCGGCTTCCGAAGAGAAAGTCGTTGATGATACCATCGGCGTAGAAACTGGTGGAGCTTTCTGCTTGAAATTTGACCCTTCTTCGTTCTCGTCTAATACAATCTAGCATATATTTCATGTCTAGAGGATTTGATGTAACATCTTGCAGAATTTCAAAAAGTCGCTTCTCAACGTGCGCCAACTTCTCGGTTGCAACACCAGAAGGTTGGAGCCAAATGACTGTATTTGGTCTTGCATCCCACTGTTGGTAGATGGCACTAGCGAGCTCCTCTTTTTCCACCATGATGTTTTCCAAGATGGAGATGGAGGATCCAGCGAGGTATGTTAGTAGAACGGTCAGAGCTGCTGTTTCGACTGGAGAATTGCAATCGGGCCCGAACATCCCAATTGAGATCTCGCCCATGGTTTCATCCTCTTCAGGAAACGTGACTGCCTCGACAATAGTCTCTTTCAAAGCAGGCGGTTGCGGAGAATCTACCCAAGGTCTGGAAACGTTAGAAAACAATCTCGGGTAAACTTTCCAAAGAATCTGTACTACTCACCGTTTGAATGGAGCATCAGGCGCAGGAATATCATCGATAATACTATCCTCAAATTCTTCCAGAATTTGAAGAAGCTCGTCCTGGTCAATCTCCCCCACAAGAACGAGACATAGATTTTTGGGCTGGTACATTTCTTTGTGGAAAGCTCTGATTCGATCCGCTGTCAAGACTCTCAGATTTTCCATCAATCCACCCGTCTCATATCGGAAGCCAACATTTTCTGGATACAAAAGACGCCTTGCCCGAATATCCATTATCTCACCACCAGTATTTTGTACGCCTTGCATCTCTGAATAGACGACACCTGCATCATTTCCTTCTCCATCAATGTGGTGAACTTCTGTGTAGCAACCTTCGTCAGTGAGGGTGGGCAAGATGACATGCTCAAGATAGACGGGTAAAATTTGAGCGAATCCTTCCCACCCTGCAGTCTCTAGGGTATAAGCTGTGTGGTCTGTGGCGGTCCAGGCATTGGTATTTGAATAGGCTCGTGAAGCAAGCTTATCCAAGAGACCTTTGTATTGGTAGCTCCGAGAACCCATGAAAACCAGGTGTTCTAAAGTGTGAGGAGATCCAGAATCGTCAAGAATCTCTGTTGCGAGAGTAAAGTAGCCATTTACCTTGGGTCCCTTTTGGTCGGTCACCACGACATGCATCCCAGTTCGCTCGGATACATACTGAGTGATGGAAACAGGTGCATAATCGGTCTTGAACTGCTGGATAGTTCGGAAACTCGTCTTTCTCTTCTGGCTGGGCATTTTTATCGTAGTAGTAATGCTCCTACGAAGGGAGTTTTCCAATTTTGTAATAGAGCTGAGCCTGTGACATGTAATCGGTAGTTATTCTGATCAAGACGACAAGAAGACAAGAAGAACGGAAAAGTGAGAGATTCGCAGTAGAGGGAACCACTAGTCATCACTCGTGAATAACAAGGAGCAAGGTCATCCGCTTCAATATGTGCTAGACGATCCAAGAATGGGCCTAAAAATGAAGACTCCACTGGCATACCCTTGGTTGCCTAATACTTGATAAAGGAGAACGGCAAAAGCAATGCTGACAAGCACGGTAGATAAAATTTGACAGGTTCGCAAGGGTGGAAACTGTGTAACCATGATATTGAGCTCCCAAGGATGCGCCAGAGAAGAGGCAACGATGTGTGAAAAGGAGGAGGAGTTGTAGTAGACATACCTTGACTTGGAAAACAAGGTAGCTGGAAGCCTTGTGTAACGCAGAATGAATCAAAGATAAGCTGCTGTACATGCAAGTCAGCCCTATACCTGTAGGTACCTAGGTAGCTGTCGAGCAATGCGATGCCAATGAAGCGGGATGCAAAGGTACTCGAAGCTGTATACGTAACGGCGTTCGCCCGGTGAAGATATCAGGAGTCGAGGCGGTTTCGAGGGGTAAAGACACTGACCTCCTAGGACAAACACGCATGCAGCCAGCTTAATGAGATACTGAGACTGAAGTAGAGGAAGGATTCTCTACACAGTTGAGTGCTTCCATCACAAAACTGCACCAGCCGCACAGCAACTCGACCCCGCCCCCGCCATTCAGGTCGGCATTGTCGTCGGCCTCGGTACCCGAGTCGGCCCGCACCATGAAAGCTCTGGAGTGCTTCCAGGAAACAACACCATACCTACGTAGTTGCGCCAGCTCTTGCCGTTGTATATCAGAGGCAGCATAGCACTTTCCCAGCTTGTCAATTCGTACTTGTATTCTGCAGATTTTTCCTCCAATAATGCATACAAGACTTCGAACCCTATGCCCCTTTTGAACCCCCCCAAAAGGACAACGATACGACACTTTACTCTACTCGCTCTCACCATGGCAACTTCAAGCATCGAAGCTCGTCTAACGGACTCCCTGATACAATTCTCAACTAATCGACAATTTCCCGATGAAGAAGAGGTATCTGCAGCTTATGTGCAAAGCTCAGTGCTGCCAGGCGCCCTAGAAGCTTTGGAGGAAGCTCGAAAAGCTCTAGAGGTAAGAACGCTACCTTCTCAGGTTCCTGGGAAATATGCCTATACCTGCACCCACACCCACATTTACACTTGACAATGCTAATTTTCTTCGCAGACAGAAATACGACAGATCAGCCAGGACAGCGCTACAGACGTCGATACCTGGATCGCACATGCCGAAACAATCCAACACGACATTGAAGCTTCACGTCGGCTGGCGAGCAGCATAGTTCGAGATGCCGAGGCAGACGAGGAACGTTTGGAAGCTCTCAAGGAGCAGCAAAAACTCGTCAAATTCTTGGAGAGTGAGGCGACATTTTCCGAGCATGTTGCCCACTCATTGCAGTACCTGCAGGATATGAACGATAAATTGGACAAGATTGAATCGCTGGCCCAGGAAAGAAACTTGCTTGAAGCTTTATCCGCATGCAAAGGTATGTCCAGTTTGATTCTCAAGTCGCGAGGGTTATGCTGAATGTTACCCCAGATTATACGGCTTCCCTTTTTCATGCTCCTGACAATACGGCTCGGGCGAAAAAGGTTCTCGATGCGAGATACAATGAAATATCAGAATTCTTGCATGGGCAGTTACGGGCCCTATATAATTACCTTGTTCATTGCGATGAAAAAAGCCATACGCTAACGATTAACAATGCCTTGCCATGTAAGTAGCTAACAACTCGTCCCGGCGTTCCGTCTGCCTCGCAAGCCTCATTTTTGTTTCTTTTGGGAAGCTCAAACTGACGGAGATTAGCCGAGATAATGACCCTAGAGCAGGTAATCCACGCACTAAAGACTTATCAGGAGATGGAACAGGCTGCAGCGAAACTTTGGGAGGAACTGGATGAAATAGTCATTGGGCCACGAACTTTCCTTCGTCTAGGAAATCTTCCCGGAATTGCCATTGAGAAGGTAGTCCTCGTCTCCCTTACAATCCCATAATTATTACTGATCCCCGTAGAACACTATAGTTTGTGGCCGGGAGCATGCAGATCTAACTATCAAATCATTATTTGATGATATGCACAGTATCATCGGGTTTCTCTGCGACAAATTGCCAAAAGAGTTCATTAAACATCTCTCAGATGCCATGATGCCTACTCTTTGCGAAAGGATCAAAGAATTATGGCTTGATTCCGCTGTTCCTACGTCTTTAGATGATTTGATGGAATACCAGAAAGCCTTACTGCAAGTATCAGATTTTGTTAAGCATTTGGAGGAGCTCAAATGGCCTGGTGCATGGACCCTTCAAGAATGGGTCTCTACAGCGGCCAAAAATTGGTTGGACAAACGGAAGGCCAATGCTTTGGACTGGACGAGGAATCAGCTCTCTTTGGGTGAGTTATCGTGTCTCGTTCGATACGTTGGGGAGTACGGTTAACTAATGTTTTAGGTGTTGGTATTTCTCGGCCCGCAGATCGTATAGAGAGACGCATGGTACAACGTGATGAAGGCATGCATATTCCCGCCAAAGGAAACGTTGTCAACGATGACTGGGACGCTGCTTGGGATAGTGGTGACGACGAGCATCCAAAAGGATCGCCAAAATCCACCTCACCCCCACCATTAAAGAGACACCGAAGCTCCATAGATGAAGAGCGGAAAGTTTCCGAAACGACCCCTGCAGCGATACCAACTGCGTTAGAGGAAGACGACGAAGACGATGGGGCTGATGCTTGGGGCTGGGGTGATGAAGATACTACTGAACCTGAACCACAGGAATCTACGCTTCCCGAGCCAACTCCGCCTTCAAGCGAGTCACTGACTGGGGAAGTCAGAGAAATGATCATCAAAGAGAGATATTACACCTCTTCTATGCCACAACCTGTATTCCAGACGATGACCGCGATATATGAAGATGCTGCAAGATTGACTCGGCCAGAGTATGTTCAGATGGTGTCTGGGGAAAGCGGTTTGCTAACGACTATTAGGAATGCCGACTCACCTATCACACCAGCCGCTCCTGGTTTGTTTACTGTTGCAATCCTCATTCTTGCCATGTATCGCGCGATATCGCCTACATACTATAATAATCATGATGATGGCAACATGTGGGTGATTTGTCAACACCAACATTGATCAAGCTAACGGATTCTTCTAGGTTTCTTTACAATGATGCCATGTGGCTAGCCGATCAACTCCGACAATTCAGCAAAGATTGGGCAGAACGAAAGGATCTTAACGATCGTATCTATGGCAAGCTAAAGCTGGACCCTGAGATCAAAGTCCTAGAAAGTTTCGGAAAGAGAGCGTACACAAACGAACTCATCAGCCAGCGAACTGCTTTAACTGACTTTTTAGCTGGTATGTTCTTTTACTTTCCCCCGCCACTTGGTCTTATTTAATAATATTCCTCCAGGCCCGCAAAATTTCTTCCAACAAGACAAATCAGAAATTGAACATGGAGCAAAAGTCGTTGCCAGACTCATCCGAGAGAAGGCTAAAGCGTGGCATAAGGTTCTCACCTGGTCCGCATGCGCCTCGGCGGTTGGCTCTTTGGTAAACACCATCGCCACGAAACTCATAACCGATATATTCGACCTCCCCACCATTGGAGTCGATGACGCTGCGCTCATCGCCGAGATTCTCACCCTTATTGAAGGACTCGACGACTTGTTTATCAAACCTCCTACCGCCAACGCTTCCAGAAACGGAAAAGAGGAATCCATCAGTCTCACGGCGCAATTCGTGGATCAATGGTTGAAACTGAACTTCTTAAATCAAGTGTTACAGAGTAACTTGGTAGACATTCGGTTCTTGTGGCGAGAAAGTGATTTGAGCTTGTATTTCCAGAGGGAAGAGGTGGTGGATTTGATCAAGTTGAGTTTTGAGAATAATGAGAAGGTTAGGGGAGTTATCAAGGAGATAATGGAGGGGGAGTTGCCTAGGGGTGGGGATTGAAGTGGGATGAGACGTGTGGGTATTTGTATATCTGTTGGTATTGTTAGTTAGCGTGGGAGATAATGATACCCTGCTGTATAACGACTTGGTTTGTATGATTGTCTGTAAAATTATGACATTCTGTTGCCCGTTGAGGAATCCACGATTGACGAGATGGGATTCCTTGGTAGTTCTGAGGTACACATTCTTGTTTTGCAACTTTGCTATTGTCGATGAGGCCTTACTTGCTTCTCCTGGTGCAGAGGATTTTGTATCGAGGATTCATAGTTCGTGATGGAATGGATGGAAGGTGGAAGGGGATTTGACCTTCTTGTTGGAGTACAGGGAGGCGGTGCGAGGTGTGATGTATTTTTTTTGTCTTGTAGGAGACCGATTACTCGTATGAGTACAAAGCTAAGGACTAGATGTTCGTTCATCAGCCCTTGCCCCACATAAAAATAGCCGCAATGTGGCCTGCAGGTGGGATTTAAGCTTGTTTGTTATTCCCCCGAAGAGAGAAAGTGGGAAACAATTGCATAAAGTTCCGCTTGTTTCGCTTATTATTGTACTGAACTGGATTCGGACTTTTGCTAAATCCGACGCCCGAATGGGGCCCTCGTACTGGCAATGTGGGGGAGCGTCACAGGTTTCTTCCTATAGCGATGCTTGGAATTTTGGTAAGGGGTTGGACAGCTAAGAGTTATACCATGCTATTTAAAGGCCGACGTACTAGAAGTACGAAGTACTATAGATTAATTCTTATACGATATATCCTAGCTAATAATATAGGAGTCTCGCTAATAGAATACGTAGTCAAGCCGCTTACTAATTAAAAGTTATCCTAGAAACTATATGACAGCCATCGAAAAGAACCCCCATTTAGTGGGTTGGATATGATCTGTGTACATAGTGTAACTTTTAGCTGTCCTTCCTCTTTACATAGGCGAAAATTAATATTAGGATACTTGCTACATAAGGAAATCCGGGTTATATTTTTCATTTTTACCTTACGATTTTTATTCGCGATACTTAAAGATATCCTTAGGGTTTTCAGGCACCCAAGATCCTTTTTGATTGTAAACTGAAAACATCCTTGCCCTCTTATTCTTTATCGGCTGTAAGGTATTCGGGTAGGACGATAGTGGATGGCACTAAGGGTCGTCCGAAGATTCCTAAGTAGCTAGAAATTTACGGCGAAAGCCTTCTTTTACTACTTAAAGATCATAGTGTCACGAATCACGTGTTAGCATGTGACGAGTGAAGACCAGGCGGCGTCCTGACAGGTTAAGCACTATCATGCTCGTATAGCGAATAGGGATCGGCTAGACTAGCTAAGCGATCCAAGGATTTCATTATAGTCACGTGACGGATCTTTGGATCTGGATGGATCTTTTCACGTATATGATTCAATTCAATTGATTTGAATCAATATTATCAGAGCCCCTATGACATGTGAAAGAAAGTAGGAGTGAAAATTTGCGACAGATAGAAGCAGTTTTGGATAGGCGTATATCCCCTCAGTTTACTCCCACCCTCTCCCCCGTGATTCGTTAACTCTCAAGCCCTTCCAGCCAAAATTTTCCAGCACAGGTAGAGCCTTCCATGACTCGAGATAAAATCGAAGTGAAGCCATCCACCTCCCCCATTTTCCCGAATCACTATAAGCGAGATCGGACCAGCGGAGGGGAATAGGCCCGGACGATGGGTTCCTCCAGTGCTTTTCTCTTCAACTCCAATTCAAGGCGCTCTATCACTCGTTCGTGGCGCTTTCTAACTGCGTTGGCTGTTTTCGACGGGAAGTACATTTCTTGAATAGGCTTCCAATATAAACCTGATTGTCGAGCCTGTATGAGTATTTGGTCGTCTTCTTGGGTCCAGGCGGGCATGGTGAAGAGAGGTTGGGTGTTAGACATTGTCTGTACTTCGAGGAGATATCGTAGTTTCAATCAAGATCGTTATGGATTTGGATGTAAGATTTTGGTAAGATTAGGGTCAAAGTTGGTTGGTTGTTATAGAGTGAGGTTCTCTCGCGCGGGGTAATATATAACTTTGAGTCGCTTACAGTACCAATCAGAGTACCACGATGTTTTGGTCGGTATATGTTAGTATCGGCCCCGAAGAATTTTGCGATTAAGACAGTAGATACACAGTTTCCAATTCTAATCGCTTACTATAAGATAATTGATAAGAGTACAATAAAAATAAAACTACCGGTGCACATGTTTTCATCAGAAGTGTTAAATTAATTATTTCGCAACTGATCAAGAGCAGGAACACCTCAACTCCTCCAATCTGGCTTTTATGCAAAGGTCTAAGATTCGATTTGATTATTCTAGATCACTTAAAAACTTAGTAAGTTATGAATTAATTGCTCAGAATGTTGAAGTAGGTACAGCCGACTGATATATTAGCTGGTGACCAGGGTCTCAACGCACCTTGCTTTCTATCATTTAGGTACCCAAAAGCCTGACATCTGAATTAATAAAAATTTATGATTGATTTCGTTCCCCGAGATGCTTAGAATAACTAAATTATTTGGGCTTACAATCAATTGATGCCTCAGGCCAGATACGCCACAGCATTGTCAGCCACACATTGATATCGTCACCTCTGAAGCTCCCCGCATGGACAACTCTCCCAAAATCAAAACACCATGGCACGAATATCTACAGCAGGCGGAGCTGGAGCTCCCGACCATACTTCCCTCAATCTCACACGGATTCTGGCTCGTCTAAACTCTATACTCATCACCTCAGACCAACAAACGGAGCATCGACTAAAGGTTTCCGAGATAGAGCGGGAGAAAGTTGGAACTGTAAGTGACCTCACATTCGTATTACTTTAATTCTTGAGATCAAATGCTAAATCACTACTCTCGCAGAACCTAAAATATGCAAGCTCATTGCTTACACAACTCGAAAAAGATGCGCAAAACATAAAGAACTTGACCAAGAAGCAAGAGGCGCAAACCGAGCTGGTCCGGAAACGAGAGGTGCTGCTACGGCTGGAAGAGCGATTGGAAGAGCTTAATGACGTTAGTCTCTTGTAACATAATACATGATACTGAACTGACATCCCCTACAGCTTGCACACCCAGAAGACGACGATACCTCCGAAGGCGAAGATCTCATTGGGGAAGATACCCCGTCTGAAGAAACAGACTCACACACATACACATCCCCTACGCCATCGCCTTCTACCAACCACCCACCTGTACCTTCTATATCCGCTCCTTTCGAAACGAGCAATCCCCCCCAATTTGAAGAACCTACCTCCACATTACGCTCCCGTACAAATGCCTCCCAAAGAGAAGAACTATTCAACCCCTCCCTCTCCACAGTCACCACGGGCATCTCTCCCCGCACATCCCACGCCCCCGTACCAACGACCACAAAAGAAAGCCTCCTAACTCACAACCGCACTGAGCAAGAAGCCCTCACCTCCTTACTCCTCTCCATGGCATCCGCGCTCAAAGAGTCTAGCAAAGCCTTCGCAGCATCTCTAGACGACGAGAAAGAAATCCTAGATCACGCAGGGAAGGGAATGGATAAGAATGAGGAAGCGTTGAATGCTGCTAGCAAGAAGATGGGGTTGTTACGTGGAATGACGGAGGGGAAGGGGTGGTGGGGGAGGATTATGTTGTATGCTTGGATTGCGGGGCTGATGGTTGCGGCTATTTTGATTGTTTTTGTGATGCCCAAGTTAAGGTTTTGATTAGGGCGTGGCTGGAAAATCCGGAACGATCGTTGTTAAGAATGGTGTAGTGTATATGGGCGGACGGAGTTGGAGTTTAGATCGCGTCCTTGGATAGCGGGCGTTTGGGGGATGTTCTTTGGTGGTTTATTTTTATTAGATACCATTGTCTTGTTCTATTGAACACTTATTCTTCATGAGAGGTTCCTGCATAGAATGATATGTATCTCAGAGTCTGTCATAGCTAGCTGTCTCCAGAAATGATATTCAACTAACGAATTTCCACTAGTTGTTCTCAGCAATTTAAAACACCCGTCAAAAGAACAGCTTCAAATTTGTGCATCCCCTACTTCGGTGGGTTTCAAATACAAAGCGGCGAAGAGACGACAGCGTTCCCACGCTCAGCAACTTAACTTGTAAGAAGCATCTCCTTGACTGCTTTTTAATGAGGGAAAGAAAGCAGCAAGGTAATCACCAAACAACTACTTGTACAATATTGCTCTGAGTCTGTATCAGCAAGATTCACCAGCGAAGTTACATTTACTGTCGAACCCTCGCTGAACCGCCGAAAACAAGAGCCAGTGAAAGATTTGAGGATATACTGAGGTGGATAATCAGTTGGAGTTCTCCAAAGTTCTCCACCTTCTTTTCTTTGTCCACCCTGCCCAACATGCGCTCACTGTCCTTCGTTTGTTTGGTTGGTAACAACATCCTTCTGTGGGTATTATTGAAGCTTGAATAAGAGACTAATAAGTCTCTTGTCTAGCGAAAAGGCAGCTAAGGCTAGGTGTAGAAACCGATACAGGAGGTTTTGATAAAGCGAAGGGAAGACCTTCGGGGTTAGATCGTTGCTATGGTCTGATGTACTTTCTGTGAATCTTACGGAATAGGAGTAGCTTGGTGTTGATTTACTCGAGTATAGGATAGATGTGGATACCCTTCAAAAGGATCCGAAGATCCCCCAACCAATCAGCGCCCCCCGCGTAGCCCCTCGCCCCACAAAATTCGCAAAACAATATTCACATGCCCAAACATAAGTTTTATCTAGGAAATCTCTTTCGTAATTTATTTCGCCCCTAAGACACGAATTCATCCTTAAAGATCGTTATTAATAATATACAACATCCTCTTAACACGAGATTACCTCAGAAGAAAAAATAGAACTCGAGTACTCAAGTTAAGCTTACGATAGTCTAACGTAGGCTGTGTTTACCTTGACGAAAGCCTAATATATCCACCATATCTTTAAATTCAGAAGTACTACAAAAGTATCCATAGAAAAACACTACGATCTAACACTTCACCTTCTTATACAACATATAAAAGTACCCGCGAAATTCTCTACAAATACACGTACGTGTAAAACTATCTAAGAACATGCTATTAAGTAACATATTCCCACAGTTGTATTTCAACCGTCAAGATATAGTATAACTAGCGTTTCTTGATTATACCGCCTGGATATACTCTCACCAAGGATCATACTTTTGAAAGCGAATATAGTCTCGTCAAGAGAGTTAATGAGAATCTTTTCGGATCTGATACTAACACAGTCTTTCTGCTTAGAGGTCATTAGATATTTCTCGACATTAGAGATCGTGAATAGCAGTTTTTCAGCCCCCAATGAACTAGATTAAAAAAGCTTGCCTCCTACCTTGTGGTGAACAACCTTACGATGGACCATCATACATGGATGAGTCAGACTCCGGCTTAAGCTCAATAGGGGCTATTAAGAAGAGATGTACGAGTACAGCAAGCAAGCTCCCGGAGAATCATGAAATTAACTCTTCCCGTCAAAATCCATTCTTTATAGAAACTATACTACTAAATGAATGAGTACATGAAATCGACAGCAGAACACAAAATAATACTACCGTCTTTCCCGACACTAATAAATCATCCGAACATACAAGATTCAGATCTACCTCCCAATCCTCCCAATTATTTCTCCCTCCCTTAACACCAAGATATAATTTTCTCACATCAAGCCACCTCGAAAAGAAATTCGGGATACTGTTCATCCTGTTATCTCGTAGTTATCTCCATTACCTAGTATCTGTGAGAGGCCAGACCTTGAATAGCTCAAAGGTGTGGTTTCGAATATTCAATTAAGAAGTGCGTGAAGACTACGTACATGCAAGCTCTTCCTCTATATATAGAGAGAGGAAGAGTCTCTGAAATATTCCAGGAAGCTGCCTAACGAATACATGATGTCAAAAGAATAGAACAGAAAAGTATGGAACAGCAGAGACTTGCTTGGCAGTAGGGGAATGGCCAGTGCTGAGCGGGGACTTTGGTCAGTGCTTAGCGAGGGCATGGCCCGAGCCTCCATCATGGGTTTCAACCCTCACAGTATCGCTCCCATACCACTTTACGCTTTTCTTTCTTCTTTGGATTTTACCTTGGACTATTCGTTAGAAACTGTAGATATTGTGGTTTCGATACTCAGGTAGTGGTACTGTGCTTGGGACTAAGGGGGTTTCTCGTAATGTGTTGAGATGGAAGGAGGGAGATTGTTAGGTAGGTTAGTTGTATTTTGTAGGTATGATTTGATTAGGCACTGGGATTTATTGTTTGTGTTCTTGATTTATTTTTGTTTTTGGAGTTAAGAGTAAATACCTGACCAAGAGTAATAATAACCCCTAACAATACCTGATCTCGTCACTTTTCCCAACCACTTATCCACTCCGCTCACTTGTAAGAATAGCTACTGTCGTTATACTTAGAATGTACTTTTGTTCTTTACTGCGAAGTTAGGAAAATTAGGATTCAAGAGTTGAAGATTGTGGCTAAGGGGGTGTTTGGCTACGCAAATCTCTCCATGTAAATTAGGTGTAAAAGTCTAAGATTTGCACAGGCTGGAGGACCCTAAGGAAGCATGCAAAAGTTTCCTGATTTACATGTAAATTAGACTATTCTAAAGAAATAAATATACTACTGTTTAGCTAGTGTAAAAGTTTTTTCTATTTTGTTATATATTCGTCGATTTCTGTAGGTTCTGTAGAAACAATTAATTTTTAGTACTACACTTCGATTTATTTAGTTCTCTTAACTAAGTACTTAATCGAGTAATTATACTTCTTCTATTTTGTCTTTCTCTTTTAACTCTTTAAATTCTTTGACTTTTTTATATATTTATATGAAACGTGGTTTATCAGCGAGTCGATCATATCAGCGAGTCGATCACTTTTCCTTGGCACTACCTCCTCAAACTTCAACACACGTTTTCTTCAACTATTTACCATGGAAATTCAAACTCAAGAAGCGCGAATTACTCTAGCTATCGAGGCTATTCGGTCGTCCAAAAAACTAAGCAAACGCTCTGCGGCAAAGATCTACAATGTACCATATACGACTCTTTCCGACAGAATGGCTGGCCGAACCTACCGCCCAGATTCTCAAGCCAATTGTCATAAGTTGACTGAGTTAGAAGAGGAAGTGATTATTCGGTATATACTGGATATGGATTCCAGAGGATTTGCGCCCCGGCTCGCTGGTGTAGAAGATATGGCTAATTTTATCCTTGAATCGCGGGGGGGAAGACGCGTCGGCAAGCTCTGGGCCCATCGATTCGTACAACGACAACCAGACCTTAAGACGCGTTTTAATCGCGTTTACGACTTCCAGAGGGCCTTATGCGAAGATCCTGACGTGCTAGGCGCATGGTTCCGGCTAGTAGAGAATATGAGGGCGAAATATGGGGTTACAGACTCCGACTTCTACAACTTCGACGAGACAGGCTTTATGATGGGTGTTATTTGTCCTAGAATGGTTGTTACTCGTGCAGACCGACGTGGTAGAGGCAAGGCAGTTCAGCCAGGCAATCGGGAATGGGCTACAGCAATTGCCTGTATTAATGGGGAGGGCTGGAGTATTCCTCCATTCTTGGTAGTTCAGGGCAAGAACCATCTCTCCAACTGGTATACCGACGGCGGCCTCCCACCTAACTGGGTTATGAAACCGACAAGCAATGGTTGGACAAATAATGAAACAGGCCTGGAATGGTTAAAGCACTTTGATAAACACACTACAGCTCGTGCAAAGGGTCTGTATCGAATACTAGTTTTGGATGGGCACGAGAGTCATGAATCGGCTGAGTTCCAAGACTACTGTACGAAACACAACATTATTACTCTTGGACTACCTCCTCATTCATCCCATCTAACCCAGCCACTTGATGTTGGGTGCTATAGTGTGTTAAAACGAGCGTATGGTCGGCAGATTGAGACGTTTATCAAGGCCCATATCAACCATATTACAAAGGTTGAGTTCTTTCTAGCCTTTACAGCAGCATACAAGGAAACAATGACAGTCCTAAACTGTCAGTCTGGATTCCGCGGAGCTGGCCTAGTACCATTTAACCCGCAAGCAGTGCTTTCAAAGCTTGACGTAAGGTTACGGACTCCAACTCCCCCTCGGACGTGTAGTGAGTGCCAACTCCCTCCCCTGGGTGTCCCAGACCCCTTCCAACCCAACTGAAGCCCTTTCACAATCAACTCTTGTACGAAATCGTATAGCCTGTCATCAAGGAAGCTCGCCAACTCCACTTTTTCAAACAGTTGCTGCGTTAGCAAAGGGTACAGAGCGAATGGCACATGAGATGACCCTTTTGTCTGCTGAGGTCCGTACCCTTCGCGCTGCAAATGAAGCCCTAAGTAAACGCCGTAGGGCTAAAAAGACTCGTGTCCGCCAAGGAGGGGCACTTATAGTAGAGGATGTACAGGATATGTTAGCTCAGGAGGATGTAGATGAGCAAGTACGACGCGACATGCGTGAGGCGGGGGTTGGTTATAAGGAGGGGCAACCTTCTAGGCGGCGCTGTAGAACTTGTGGAAAAGCTGGTCATAACGCGCGAACTTGTCAAGAAGTTATAGATATATCTAGTTCGTCAGATATAGAGAGCGATAATTAATTTAATATATTGTGGTTGATTTATTTAGGTGTAAAGTTCTGTGCCAAGAAAAAGTGATCGACTCGGTGATATGATCGACTCGCTGATAAACCACGTTATATATAATCTACCGCGAAAAAAGAAGACCTAGAATCCTATACTACTAGGTGGATTGTCCGAGGACTCCACCTTTAGGGGTTGTTTATTGAGGTAGTTCTAAGCGAGCTAGGTAGATCTAACTAGGTTTCAGTACTATAGTAGTACGTAGGACTAAAGGATTTACCCAGAGATTTATACAAATCAAAAAGAACTAAAGGGTTAAGGCTTTAGTTCTTTTTATAAGTTTTTTTAGTAGTACAAATCTAAAAAGATTTGTAATTAGATTTGTAACGTATTTATAATTATTTTAGTAAAAACTTATACAGCTATCCAAACAAGCGTATAAATTAAGAATTACATGCAAATCTTCATTAAAAACATATACATACAAATCTTTTTATATGGTGCAAATCTCTAAATTGCACGAGCTAAACACCCCCTAAGTTCTAACATCAACAATTAATACTATCACCTTCACTGCACGGGTTGAAACAGGTACGATGAACCCATTTTTACAAACAAGGAAGTACAAAAAGCTGATATATATTATACACCTACATGCTTATCGTAGCAGCCAGTAAGCTATAGTATCGCAGAACATAAAGCTCAAACGGCCATTCCTCGCCGGGCTACTTCCAAACATCCGTCACATCGCATTCCATATATTTCTAGGTGAAAGCGCTCTCATCAAACTCAACTTTCAACCTTCCATCCCATAAACAAAACTCCATCACCCTATCCACAATTCCCTAAGCTTCACAAAAAGAAAAGAATCAGGTGATACTCAAGAACAGTTCAAGATTGCCTTATACTCACCTGTCGAGTTTACACGTTTCTTAACATCGACTGCTGGTTTTCTCCACATGTTAGTTAGGTTAGTCGGCTATCATATATAGCGGAAGATCAAGGGCCTGTCCTCGAAGGAGGAATAGTGACGACTGTAACCGAGCCAGAGCCATTTGACGAATCTGCGTTGGATGAGGTCCGTTGTGTTACTCGTGTATCGTTTTCAGATACAAGAATCAAAATCCGACATAATATCTACCGACCAACAAAACACCCATTTCCTCAGAGAGAAAAAATCCGAATGTCCCCTACCCCCCGAATTCATCCTCACTGTCGAAATGTAACTTACCACCGATCCCCTCCAACTTTAGATGGACCTTCTAAAACCAAAGGCTACGGAGGTAGATCATACGCCATTACGAGCAAGCCATACTTTGAAAAACCATTGCCGCGTAACGACGGTAGTGCACACAACCAGAGACGACTCAATCTCCCCAAATATATTGCGTCCATGAACTGATATGGACCTTCTAGCTATACATCTCAACATACTACGCCCTAACCTTCTATTTATACCCAAGGGTTCGAACTACTAACCGCGTCTTTAGTTACTTGGAGTCCGATTTAATTCAGGTATACGCGTGTGTCCAGGAGTTAATTGAATGGTTCTTATAAAACTCTGGCTATAGTATTTTGTTTAAAGCTTTAGGTAGGACTTAGCCACGTTCACTACCTATTAACAACAAAAGGAATACTATAAATATCCAACGCACCTCACCCTAAACCCATCGCAACACCGTCTACAGTTTTTTCTATTCCTAACTACCTAACTGTAAAAAAGTATGAGGTGTTATACGGTAGTTGTATTTTGGTACCTAGAGTAGAGGAGATATAGGTGGGTGGGAGTCTTGTACTATAATATACTATGGATAAGCTCATACTTCGTATATGTATTGTTTATATATTTATATCTATAAAAACCATTCAATCGATTTTGTCTCTGGGAACTTATATATGGAATAGGATCGTTGATGTTTTGCTTCCTGGTAATATGTGGATTGATCGGATTTCTTGTGGAAAGAGATAAGTATTGTGAATTGGGATAGCGTTGAGATAGGTCTTGTAGAATGGGAAATGGAGTTTGCTGGAAAGAGACCTACAAAGGGTGTGTAGCATGACGTTTAGATCGCAGAAGGAGATCTAGAATGAGGGGACAAAAGGCAGTACCCAATTTCATAGATGAAATAAAATCTCATTACAAGCATGCCACTCGAGCACACATCTAGCAACGACTACGCGATCCCTAATTTCCCCAACCTCCCAGTCAATGTATAAATGTAAATTCAATTTTCCCCATTAAAAAACGCCCAAAGTGATGCAACCTCCAAACTCCAGTCAAACGTCCAGATCGAGTGCGCGCATTTGCATTTATTTCTCGCCGCTAGAGTCTCCACCAACCATCTTTCGCAGCTCGTACTCCTTTGTGAACTCACGACTGAGGATTGCGAGATCGGTGACGAGGGATTTGCAGCAGTTGAGGAGTGCTTCTTTGGGCGTTACTTCGCCATCGGTTTGGATTCGTAGCTCGAACTTTGCGAAGAGAGGGTGGGGGACTGGATGGGTTGTTAGTTATTGCGCAGATGGGCGGCGCGAGAAGAGCGCACCTTTGTAGCCGGAGAAGATGATGTGGGGATCCTTCAAAAGGTGGGCTCGGAGCATGTTGGCTAGTGTGTGATCCTCCTTGTTGAAGGTAAAGACGGAGGAGTTGGGAGTTCCTGCGCGCGATGGTTATTATGGTTCCTCGGCTTCGAGGGCGCATGGAAGGCAAGGACGAACGGGTATCTGCTGTCTCGAAACACTTCTTCTCGTCATCTCCTAGGAGGAAGAGTTCGAATCTTTGTTCCTCGTCAGTGATGATCATGTTGGCGGTTGTAGTTCAAGATGTTTCTTTGTTGCGCGGTACGGAGAGGAGGGTTGGTGTTGTGGAAAGCTGCGAGCTCTGTACGGGGTTGAGACATTGAGCTGGCGAGGTATCGCGAGTTTTGGTGCATCGCTAGAGCATATCGAGAAGTGAAGGTGAATGTGAATGTGAAGCAGGAAAGCAGGCTTCAGCTGTGGTAGGAGCAACCGGCAGGCGACATGAGTATATCACATACCTATCTGGAGCGTTCATGATTTCAACTCTACTCTTACAACAACTAGAGATCCCAAAGATGTTAGCATTGTGTTTGCATATTGTGTAGCATGACCTGCTTACCTCGAACTATTCTCGAGTTTTGAATCAACTAAAAATTACGCAGCGCAGCACAAGGGAATTATAGAAAAAAAAGTTGCAACAATGCTGTTGCGCTTCGGAAGCGAATGAGGTTCATCCAGAAATCAGCACAGCCAGAGCTCAATGCGGATGCGGCTCAAGTCCGGGTCTCTGATGCGCTAGTGCTGTTTATGGTTAGTGCATGCCAAGCTAAATGGCGGGGAAGACAAGGCAAGGATCCTACGATGAACTCCAGGTCCCCCGCCCCTCCATCTCAGGTCCGAGGAAAAGCATCAATCTTGCGAGAAGCAATATTTCCTAATTTGGTTCGCTACTCCCATCTCATTGGTTTCTTACATCTGCAGTGCTATGGAATTACTTGGCGTGAAAGCATTGTGCAATCGACTTGCATTTCACCACCATTTATGCCACAATCTCAGGTCACTCGCTAGCCAAGCGGCTTCGATTCATTGAGGCTTCCACTGCTAGTGCACGCTTGGTCACGGATGGAAAGGAGTTTCCATATTTCGTCATTCTAGGTACAGAAGAAGCTGTTGTACCTACCAAATCGAGCCTCCTCGTATTGTTACTTTCCCTTTCCCTTTTTCCAACAACACATTACATCATAACATCAGTTTCTACGCCATCTTCTGTCATCATGGCTACACCTCATATCAAATCTCTAGAGAGTGATTATCCATGGATAACACCTTCCATACCTCTTATTACTTCGGCCCCTATGAGACTGATATCAACTGCTCCTCTTGCTATTGCAGTGTCTCGAGCTGTCGGTCTTGGTTTTCTCGGATCTGGAACCGACGTTTCCACGCTACCCGACCTCTTATCTGAGTGCACAGCATCATTTTCATCATCTCCGATACCCAATACCCCTCCAGAAATCCTTCCCATAGGTGTTGGCTTTATCTGCTGGGGCGCCAGTCTCTCTGATGCAATCAAGGCAATTGCAGAATCAAGGCTGAAACCTGCCGCTGTTTGGCTTTTTGCTCCGGAAAGGATTGAGAATCTTGTAAGTGGGCTTCATGAAACTATTAACAGAATTTGGTTCCCATAAAGAGCATTATCTCAGTTTCACACCAGAACTATTCCCAACTTCTTCTAGCGAGGCTCAATTAACTTTACTCAGGTGACATGGACAACCTCAATCCGTGAAGCAACCAACAACCTCACAAAAATATGGATCCAAATCGGTACTGTAAATGATACCAACTACCTTGCTCAACACTGTAAACCAGACGTCTTCGTAATCCAAGGATCTGACGCCGGTGGTCACGGACTGAACCAATCATCAAGCATTATCACCCTCTTACCGGAATGTTCAGACGCTCTCTCTCAATCGGGATTTGCCCATATTCCTCTCATAGCAGCAGGTGGAATTATGGATGCACGTGGTGCAGCAGCAGCCATCATGCTCGGTGCCAGCGGAATCTGTATGGGAACCCGTTTTCTAGCTTCCTTTGAAGCCGAACTTTCAAAAGGGTACCAGGACGCAGTATTGTCTGCTTCTGATGGAGGAGTGACAACCAATAGAACTAGTGTTTACGATCGTATCAGAGGAACTCCTGGGTGGCCATCAAGCTATGGTGGTAGAGGTGTTTTAAACGATACTTTTTGGGACAGTGAAAAAGGATTGGATGACGAACAGAATAAGAGGCTTTATGCGGAAGCGAGCCAGAAGGGTGACCTGGGATGGGGGATTAAGGGAATAGGAGGGAGGATGTGCACTTATGCTGGGACTGGAGTTGGACTTGTGAGGGAGGTCAAGGGCGCGGAAGAGATTGTCAAGGAGGTTAGAGAGGGGATGAGGAAATTGTTGAAGATTGAATAATCGGCTATCTGCTCAAGGAATCTACTTTGTAAGAACAACCCCTACATTCTCAACCTCAACATCCCCAACACCCCAACCCACTCACTCAGACCTCACATCAGTCCACACGCCCCCAGTCCTAAACCTCACCCAATAATACAAATGAGTTTCCTTGCCGCCTCCCCAGCAAGTCACACAGATATCCAGCGTACCCCCCGCTTCCATTGTCGCTCCTCGCGTCACGACTCCCTTGGTGCATCTCACCGAGCACGAAAACGGCCAGTCGCCTTTCTCATATTCTTGTCGTGTGCGCGTCGCCAGGACTGGATCGATTACTATTTTGTCCGGGTTGCTGTGTGGCGTCCTCCTGGCCCAGAGAATTTGGATGACCGGTATACGGTTGGGTGGGATGCGTGTGTAGGATTGGAGGTTGGGGATTTCTGTCGCGGGGAGCTGAGTCGTGGTTAGGCTTGTTAGGGTGAAGGGAGTGGGTTCTTGTTGTTCTTGGAGTTGTGGGGGGGAGTTCATTTTGTGGGGGGGGCTGGGGGTTTTGACTCTTGAGGGATGATGCCGGTGAGGATGTTGGGTTTGTTTTGTCCGGCTGGGGAGGAGGGGATGCTCGTTAAGAGTCTTGATGTCAATTCTGGAATGTTGAGGATTGGGAAGAGAGTCTGTTTTATATACCTGTTTATACTCGTAGGGATTGTCTCTCGAATGGAAATTTGGATGTGTGTATCACAAGTTCCTTTCAAGCTATTTTGGCCCCAGCCAAATGAGCAAGGAGGTCTCACATCGCAATCGAGAGACAAAACACAAGTGAGTGTGCGATTGCCAGTTTGTCGAGGTCTTTTGATTACGATTTGCGATTTGCGATTTGTGATTTGCTGTTGGATCGCAAATATGTTGGAAAGAAATAAGTGACTTCGTAATTGCTAGTTTAGAGGCCCTTTGATTATGATTTGTGACTTGTAGGTTTCTACGTGCTTGGACTCGTGGGCGGCTTAATACTTGTCGGCTACTAATAATTTAATAAACAGAGCTTTAGCGCTATAGCAGGGAGGGGTGTTTTTCTTCCGCGCATTCTATAGCTCGTTATATCCCCTGGACAAGTAAAGCATTTGCCTTATATTATTAAGTCTACAGGTGTTTAATTTTCTAGCTTCTCTTAGACATATCAAAGAGCTAGAGCTTATGAAAACTTGGTGGAATATAGCTTTGAGATAGAGCTCGCTTAATTACCTATAGCCTCTGTAACTACTTCCCAAGAAAAACCACGTATAAAAACATCAATTATAACCCTAAAAGTATAGAAATACTACCTGATTAGTAGTTTAATCATATTAATAAACGATAATTCGTTATAATACAAAAATACGCTTTTCTTAGTCGCCAACGCCAAGACCACCAAAAAAAAATCTGCTTAATTGCCTCAAATCCATCCTCTCTCAACCACGACCCCTGTTCCTCCCACCGGGTTCAACAGGATTCCCGGAGAATTAGCTACTAGAGCATAGCGAACTAAATCTAGAGAAGCTAGAAAAAAAGAACAAAAAAGGTGACTTATTGCGTTCGCCGGGAATCGAACCTAACAATTATTAGCAAGGAAGTTACAAGGGGACATAAAACAAGAGGAACTAACCCGGGGCCAATGCAGATGAAATCCAAGAGTTGAAGCTCCTGAAATTGGCAAGCATCGATTTTACCACTAAACCACAAACACTGCTTCTTGTTAATGGACAGCAGAGGCTTGTTGTACCATTTGAATTGTGGAAAAGTCTTTTTGTTTCGGCGAGGTCTGCCCGATGCCAAGTGTCTTGGTGGGGCATAAAAAGGTTTGTCTTTCTTTCAGGTGGAAAGACTACCACTTACTAAATACAATACTCTTTAAAATAGTTAGAGATTTATTTCTCTACTAGTTTAGTTGAAAGATATCATACAACTTAGATTCAAATAGATCTTCTCCGTCAAACTTACCGATAATTACTTATATTAACGCTAAAGTATTCTTTACGTATACTATTACTATCTAAATGTTACGGAGTTGGAGGAATTGGGGGCAGATCACGTGTAGCAGCACGGCACGTGCGTGCTGCTGGCAGCCTGTATATAAGCTTCTGTTCCTCTGAAACTCTCTTCCTTCCTCACTTAGTTGTTCGCTCTATATAGCAGTTTCCGTTTGACTCCGTATTCATCACAGCAAGCAGTGGTTCACTCCACACGGTCACACTAAAGATATAGGTCTTTACTATCTAACCGGTAATACTATTATATATTCTATAGACCTAAGGTTTCTTTTCCCGCTATTATATATAAATACTAGTTGTCCCCTCAGCTGCGGCCAGAATCACACTGAACCGTGCGCATTTAAGCGATCCAATTAGACCCTCTGATTTCATGAGTTTTGGGTGCAAAATGTACTATATCTAATGAAAACCACGGCAGAAGTGCCTTTCTTTATACAACCAGACATCTTATTAGGTATATGCAAGCGTTTTTTAATGCTCCAAAGCCGCTCCGCGGTTATTATTAGGAGGTGCGCTTAATATAACCCTTTTATATAGCGAACTCCGGGCAGGTAAACTTAGTACTATTGTATTAGAATTATCGTAGGCTAAAAGCGTGTTTTAGGCTTTTTAAAGCACCAGTGGGTGACAGAATTCGTGGGACAGCACAACTTCTAAATTACGTAATCAAGAACACTAAAAATTACTACTATTCAAACTTTTATTACCACTTCGCAGTCTTTATAGGCTTCCCACTCGTTTTAACTAGTAATTTACATCGCCGAGGCATATCCGCTATACGGGCACGAACTTCCTCCATTGTAATCTTACTCCATTCGTCCTGAACCACCTCCTTAAGCTCCGCAATTGTATTCCATACTCTCCGACGTATTCTTTGTGTGAGAGGCCAGACCTCGAATAACTCAAAGGTGTGGGTTCAATATTCAATTAAGAACTACGTGGTCTGTAAATACATGTTCCTCCTCTACTCTTATACTAAATGTAGCATTTCCATTGCATTCAACACTGTTCCATAGTATTACCAATCTTCTGCGTCATAGCATTCTATCTTATTCCATGGCGTTCCAGAGGCGGGGTCGCTTAGCTTAGCGAGGGCTCTAGGCCCGAGCCCCACTATGGGTTCTAACCCTCACACTTTGCTTAAGGATATTCCAAAGAGCCTCTATAGGGTTGAGATCTGGGGACTGGGGAGGGTGGACAAGGTTCGTGATCCAATTAGCCCTTTTGAGTACTGATGCAAGGCTATCTGGGTTCTGTATACCATGAGACTTGTCCCCATCTTCCTGAAGAAGCCAACTACTGTTTATACATTCCTCTGTAATCCTTAGGTGTTGAATTGCGTCAATATAAAAAGGAAGAAGGCGTTCTACGTAATAGAGGCCGGTCATGGAGTTCCCTTTTGGCTTAACCTCTTTATCGTGTGCCTCGCATTCAGCCTCCCACTTTAGTATTAACTCTGCATATTCCTCGTCTGTACAGTACTTGGTTTTGCGAGGCTTCCTAGGCTTCCTAGCTTTAATAACTTCATCCTCTTCGTCGTGGTAGAACTGGAGTTTCTCGCATTTGGCATGCCAATTACACCACCCTGCGATGTGTAGCCGTACGCCCCGTTTCTCCCCCCTTTCCTGTATATATTCGGGCTTATAACGCTTCCCTTGCTCACGGAGGTAGAAGTCTTGAACGTTAGAGGTAGGATCAATATGTGCCTCGTCTGTCCAGAGAACCCTACGCCAATGGTTCTCAACTGTCTTGTACTGCCACTTCCTCCCGTATTCTGTCCGTTTCTGCCGGTTTGTATTCGAGGTTTTCTTCTTTACGTACGCAGCCTTATAGCGACGGGCCTTGTTTGTATGCCTGAGCAAAGCGCGCTGTAGAGTGCGGGCGGAACCCTTGATCTTGTGGTATTTCATTTGAGCTTCGTAGTGCTGGTTTTGGACGGGGTTTTTGGCTGGGTTGACAAGGAGTAAACAACTCTCTTTTGAGATAAGACGACGCCTCCCAAGTATATTTGACCTCTTCCGCGTCCGCCGGTATGCTGCAGACCCTATTTGAGTACGCTCTTTGAGCCATCGTAATGCCGTAGACCTGGTTACTCCCAAATCTGCCCCAATAGCCTTATGTGTTTCTGCGCCGTGCCGGGCGTCCCAGGCCTCGTAAAACCGGGTCTTTTTGGTAGTAGTAGCTTCGCGGTGGTGTATTTGACGATCTGGCGTGTCCTCTCTACTATGAGTAGGCGTGTTAGTGTCCATTTGGACGGTTGAAAGAGTATGTTTTATTAAGGTATGATATTTAAGCATTTTTGGTGTTCTTGATTACGTAATTTAGAAGTTGTGCTGTCCCACGAATTCTGTCACCCACTGGTGAAGTATAGTGTATATAGACAGTGAGCTCCTAGATCTTTTGTATCTAGTTGCGTATCTTTTAGACTTTATAATAATAGAATAACATAAAATTAAAGATACTAGAAAAGTTGGTGTTCCTCGCCCTCGCACGGGCCACCTAGTGTGATTCTGGCCGCAGTTGAGGGGATATAAGCTTTCTATTAAGTTAAACGGATTTATTAAATTCTATTTATGAGATAAGAAAATAAATAGTAGATTTAGACCTTAATTAGAAAACTGGTTTCAAAATATTATAAGAGAGAAAAATAGTAGGTCACTATAATTCAAGCCAGAAACAACCGATTTCCATCCCAGATATCAAGTTCCCATCGGGTGACCAATTTGCTCATTCAAGCTCTAGTAGCATGTGAATAGCACTCTGTGGTTGGATGCTCGAAAGACATAGGTGAGATACGTGCGTTCAATCAACGTCGAGTTGTTGCATTTCCGTGACAAGCTGATCTCTCTTCTGTTGCAAAATCGGACTTATATAACCATATGGAAACATTTTCATCCTCAATCTCACGTCTTCCGTGACTTGTGGAGGTAGATAGTCAGCATGGAACCAGTCCTCTCTCCAGTCCCTAGTAATAGCTGCATACACTTTCGGTTCGACCATCCATTGACTCGTCTCATCCAGATACCAGAAACACAAAGGCCGATCGTTATACTGCACAAGGCCTGAGAACAAGATATACTCTAACTCTTCGTTAACCGGATGTGCAGTTAGCGGCTTCCCGTAAGAAGAACCCTTCGCAGCGTGTGTGGCGTAGACTTCGAGCAAGAACTGGATGTTTGTGATGGGAAGATCTACTGCTTCTGAGAGCGCTTCTTCTATCATGTCTTTCTCCGGATCTACAGCCAGGTTTTTGATCATCCAACCGAAAACAACAGTCTCCAGATGTTTGAGACTACTAGCTGCTGAAACGTTGTATTGTAGCCACGCGCCCTACATGTAGTAGGCGATTGCGGTAGAGAAATTCTGCTCTTTCCATGCATTGCTACCCAAGCATGATAACGTGGCATTCAGATAGAATGGCGATGAGCCTTCCTCTCGTAAGAGTTTTACTGCTGTTTCCAGGTGATCTTTGGACTTTTGCTTTCTGTCGGGATCTTCTTCGCCACCATCCAGAATGAGACTCAATTGGTATTCTCGTTGACCAGCACCAACCTCAATCGTGTTGCTTGTTACAGGAGCAGAGTCTTTTGTTTCCACTTCTTTCAATTTTAGTATATGTTGGTGGCAGTCAAGTGCTGAAAGATAGTCGTTGCTGCCAACAGCAAAGCTGAATATGCCTTTCAAACAATTAACCTCCAGATCAACATCGCCAGCTTCTTTGGCTTTGTCCATCTCCATCATCAACCGTTTTTGTGGATTAGTCGAGTCGCCAGCTGCTGCACTCAGAATCTTCGAGGAGCCAGAGAAAATATTGTCCACACTAGAGGCAGCCTTAATCACCGGAAGAAATGCTGACCCATCTGAAATCTGACCAGTCAGCCACTGTAACAAGCCATTTGAAACGATGGATGGGAGATTTTCCATGTTCATCGTAGAAATCAATGACTGGGCCATATCCATAGGCAGCCCTCCTGTATGCTGTTGTAACTCCACGTCCTGTATATAATTCCCCAGAAGGAACATCTTGCCTTTTGTATGAAAATCCACTGAAAACTCCAATGAGCCCTCGATGGGCTTCTGTACAACTTGCTTCTGGAATGCCAGATACCTCTCTTCAACTGGGAGTTGACTGATTTTGAGGTCCTGCCAGCCTATCACTTGATAAACTGTTTCGGAAGTAGGGCTGATGTAGTCGTACTTAACGCCTATGCTCCAAAGTACTTTTGCTCTTAGCACGTTCTCATGAGAATTTGCTACCATCCCCTCCTTGCTCGCCAAATCCATAGTTTGACGGCTCAATTGTAATATACTCCAGCCACGAAGATAGAATATGAAAAATGCTTGCATGAATAGCTCTTCTTTGATTTCATGCGAGGCATCTTTGACCTCCATCCTGAGAGACGAAGATTGGGTATCCAGCTTCTGAAAGAGTTCCTCAAACTTCAAAAGAACGAAGGACAGAAGCTCATGATAGTCTGACTCTGCAGTGGTTATCATGTGCTCTATATCCATGAGCAGGTACATCACAAGGCTCAAAACACCCTCACCAAAAGTTGGTTGCTGCAATGCTAACCTCAAAGCATTATGTACGTTGGTTCTCCTTTCTCCGAACACCTGATCTGGACCATTTTCAGGTTCAAAATCGCGCAGCACATTCTCCCAATATTTCCAGAAAAGCTGTTTAGCAGTATTTGGAAGTATGAAGATCGACTCAGGATATATTTTCAATGCTTGGAATCGTATAAGATATGGCAGACAAACGTGTATCTCCCGCATGTTTGCACCTAAATTGAGTGGTGATACCAGATCAACGGCTTCCAACTTTTCCATGAGATATCGATATTCTTCTTGCAATTGATCGTCATTGAGGTCAAACTCTGCGTATCTTGCAGAATCTCCTTCTCCAAATCTCTCACTGCAAGACCAGCGAAGCCAAGCACTATGAACCTCAGCCAGAATTGCTTGTCTGGCACTTGAAGGCAGAGCGTGCTGAAAGGATGCAAGGCACAATAGCATAGCGTATGCCAGAGGTCTTTCCTCTTGAATTTCCTTTGTGATTGAGAGAAACTGTTTGAACAACTGTGGTTGACGGGTCATTTCAGAGGGCTCGAATCTGGAACAAAGAGAATCCGTACAGCCAAGTAGCAGGTCGAGTTTGAGACTATCATATAGACTTTTCATTGAACAGTCTTTCAAGGAAAGAAGCGGTATGAAAGTTTCGATGAAAAGGCAATTGCTGTCGTGTTCTTCCAAAATCCGTCTCAAGCTCTGTACCGACGCTTGGTTTTCTTCAAATGTAGCTCCACAGTCAGAAATACACTGACGGCTCATTTCCATAGCAAAATCGATTGCCAGAGGTTCAAGAATAATATGCTTCAGTGGCGCGTTGCCCAAGGGTTCTGGTAGTCGTCGGGATATCAGCAGGAGTCGACTTGAGGCATGGCCTTTTAGAGCACTGAAGTCTTCACACAAGCCACAAATAAGGTTGAGAGAACGAAGTGTAGAGCCCCCACTTTCTGAAACAGAATCCGAGAGGAAGGATGGTATGCTTTCGACTACTACAAGAACTCGAGCTTGATGCAGTGCTTCCCTGGATTGATCGAAAGATTCGCTCTTGATACCGGCTTTCATTGAGAGCCACTCATATAGTGCTTTTTCGTCTGAATAATCTTCCAAATCTCGAAAGTGGATCTCGACATAGCCTCTGAAGAATTTGGAATGGACCCACCAATCTCCCAAATATCTGCTGAGTGCCGTTTTACCAATGCCAGCAGAACCTGTCATAATTACAGCTCCCACGTCTGTAAAATCGAGCTCCAGGGATAGCATTTTCATGTCGCGGCCGATCAAAACACTGGGAAGTGGTACTTCAAGTGCAGTTGAAACCGTCCCAACCACTGATTCACTCATTGAGACGGTGGGCGTAATCTAGCGAATCAGAGCGCCGTGTCTTTGATATAGTACAGGAATAACACTGTCATCTAAATCGACACCAACAGCAAAGCGCGATCTTCTGTGGCGGTTGTCTTTGAGCTTTTGACGGCCTTGAGCAACACACATTTGTAGGTCTTTGCCATGTAGGAAGAGGTTCTCGTAGAGGTTTAGCATGAACAGTGTCGCTGCCTCTGTCGTTAACGCAAAAGACATAGCGACAACGTTGGGAACACCAGCCTCGAGCAAGGTCATTGCAAAATTGCTCAGCTTATGTGACGTAACAGTCCCTGTGTTGCAAGCATTTAATATAACAATCTCCACTCCGGATTTCAAGAGCTCTTTTCCGATCTCTTGTGCTTTGATATGAACACCCTTTTCATCTTGTTTGTTAGGAGATGAGAAAAAGAGACCAGCACTGTGAGCGTTAGTACAAATTTGAAATGGCGATGTGGGAAGAGACATACTTGCGCTTGTAGACTTTCCCATGTGTATCAAAGTGTACCATGGAGAAGAAACCCTTCGGATCCTGACGCAGGACCACTTTGACTTGATCCCAAGTCCCGGGCCTTGCAAAATAAATTTTGATATGAGAGCGCAGTTTCTCGTGGCTGTTGATGAATTCCCAGATTGGTTTCGAAAGCACTCGATAAGGCAGATCTGTTGTCGATACTCGTGAAGAAAAAAAAAATATGTTGCAAGAGGATTTAATGGTGTTTTCGACTGGTAGTTCGTTCAGTTGTTTTTTGCCACCATTTTGACGTGAGATGTAAATCGGAGGCATATTTTCCATCCACGTTTTATTGTCTTCCAAGCACTCCCAATGCAGAGATTGAACACTATTGGCTTCGCTGTCATCTCGAATGCACAGTCGGATGCTCTCAACTTCAGTCAAAGAAACCTCACCAATAGTCTGGCCGACAGCCCATGTAAGCAAGGGATCTACTGAGGCAAAGAGCTCTGCTTGATAACGAAGCAGACTTTGTTCCACCGTCGTGGCACGGCGCTTCGCGTAAGGATTTTTGAACGCAAAATCTTCCAGATACCATCGAAGCTCTTCTTTCTCGGTATCCCCAAAAGGATTGTGAATGCTGCCAGTGACAAGCACATGGCTATTCGTATCCTGGAATTCAATGTCCCACTGACGTCGAATTTCGTCGTAATGATAGGCTACTAACACAATGAAGAGGTCCATGCTGCGAATAAAAGAACAATTGTGAAGTTGTATCAATATCGTGGAGAAGGAACTAAGTTGCTCAAAAAAACGAAGGTACCAATGAATATTGATAAGGAAGGACTCGAGTAACCACAGGGACTTTGTGGCTTGAAAAAAGCAAGCGTGACATGCGAGTCAGCCCCTCTCACCTAAAAACTCCAGTCTAACCGGCTCTGTGCGTTTTCGTTATTTGTTTTTCTATTTCTAGTATTAAGTGGCTTGACAGGGAACTTTTCAGCTTTATAATTCACAGCGTGAAACCAACCTAGGACTACATGCCAATGAAAGAGTGCCACAGAGTACCAATATTTACATAAAACCCTTGATCCTTTCTAATCAATTAAGGGGGCTGTACGCAGTCGCCCATTCTCCCTATATATAAGGCCACATAGCCGCCACTGCCACTTCCGTAATCAATCAATCAATCTTGTGTCATTTCCTTCACAACAGTATGGCAGCCTCACAGCAAGGAAACTGGATTCTTCTTCCGCAGCCTCTTTCAGAGTCCTACGCCATCGACCTTCTTGGGCGTGTTGTTGCGAGTAGCAACAACCCAGAGCACAACTTCGTTCCTCTCTTGACTACCACTACCATGCCTACTCTTGAGAAAATTCAAGTACATGACGAAAGCGCCGTTGTTTATCTTAACGGAAACTACAAAGCTGATATAAAAGCCCGAATGACCAGTTTGTTGCATGTCGGAAGCACAAATGCTACATCCTCTTCGCGGATCGTCTCCAGCACCAGCATCATTACACGACTCTTGAGCCAACACACCACTCACTTTAATGAGTTGAAGAAGCTTTATAGTCCTGAGATCACACAGCTGATCAACGACAAACGTCATATCAAAAGTGATGATTCCCGAACGGTGTATTTGGTGGTTGGGACGAAAACTTGCTTGGATGCTCAAATTGGGAGCTCTGACATGGACGATGCTACGAGAGAAGGAGGTATCCAGGTTCCAGTTGAAGCAAGTCTGAATGCTAGCGGTGTTCCTCTACCTTCCTTGCCGGCACTTGATGTTGGGGTTGATGCAACACGTCAGCGTACTACCAATGCTCTGCAGACGAGGACGTCGAAAGGCGAGAGGTTGTTCGCACTTCAGTGCCGACAGATCAAGACCCACAAAAGTTGGAGATATTGGTCGAAGCCGGCTGAGCTACAGGTTCTCGGAATGAAGGATGGAGTCTTCAAAACCTCAAAGCCCAGCGATTCGGATGATTCTGGTGACTCTGGATCGGATGATACAGATGATGATGTCGATTCAACCATCAAAGATCCCTCAATCTCGTTAGATGATGAAGAGTTGGAATTAGAGATGGAGCGAGCAGGAAAGCCTAAGGGAACACTATTCGAAATTGTTTGAATGTCATCAAAGAGTTTATATTCTCTTCTCTTGCCAAAAAGAAAGGGTATTATAGGTACTATCATTAGCTAGCTTGAGGACTTCCTTCTCAGTAGATAATTTAACAGTCGCAACGGCGGGGCCGAATATCGCTTCTCTTATGATCTATAATTCGTGTTGGCTAATGTTTGTATACCCTCAAAAAGAGGCGAAACACCTTCATGTCAGGCTTCGCATCTGTAGAGATTGTTGGGTCGATGAAGTATCTACCCGTCATGTGACGACCCGACTCGCCATATATAGATTAGGTAAGAGAGGTGGGCTTTACTCTGTACACGGCTGAGTTATAAAAATATTATTCTAAAGACCTCATACAACTAAATCAATTACACGAATAGTCTAGAATAGTTGATACTTTTCACTCCTTATTAATTAACCTAGGTAAAATAGGACAATTAATCAAGTTGTACTAGACTTCTGGCATAACGACTTCTGATAACGTGTACAGAGTAATGCCCGCCTCTCTTACTTAAACTCGTAGTTTCTAGCTAGATTTCTCTTGCCTTTCTCTCTAGCTTTGAATCCTCATTTATAAACTAGGTGTTACGGAACATGCCAGGAGCGTACCAGGCTGAACCCCTTGGCTCAGTTGACGTTCCTTCACATGCTATGTGGCCCGTGCTTTGCCTAAGCGACGTTTCGTAATTGGTTAGAAGAGCCTTCTAGAACCTCCTAACTCATTAGGGTACGGTATATATTAGTTAGCTACTACTACTCCTTTAATGTGACGACACGCACAGCTGATGGACCGCGCAAGAGCACGACTACGTCAGGTATCACGAGTGGTGAGATTGACACTGTGGAACTGTCTATTCGAGGATTCTAAGCTAAGGAGAGAAGAGAAGAGAGCAGAGCTCGGGAGCCAGAGGTTCTTATATACAGGAGGTTGTGCCAAGCTATGGCTAACTGAGCCGGGCTCAGGAAGCACGGTATCCGCTGGGTTCCAGCCAGGGGCTGGTCTGAGGTGTAGTGGCGGTTAGAACCGTCACATTTAAATAGTATCTTACTTTATATTCTAAATATTATACTTAACTTTATCCCTAATATTTAGTAGTAATACTTTAGACCTAAGTTTATTTTTAATTTATACTTAAATCTAGTTTTTATTAGCTCTAAAATATGTGACGGAGCTGGATTTCATTTGACAGGATTTCATTCGCTTGGCCAAGCACGTGACGAGACTTGGCATTGGAACAACTTAAATAACTTCGCTCCTTTTAGATTCTCTTCTCTCTTTAGTTTGATTTCTTCGTACCTACGGTTTTAGTTCTAGCAATTGATTCAAAAGCTGTATACACTTTATCCTTTGTTGGCATCCGTGACACTACCTAGGATTTAACTAAATCCCTTAAACTTACTTAAATATATATAAAAGTCTACATTAATAAGAAGTATAAACTTTTATTCTTTTAACTAAGAGATAAGATATTTTTTAAACTCTATAAGGGATATTACTTATGATTAACTAAGACCCTTAGACAAAAGTTATTTTATTAGCGTATTAGTCTACTTAAAGTTCTTAAGTAAATTAGACGATTAGCGTATTAACTTAAGTTACTTACTAAATAGCGAATTTATAACGTTATCTCCGTTACTTAACTTAAGCTAGCCCCTCGAGATATAGATCTATTTAATTATTAACTACCTTTATCTAAACCTATTATTATTAAAGGAGATATTTAATATAAGATTAAGAAGATTATATATAAAGAGATTACTAAGACTAGTCGTATATAGTATCTCGTTTAATAAAAAGGATATAGTCCTAAGGAGGATTAATAGACTAATCTTAATAAGTTAGATAATACTTTAGAGTTAGTAGCTAACTTTAAGGCGTAAGCAGCCCTAGAACGTACTACTATAAGAACTTCTTATTATAGAAAGTATTGTTATTATTAGATTATTATTATAGGATATAGTCCATGCTCAATTCACTACGTTAAAACTATCATTCCCACATGTCTCAACATGTGTTTTTCAAGGGATATTTGGAACGACAACCAATTCACTCTCCTATCGCTGTGAAGTAGCCCTGAACAGCTTAGCGAGCCCAAGCCACATTGCAGAAGTAACAAAGATTCACCCGCCTATCGCAATCAAGCGCCTTTGAACAAGTTGGCGCCTCTAGCAATCTTCCTGGAGCTACATATAATAGCCTAGGATCTATCCTAGAGCAACTACACCATCTTTTCTAACAACTTTTCCTAACCGCCAAACTTCTCATCCGCATCAGAATACCTTCTCTACGACATAGATCCTATTAAAAGGACGTCTTCCAAGTAAGTACTGCGAGCTTGCTCCTGGAGACATCCAATTTCTAGCAAGGTTACTTAACACAGATCGTAAGCTAAACTCTTGATTCATACAGACGCCTGCAAAACTCTCACAAAGATATTCCAAAAACTTGGGATATCACTCTCAACCATCATCCAGCCCGCCAAAATGTCGACAAATCCACCCCGCTATCTTGGGAGTGCTTTTTACAACGCCCCACCAATTGCTCTCTACCACACACAACCTTCAAGTGTCTACCTCACACCACCTCCTTTAAACAGCTACCCCCCCACGAAATTTACCAACAACACATACCTAGACCACCTCTTCAACACCCCAATGCCCACCAAAAAAATCAACTACAACGGCACCGCACCAAAAATCTGCGCCCTCCACCACCTCGCCCCAGAACTGCGCCTACACATCTACACCTACGCCTTCGAAACCGGTCGAGTGAGCCAGTACGGAAGCACCGCACTAATCGAAGCCCTCGGTCCTTGCCGAGATCTCCACCACGAAGCTCTCGCCTTGTACAGTGCGACGAAAAGCCTCTCGTTCTCCGTTGAGCAGCGGTATTATCTCTCGCCTCCCTGCGTGGAGCCCCTGTTTCTCTTGTCCGGTGGCGCATTAGGTCTTTTAAAGAACCTCGTTTTTGATATGGGTGGTCATATGTAAGTTCCCTCCCCATCCTCTCATTCTTCCTACACTAACAAAAATACCCCAGAAACACACAACACTTCTACCAAACCCTCCTCCCAAAACTCACCACCACCCTCCAACAAATCCCGCACCTCCACTCCATCTCCATCTCCGCCAGCATGTCGCACTCCCAAAGTGAACTCCTAGACGCCCTCTGCCATAGCCTCCTCAGCGCCGTAGGAACCACCCAGGACCTCCGCACACTACGAATCCACTACCAGCATCCGCACCAAAACTTCGCTGCCACCATCCGTGAAGACCAGATATGTATGCGGCGCACGCGCGAGTGGGTTTCTGCGCGTCTGAGCGAGATCCATGGGGGTGGGCGGTGGAAATGGGTGGAGACGGTGCAGGAGGGAAGCGATGTACTGCGTGTTACGTGGATGTTAGTTCTTGTTGGGGAGAAGGGGGAATTTCAGTGGGAGGTGCCGACGTTGAAGGGGTGGCCTGGGCAGAATAAAGTAAGAACGACGCGTAGAATCATTTGATTTCCTGAGGAAAGTTGGGATATTGGGGAAGGAGTGTGGACCCTTGGATTAGATGAAGCATGATGGATGATGTTATGTGGGATACCATGGGGAATGTAGACTAATTTGCACCTTAATGTAATGATTTTGCCATTCGTCGTCAATGGTTTGGTTGTTTACTAGAATCTTCCCATTCTTTGGGAAATGAATAAAATACAAGGCGGTCTTTTCTTCAACCTTTCCAATGTTACATCCCAATCCACACTCTTAATTAAGCTCGACTCGCAACTAACAACTATATAACTCTCCACCGTGATATAAAATGAGTAGGTATAAATCTACTAAAAGTAAATGCTCTATTTACCTAACTCCCCGAGTCCCCCGACCTCTCTTTACCTTCGCTTGCTAATCTCGCTTCCGTATTAGCCGAGCCCCCTAAATACCAATCCAAGTAACATAAGTAAACAAAGAAGTAAAAGACCTACATATATAGTACTCTATAATAAATAACGTTCTTATACAATCATCTATCATTACCACCCTCCTCTCCTCAAGATAATTGAAAAATAAAAGAGTACTATACAAGCCCTTAACGGTAATTATGCTCTTAAAAAAGTAAGGATTCAGATTTAAATTTGGAGTTACTAATTCAATTTAACTTTATTTTATTTAACGTCCGGCGAACATAACTAGCCGACTTATAACTAAGTTCTAGGAACCCCATACTAGGGAAAAGGACGCTAGGGGGGTACCCTAGACTATAGGGGGTATGGAAAAAAGACTACTCTATAGGTAATAGGAAAAGGAGCCGGCCTGCTTCTTGACAAGCCCTAGTAAATAGCTAGGAAAGGATAATAGAGAGACTATATAAGGGGTAGCGTAGGGACTAACCGAAGGCTAGCCGTAGAGGGTAGATCTCCGAGTAGAAGTTAGATTTATAGAAGCGCTCTATAAAGAGCTTCTCTAAGTAGGGTCTAAAGAGAAGGCAGGGCTCCTGCTTCGCTTTCGCTATAAGTTTAGGGGTTTTTCGCTTAACTATTCGGTGGAAAAGGGGGTAGAATTACGTCTTCTCTTTACCGTAGAAGTATTCTCTAGCTTTATAGAAGGTATCGAGGGGTTAGAATCAAGTGTGGTAGACTATAAAGTCTCCGTACCCTGTTCTAGCCGCTATTAAGCGTCCAAGGACTTCTCAGGGGAGTTTAATGGATTGGGGTTTCGGGGCCCAATCAGTAGGGCTTGGAGTTACTATATTTCTTTCTTTATCATCCACCTATCTATCTACCCCTACCACCCCCCCCTTACCCAAAAATACCTTTCCCTTCTCACCTCCCTCTCCCTTTCTCCACTACCCTACTAGTACTTCCACATCTCCACCATCCACTCTAAGTCCTAAACTCCTTCCTCCCTATTCCTCCCTCCAACTCTAGTAATATTTACCCAAACAACTTACTTAGGTAAATAATCCAAGACTAATACTCTAATACCTCCAACTTTCCTTTATTCCACCCTCTTCCCCATCTCCTAAATCCCTCTCCCCCAAACCCCCATCCCCATCTCCATCCCCTAACCAGAAATCCTCATAAACAAAGTCCATATCAATCCCCTCCCCCATGGAAACTCCCAACGCCCTTCCCATCAAAAAAAAACAAATCATCAAACCTATTCTGAACACTTCATCTATTTTAATATCCTATTTCATACATTATACATCCTACACCCCTCATAAACGAAATCCATATCAATTCCCCCCCTTCCCGTACCACATTCCCATCTACCCATCTACCCATCTACCCATCTACCCATCTACCCCTCCCTCTTCCCATCCCCCCTCTTCCACAGAATCACAAACAACAACTCCCACCTCCCCCCCCTCCTCCACGCCACAAAAACTCAGCAGAAGTAACAAAAATACAAAATGTAAGTATCCATCTACCTATCTACCTATCTACTATCCACGTTTAAACATTCCTCTTTTTGACTTGAGTCACTTGACGAACCTTGACTTGCCTCATGAAATCAAACTGACTTCCTGAAATCCCATAGTAAAGCATCCCCTTAGGGTTAGGGTTAGGGTTAGGGTTAGCAGTCTACTTGTAGAAGTAATACTCCCCCCCTCTCTCTTTGAGTATAACTGGAAAGAAGGGAAAGAAGAAAGAGAGAGAAAAAAGAGTTAGTGTCATACCATACCATATCATAAACGACATTAACATCACACCTCACCTCACCAAACCAAACCCAAAAGATTAAAACTAAACCAAAACAACATACAACCTCACAGCCTCACATGAAGAAATAGGGTATGTACATTTATACAACCAACACACACATCATTCATCCATTCAATTTATTTATTTCTTTCTTTCTCTACCTCTCTACCTCGACTCCTATCCCCCATCCCATCCCTACCCCTATCCCCCATCCCATCCCATGCCCCATGCCCCATCCTCACCATCAATCAAGTCCCCACAAAATATACCTTCCCCTAACCCCCCCTTTCCCATCTCAGCTCAGCTCAGCTCATCTCTCAAAAGAGATACCCAATCTATACCATACCATGCCCTATCATGCCATCTCACCTATCCTATACCATACCATGCCATCGAATCCCCCATCCTATACTATATCTTATATCCTATATCCTATAAACAAACGAAAAAAAGGGAAGGAAACAAGCACACAAAAACAAGAAAAGTGTATCTCCGATTACGCAAAAAAGAGGAACCCGCTATGCCTATGCCTGCTCATGCTTAATCAAGAAAAAACAACAACAACAACACACACACACAGGAAAGAGAGCCCAAGGCACTCTACAAAGAAGGGTCACGAACATCGAGGAACCCTGACCAAAAAACAATCTCATTGACAACCCAAGGGAACCCTTCCGGGAAATTCCCATGCCATCCCATCTATCCATCACATCTATTCAATCCCCACATCTCGTCCAGAATGGGAACAATAACTATAGAAGTCCAGCCCGCTTCTTATCACAATAACTAGGAAGTTGAGGCGCCGAGTCTCCCCCTGCCCAACTCTTCAAAGTGAGAGCCGTGGTGTAGGCCATAACAACGAATCCGAAGACGCAAAGCAAGACGTCGCAGCCCTTGCGGAAATTGTTCTTGGCCACGCCGCGCATGTGGAGCATAGGCTGGTTACAATTAGTAATCGTCCAAGGAAGACGGGAAAGGGGAGAGAGGAAGATGAACATACAGGGTAAATATACACAAGCGGCACACAAGCAAAACTACCAACAATAGACACGAATTTATCCAAATCATTAGCGCCCACCCAAGCAATTGCAGCACAAAGCATAACGACGAAGAATCGAAAGACGTTCTTTTGCCATTTGATATATGGATTGTATTTCCCACTTCGTGTAAAGAGTTCGTTTTCTGTAATTCTGATGGCGGGGAAGATTTGAAGGGGCGTCGAGAGAAGAATGGCAACCGAATAGAGGAACTGGACACCATTGACAAATTTGGAGTCTTGTGGCATGTTCAAAATGACGACCGTCTCAGTTTTGGAACCGTAAGCGGCATATGATAAGGCGCCCATCGAGATGAAGACGAAGGTGATAAGAATCATGACAATACCAAGCACCTTTGGAAACTTTTTGGGATTCTTCATTGATTCCTGAATAGGAATGATGAGACCGATTCCCTCAAAGGTAAAGATGGCTGTGCCAATAAAAAGTGTCCAATCTTGAGGATTGAAGCGGACGATATCGGCCATTCCACCTTGTTTGACCATGGTGAATATATCGTAGTAATAGAGATAGGCCAAACCAATCAAGATGAAGGCATCGGCAATAAGAGCCGTGAAACCAAGTTTGCTAATATCCCGGAGCAATGAGAATGGTAAGAAGATTGCCATCTGCATCAAGATCAACCATTGAATGTCGATATGAGTTTTGCAATTTGAGACAGCCAAAACGAACGCTTGCAGATTTTCAGACGTAAAAACAATATAAGCTGCCACAAATCCAATCTGACTGATGACAATGGAGGCAAGAATCGTGTTTCTCATCCATCTGCCATAGAGAGTGCCACCAATATCTCCAAAAGAACCATCGACTACCAAGCGAGTATTGACCAATAGGACAAAGCAATAATAACTCAATAGGGCCACGAACAGTAATACCAAATTACTAAATAGCATACCTCCATTGAGATATGCCTTGGGCAAGAATAAAACTCCAGTTCCAACAAAGGATTTGAGTAGAAGTAGGAAGGCTCCCATGGGAGTATTGTTTCCAGGTGGAGAACGATCCTTACGCTTTCTCTTTCTTCGACCAGGAGTAAGCAGCGCGCTATTCTCCATCGGCTCTCTGTCATCATCGCTGTCGGACCGGGTACCATCATAAGCGTCCGAGGAAAAGTACTCATCTGGTTCGAGTACTTCGTCATCCTCTTCCAACTCCTCACCTGCGAAATGTCCGTATAACGTCAAGAATTCGATAAAGTTGTTGGTCAGTAATTTTGGGCCCTGTCTTCGTGTTGATGGCCCTCCAACGCCTTCCTCCGCATCGTAGTCTACCCCAGGAGTTGGGCTTCCTGCAGCTCTTCTTAGGAAATTTCGTCGGAACCCACCAGGTATTTTTATGGAATCGATATCTAGTGTATCATCTTCGGGGTGAGGACGAGCAAGAACGAAACTCATACTTCTCCCTCGACCCTGTGCTTTGGCCTGTGCCCCCTCCGTCCATCTGTATATAGGTCGTGTAACATCTCCTCCTTGTAATCTCAAACTTGAGAATTCGTCGTCATCAAGCCCGGGGGCTATCGAATCACTCGCTTGTTTAGCTCTGAAAGCAGGGGACCCGGCTTTAAAGGACATGGGTTGACCAAATATACCACCGTCTGCTAGACCTCCTGCCGGCACTTGCTCCGTTTCTGATGGCTGAACCAAGTGTCTTCGTACAATCTCGGGGTCCTCATATGTGCTTTGCCCTTCCCACCCCGACGTTCCTTGGATTGATCTTGCGCGTGTATCGAAGGAGCCATAATTGCTCTGTGAGCCTGAAGGCCCAGCAGCAGCCGCTTGAGAGTCCACTTGTTGTCCGGCTGTGGTAGGAGACAATGGTCGGAGAGGAGGAGTGCCAAATCTTGGTGGTGACTGACCCAAGGAATTCGATAACGCCGCCGCGAGTGCTGATATGCCGGGACCTGGGGTCGATGAGTGGGGTGCTGCTCCTGCGAGAGGAGTCAGCCCTTCCGAGGGTATTCGTTGTGACTCGGAGTCTGATTGAGCATTTTGACTTGGTGTAGGTATCTGCCGGATCTGAGGCGTTCCCATATGCGAAGGGACTGGAGAGGCAGCTAATCGTGCGGTTGAGACGGCTCTTGGGGCTGGACTACCGGCACGAAAAGACTCGGAAGGACTACCAGAATTTATTGGGACGGGTTTGGGACGCGGCGATTGCCCTCGACCGGGAGAAGACATATTGGTGTTGATATTTGCGATTGATGATGGGGCTGAGCGAGAGAGAGAAAGAGAAGCGTGTGTGTCAGTTGTAGGGACAGTAGCAGGTGAAGAAGTACAGAAGTAGATGGAGGTGTAGAAGGAGGTGCTGGTGCTGTTGTGGGACCCGACAGAGCTTGACGGAAGGCTTATCTCATTATCGTCGGCGAGTTGGAGTCGGAGTTGGGATGAAGAAAAAGAAAGTGCGGTACGAGTACAAGTACGGTGGAAGAAGACAATCAGTATGGGATCGAAGAGCAACGACCGAGTGAAGAGATGGATGACTAGGACACGTCGTATATTCCGCGGAGAATAGACAGCAACAGGAGAGAGAATTCAATCAAGACCGTGAATGCTCTGCGTGGTACCTATTAAATTGAATGTCTCGTCTTGTTTATCACGAGCCGCTCGCGCCGCCTGCTCTGTCACTGGCAGTGACACCGACTTGGTGAAAAACGTCCCGCCCGGGCCTCACCCGAGGTCCCCTGCCACGATATCAGCTGATGCTCTCGAGGCTGGCCAATCAGGTTGCAGGTATTGCACCTCAGCCCAGTTCTCTTATCTTCAGCCTTGTCGTCCGATGATGCGCCTATTAATGCTGATCTGATATCAATACTCCGTATATCCCCTCGTCTGCTTGCACCTGTACCTGTACCTGTACTACATATATGTATTTCGTCGTCACCAAAGATGCCTCTTGCAACACTCTTTCGTTGTGTGTGCTCGGTACGGAGGGCGGTCTGGTGACTTGGGACGAAGAAAGGATCAAGGCCCATTCTTCGTCCGATGTTTCAAGGTTATCCGTTTCCCCGCTGAACTTGAGCTACTGTACGAGTAGCGAGCCAGAGTTAACTTGCTACTCCCTACCTCATCGTATGAGGGACAGCCCACGGTACTCAACGATCACGATTCAGTCCCAGGCAGCAGAAGAGCCTCATAGAACCGTGACGGCCGCTTGACAAGTCTGGGCAAAGTCTAGCAGACAATCGTGTCCTCGCGCTCGAGCGCAATAATTGCCTTCTTATTTGCTAGAAGTACAAGTAGAAGCTCCCAGACGGAGAGTAGAAGAGCTCCTACTCCCATTCAGCATCGCTCATTCCACCCCACATCCAGACCTCAATATGCCAGACCGACCATCCTTAAACATCTCTTCGCGCGAACGTTCCAATTTCCAATCAAAGTCAGCGACAGATGTAACCGGGGAATTGAATCGCACGTCCAGCAACATCGCAGACCACGATCCAGCGGCTGGTCCGTCCGGTTCATGGCCTGACCCGAACAACCATACCAATCCCTACGATCCCGCTACCAATTCCTCCACCCCTCCTCCGCGCGAACATTCCTTGACACGGCGTATGTTTGGATGGGTTCCTCATGTTGGAGATACCGGAAATGAAGCTCAAGATACATCAGGGGATTCGGTCGCGGGGAGAAGGAGGTCCAACAATGACAGTACCGACCCGGATTCCACTATAATACAATTGCACAACGCGGCAGAAAATAAAAAGGCAAATGGAGATCCTACAGCTCCCAGGCCTGGACTTGGTCCTAGGCCGATTGGCGGGAGTGACAAGTTGGGCATGTTCTCGGGAGTATACGTCCCAACTTGTCTCAATGTTCTTAGTATTCTCATGTTCTTGAGGTTTGGTTTCTTACTAGGTTTGTTATTCCCTTTTCATTATGATCCTGAGAAAATCGAATCTAGAGATCTCCGCCTGAATGGGTGTCTGCCTATGTCTGCAAGCCCATGGTATTAACCTCCCCCTCTCTTCTGCGGATGGAAATCGAAAAGATCAGAAAAATGATCTATACCTGATACCTTGGACCATGGAATTATGCACAATTAGATTTTTAAATGAACGCTGCCAAACTTCTAAATACCACTGACACAAATATAGGTCAAGCCGGAACCCTTGGTATGATGGGTATGCTTATCGCCTCATATGCCATCAACCTCATAACCACATTCTCTCTATCTGCCATTGCATCCAACGGTACAGTCAGAGGAGGCGGCGCCTACTATCTCATTTCGAGATCTCTTGGGCCAGAATTCGGAGGCGCCATCGGTGTCGTGTTTTACCTTGGATTTGCCTTTAACACAGGAATGAACGCAGTGGGTTTAATCGATTGTATAAAATTGAATTTCGGCTCCGAAACCGGGAACTGGTCAAACATCATGCCAGAAAGCCCTTGGTATTTATACTTGTGGGCGACTGTTGTTTTAGTAATCTGTACGGCAATCTGCCTTGCAGGATCATCTATTTTTGCTCGGGCAAGTAATGGATTGCTGGTCGTCCTCCTTATTTCTACGTTGAGTATTCCATTCTCGGCTTTGGTCAAAGCGCCATTCGAAAGTAGAAAGTTGGGTATCGATTACACCGGACCCAGCTTGGATACCTTCATCGGGAATCTCAAGCCTCGCCTTACCCAAGGCGCTGCGGGAAGTCAACTCGAAGGAAAAGAGACCTTCCAGGATCTCTTTGGAATTTTATTTCCTGCTACGGGCGGAATCTTTGCAGGAGCAAGCATGTCTGGAGACTTGAGGAACCCCTCCAAGTCAATTCCGAAAGGAACATTATATGGTTTGGCAACTACTTTTGTATTGTATACATTAGTCATTCTTGCTATGGCTGGTACCATTGCCAGATCGTCCTTCGTAAACAATGCCAATGTAATCCAGGATACCAATGTTTCCGGACTCGTCATTCTTGCTGGAGAGTTTGCTAGTTCCTTCTTTTCGACTCTCATGGGTGTCATAGGGTCTGCCAAACTCTTGCAGGCATTGGCGAGAGATAATCTTCTCCCAGGATTTTCAGTTTTTGGCCAAGGAACCAAAATTGGTGACGAACCTACTTCTGCTATTATTGCCACCTACTTTGTGGCTCAAGTTACAATGCTTGCCGACATCAATCAGATCGCATCCTTCGTCACGATGACTTACCTGGTGGGTCAACCCTCTCTTCTAACCTGTCCGCTTCCATCTTTTCACTCTACCTCTCTTTATGATCGTGAAATTGGTCGCTTAATTTGATGTTGCTTTGATGGCCTTTTTATGACAGAGGATTGAATCAGGCCCCTTCTCTTCACGGCATGCAACCAGCAACTAAACTATCATCTCAATTGTGCTCAACTATCGAGTGTAATACTGACGGTATTAGATGACTTTCCTGGTCATGAATTTAGCTTGTTTCCTTCTCAAAATAAGTTCTGCACCAAACTTCCGGCCCTCATTCCACTTCTTCAACTGGCAAACGGCATTAGCAGGCACCATCGTCTCTGGAACGGCCATGTTCTTTGTCGATGGAATATATGCCACTGCTTGCGTAGGTGTATTGGTTGTCATCTTTCTGATCATTCATTATGCTAGTCCCCCAAAGAGTTGGGGTGATGTTTCGCAGAGCTTGATCTATCATCAAGTGAGAAAATATTTGCTTCGACTAAAGCAAGAACATGTCAAGTTCTGGAGGCCACAGATATTACTATTTGTGAATGATCCTCGCCGACAGTATCGCCTAATTCAATTCTGTAACTCCATGAAAAAGGGTGGGTTATATATTCTAGGCCATGTTATTGTTACAGATGACTTTGGGGGATCGGTTCCTGAGGCTCAGCGGCAACAAGCGGCTTGGACAAAGTACATCGACTTCTCCAAGATCAAAGCTTTTGTGAATATCGCAATTTCACCTGGACTCGAGTGGGGTGCCCGAAATATTCTCATGTCTGCTGGGCTTGGGGGTATGCGTCCAAACATTTGTGTGTTGGGGTTTTACAACCTTGATGAGTTACGCAAGAACAAACCTCTTATCGACGCACCAGAGATGGCACCAGCATCATCAGATGGGCCAAGCGGTGAAGTACCAGCACATTTACGAAAACCTCGCCGTCGTGACAGTAAAGATGTCAAATCCGAGGGATATTTACCCACTGATGCCTGCAAGACTGAAGGAATGATGAGTGTGATGAGCTACGTTACGGTTCTTGAAGATCTTTTGCTGCGATTACAGATCAATGTGGCGGTTGCCAAGGGCTTTCAAAACCTCGAATTTCCTCATGGGGAGGGAGAGCATGACAAAAAGTATATTGATTTATGGCCGATTCAAATGTCTGCCGAAATCGCATCGGAAGAAAATGGCAAGCAAAACGTTCTCACAACTAATTTTGATACATGTATGTCCCTTATTAAAGTATCTCTATTCATGCTGACTGATGTCTGGTAGATACATTGATTTTACAGCTTGGAGTTATCCTGAATACTGTTCCGGCATGGAAGAAAGCCTATAAATTGCGAGTCGCAGTGTTTGTTGAGTACGAATCCGATGTCGAAGAGGAGCGAGGCCGAGTAAAGTCTCTTCTTGAAAAGCTTAGAATTGAAGCCCAAATACTTGTCTTTTGGCTGGCTTCAGGAAACCTCCCCACGTATGAGATTATCGTCAATGGATCGAATGAGTCCCGAGAAGATCGAGAGAGGGTTGACACTGTCTTGGAAGGAGAGGAATGGTGGGATGAATTGCAGAAGCTGCGCGGTAATCGGGGTGGCAGTTCGGCTGTAGAAGACCTTTCCCAAATTTCCAGTTACTTCAATTCAGGACCTAGCTGGCCAGAGTCATCCTTCCAACAAGGCCCTCGAGAGGAGAGAGTCGGTCGATTTCTTGGTCTTCGAAAACTCCTTCGCAAATCAAAACGAAAACATACCACAAGTCGACTTGCAAAACTCGGCGTTAGTCTCGGAATGAGAACGCAGCAACTACCTCCCAGTGCTGTGCGAAAACATGCTAGTTATGGAAGTGCTAGTGAAGATTCTAGCAGCTCTTCAGATGAGAGCGACGATGATGCTAGCGCAAATGATGGTAGTGAAAGTGCAGCAAGCGAGGGAGATATCGATGACTTTGAGTCGGAGACCGAGGTTGATATGCCTCCTATTACTCCCGTCAGAAGACGAAAAAGTCACGGTGACAGTATACGTGGTCCACCACCCTCGAAAAAGTCAACAGGAGAGAAAGAGATCAAGGTCCCAGAAACTACGCCCAAAAGTCCTGTCACTTCTGAACCCAGCGGTAGTCAAGCAATAGCACCAGCACCGAACTTACCAACGCAAACCGATAGATCAGGTTCCATCTCTGAACTTGCTGCTTCACGAAAGTCTGCAGCTTCTGGCTCCCACTCGACCGAATCAATTCAAGAACCCGTTCAAAGCCCAATCAAACCAGGCCCCTCACCGTTAACAAGGAAAACTTCCACCGCAGATGAACGACCAACGCTCTCTCGTCATGCCTCCCTACCAAAATTCTCTAGTAAACCCGTGCCTGTAACACGCGTCGCAACAGAAGACGGACCAGGCCCTACAATCATGTTCACAAATACCCCATCCCCACCTCCCCCCGCGAATCGCCATCGACGACTCCCTTCCGCCTACAGCACAAGCAGCAGCATCAACCCATACCCCTTTAATCCCTCCATTCCCGAGACTCCTCCCTCCCGCAACGGCAGTTCATACGCCACGCAATCTCTCCCACTCAGCTTCAACGACCTCCCATGTCGTGCGCAGCATCTCATCCTGAACGAACTTATCCAAGGCCACAGCGAGCTTACCGCCGTCGTCTTCACGACCCTGCCCAGTCCGGTGGAGGGCACGTGTCGTGATGAGGAGGCGTGTGGGAGGTACCTTGGGGAGTTGGAGGTTCTGTGTCGGGAGTTGCCGCCGGTGCTTTTGGTGCATAGTAATAGTATGACTGTTACTATGAGTTTGTAGTGTTTTTGGGGAGGTGGATGGTTGGGGGGGGGGTTTGTATAAAATTTGTTTCCTTCTCGTCGGTCTGGTCTGGTCTTGTCTTGGATTCGCTGGGAAGAAAAAGGAAGGCGTTTTGGTACAGTACACTATGTAGAGGATGAAATATAAATGTGGGTTACTGCACTGTAGTATTATAGAGAAAAGGAAATAAACAAGAAAGCAAGCGTGTGGAAATACTCTTTGCCTCCTTATCTTATAACACTTTTCGTGCATCACTTCCTCTGAGGAGGTTTCTAGGGGTAGGGGTTGTTTTTTGGGTGTGTGGATTTGTTGGTAGGGAAGGTTGGTAAATTAAAGGGGTAATTAAACGCAAGGGAATGGGTTGTGAGGTGTGAAGATAAGAAAGAGAAGGGGGTATAGGGATGTACTGTACTATACCGGTGTTTATGTAGATTTTATTGATCTTTGGATGGTTTCTTGATTGCGATGGGTACTGTAATGGGAGGTTTTTGGGGACTGAGGGTAGGAGGGGGGGTGGGATATGTTACTTTTTGGAGGATGTGGTGGTGAGTAATCTTACAGTGGGGTTATACCCTAGTGAATGAAGATGGGTTTATAGTACAGGTTATACGGTATCAGGGTATCACTCGGAGCGTACAAGGACTGTTCTAATTCTTTGCAAGGTTCGGTATTTGGAATACGATTCCAAGGATTCCAAGATTCTATTCCAAGGACCGAGGTGGAATATTCTAAAGGATATATATACACATAAGGTTATATATATATATAATACTATTTAACCAATAGGAGAGCACTATTCTATTTGTTATAAAGTAAGGACTGAAACTGTGATTATGTGTGAGGGTTAGAACCCATAGTGGGGCTCGGGCCAAGAGCCCTCGCTAAGCTAAGCGACCCCGCCTCTGGAACGCCATGGAATAAGATAGAATGCTATGACGCAGAAGATTGGTAATACTATGGAACAGTGTTGAATGCAATGGAAATGCTACATTTAGTATAAGAGTAGAGGAGGAACATGTATTTACAGACCACGTAGTTCTTAATTGAATATTGAACCCACACCTTTGAGTTGTTCGAGGTCTGGCCTCTCACATTATGTTGTCTCCTACTCTAAAGCCTAGGCAATTCTCCTCCTATATAATGATATATATCGTAGCGATATTATTAATAGTGTTTAGCGTAAAGATTAATTAGAATAGATTAACTAAGAGGGTCTTGATCTTGGTTATTTTAATTAAGTCGACCTTCTAATTAGTATTCATCCGTTAATTAACAGCGAAATGAATTAGTCGAGTAGAGTCAAGTAGGAGTACCTACTTAACCTTACTTAAGTAGGATTTAGCCCTACTCTAACCTACCTTATTTACTAAGAGTTAAGTAGGTTAGAGTACTACTTAAGTAGTATAGAGTAAGTAACTCGGACCGAGGCTCTATAGCGCGCTTATATAGGAGTTTCCGGCTTATTAGTCTATCTACTCGGACTTACCTAGCTAACTATATAAGCGAGTTTCTCGAATAGTGAGTTTATATAAGCTTTCTATATATCAAACTCTTTACTAATTAGTTCTATAGACTCTTACTTTAAACTAGTAGAAGGTAGATAGCGGTAGCTATACTATTTAATCGATATTAGTAAGAAGAGATTTATAAATAGGTACTAGTTATTTATACTTTAGTTCCTATTTATAGTAAAATTATTTAAGTATTACTTAAGTAGTCGAATCTACTACTATAGACTACTTAACTAAACTACTTACTTAAACCTACTTTAACCTAATTAAGTATAACCCGGATGTACTTAAGTAGTCGAGTAGTTCTTTCTTTCGCTATTAATTAATAATATAATCTAATTAAATTAATTAAGCCGGGCCGATCTATACTATAGTAATCCCGGATATACCGGTTTAAATAATTAGACTATTATAATCGCCGTATAATAGATTTACGGAATACTATTATAGTCGTTATTAATATAATAATCTATTTTATAATAACCTTTTATTATAGCTTATTATAGTATAGTGTGACGAAACCGGTATCTAACTAACTAAAGGTATCGAGTTCGACTGTTGGTATGCGGGAAAGAAGACAACTATCAGGTCGTGTGTTTACTCAAAGGTAAACTCGTCACTTGTACAAAGTAGTCAAGACAGCAAAGGTATTGAATGCAATGTAAACTAAGTTGAGCACGAAGCTCGTATCTAATGGCATACGTGCCAGTCTTATATAGAACCTCTGTTCTCTGTTCTAACTGTTGGATCGCCGGGGTCGCTTGTCTACCGAGTCGACCCAGGTAAACTCGTCACTTGTACAAAGTAGTCAAGACAGCAAAGGTATTGAATGCAATGTAAACTAAGTTGAGCACGAAGCTCGTATCTAATGGCATACGTGCCAGTCTTATATAGAACCTCTGTTCTCTGTTCTAACTGTTGGATCGCCGGGGTCGCTTGTCTACCGAGTCGACCCAGACGACTGGAGCTCTCGTCGCTCCAGGCGACCCAACTTGTCACGTGATATCAACCAAAGGAAATCCCTAGATCGCTTAGCTAGCCCAAGCGATCCCATTTGCTATAAGAGTGCTCAATAGTGCCTGACCTGTCAGGACGCCGCCTGGTTTTCATTTCTCACGTGCTAGCACGTGAGAAGTGACATATAGAACAAGTAGGGTAGTAGATATAGAATAAGAACTAGAATATAGTAAGTAAATATTATATAATACATAAATCTATATTAAGGTTTATATTCTCTATCTCTTACTACTTCTCTACTACTACTACCCTAACTATTACTTGCTTTGTTACTACAGTTAGTACTATATATAAACTAAAGGAGAAATAATCGTATTTAGAAATAGCTTTACTTTTCACTTATTTAGGTATAAGAGACTAGCGAGGTATTACGATTTAATAGTAGAGGTTTATAGTAAATAAGGAAGTATAGGGGGTACATTATATTCCCTCTTATATAGTAGCTCCTTAATTATTAATACTATAATATTATTATTAGTTATACTATTTAAGCTCTTTTTCGTATAAATTATATACGTATGCTTAATAATAAGCCTTAATATATGTGACAGTTTTTGATTTAGTGAATAAGGGTTCGCTTAGCGAAGTTGCGGGTGTACCCTTCCGTAGATAGACAAATACCTAAGGAGTTGTAACGAATACTCAAACTGGCTAACTAAACTTGGCTGGGTGTTCGCTGGTTGGTATGCTATGATAAGAAGAAGAATAAGATTGATAACTAAGTTGAGCACGAAGCTCCTATCTAATGGCAGACGTGCCAGTATTATATAGAACCCTCGTTCCCATCGTCGCCATGGTCGAACAGTCGGCCATGTCGCTGGTCACGTGATTCCAACCCAAGGAAATCCCTGGATCGCTTAGCTAGCCCAAACGAACCCTTATTTGCTATAAGTCTATAGATGTGCTTGACCTGTCAGGACGCCGCCTGGTCTTCACTTATCACGTGTGCACGTGATTCGTGACAGGAGTGCGAAGAGCGTCTCTCTTCCCTCCTTGCGAACAATCTATTCCTTGATCCCCACCATAACAATATACCATTAAAGAAAAGAGGTCTCGAATTAGTTCGTAAGGGTAATTTAACGAAGGCTATAAATCGCGCTATTTATTAGGCCCGGGAAGACCTTCCTACCAATAGTCCTAAGCGGGCTCGCCTTATCTACAAAGTAGGAGAGGTAGCTTAGGTAGAACTTTAGGCGCGATATATACTATAGATACTACTAAGGATATACTTATAGCTATTAGTCGTTGTTATTATACTTTGTCCCTAGTAGCTTATTACTTAGCCTCCCCTCAACGAGAATAGTAAGCTCTACTTATCTAAGCTAATCTACTTATATAAGTTAATCCTCCTAAATAAGTTAATTAACCTAATTAAAATAACCCGCCTAGATAAGTTAATTAACCGGGCTAGGTTAGTAGGGTTAATAGTAGTAATAACTTTTATCTAGGTAAATATAGTTGTTCGTATAGTAGTTCTCCTCCGCTACCGAGATACAATAGATATAGTAGTTTTAGTATATATAGTAGATTCGGCGGAATAGGTTATAGCGTACCTAGTACTTAATAAGGTAGTACTTAACAAGGTAGTATTTATAGTAGATATAATCTAGGTACGGATTAATAAGGCGGTTATATCCTAGGCTTATAAGGGGGCTATAATCTATTCTTCCGCCTAAGTATAGATATTTATAGAAACCTAATACCTAGTACCCCGGGTTAGCTATATTAATAGGGCCCTCTATAACTAAATCTAGGTACTAGAGTCCTACCTCTACCTTAGTAATAGGGCTAGTGTTATAGTTTTCCCTAAGATGTGACGGTTCTAACCGTCACCACCATTCGGATCACGTGGTCTCGCTTAGCGACCCACACCAAGTATTTAGATCGAAGCTCTCTCGAGCTCTCCTCTTCTCCTCAGCTTAGAATCTTTGTTTAATTGACAGTTCTACGATTCCACAACCTACACCGTGGGCCTTGCGTACGTGTCGTCACATAAGTGTCACGAATCACGTGCTCACGTGATACTTGTCATAATAAAGAGGCGCAACCCTCGACAGGCACATCCAGGTTTCTTGTAGCAAATAGGGATTGCTTAGGCCAGCTAAGCGATCCATGGATTTCCTTTAGTTACTGTCACGTGATTGATGGGCATCAG